CATTTATTTCTATACCGCGCTATGCGCGGGCATTCATACATCGCTTCTCGCGTAGAATACACTCGAGAACATGCATGCATTTCCCTTTTTTTTCCTTGTACTGTTATGCACCATCTACGCAGACCAAAACCAGGATTCTTGATGTATATACGACATGAGACCAAAATGATCAGAGAGCATCTGCCTCATCTGCATTCAAGATCAAAGTCGTGAAGAATCTAACCATCTCTACTAGATTCACGGCGATAGCAGCTGTAGAGAGGTGGTCAATGAGGCACTATGCAAGAAGAAGCTTGTGGATACCTTCGTTCACTGTATGCACACCATTCAGTCCTGTTCCGCTGCCAGCATTGTAGTGGGAGTAACGGAAAATGTGCTGTGTCAACGGCCAATAATATCGCGTATCTGCGGAACACTCATCAGCAATTGTGCTCACGGCGATCTTTATAGACCACTACATACCCGTATTACCGGACACGAGACTGGGAATCACAGTGATCCCATCCTCGGTGAGTTCACGATGGGCATTGTGCGTCGACTTGATCGTCCCGGAAAGTAGCTGGAACGGCACCGCATCTTGACCAACCGGAGTGATAGGAGCAGGCTCGAGGGCTGTTCCCCAGGCATCGCTGAGCGTGAGCGTGCCATATCCGGGCTTGTCACCGGTGATACTGGTTTCAAATGCAGTGTATGACAGATTAAAGTGCTCCGCAAGCTCTTTGAGAAGTTCCGTGCTGTGGTTCTTCACCGAGCTGACAGAGCTAACGTGCAATTGAGACAACGTCACCAAAGGCCACTTTAGCTAAGGCATTGGAGTATACCTATCAGTCGCAATACGGTGGTTCACCACAGCCATGACATTCTCGGGCAACGCGTTGGATTTCACACCACCGTTGATCATATCAATTGCCTGTGTCGTGCCTACTAGTGCCTTGAACGTAGGATCCTTGAAGAGCTCGCGCTGCGCAACGCGCAAGGCCAGCTGAGATTTGCCTGCTTTGCTCATTGCCTTGCGGATGATCTCCGGCAAGTCGGGTGCATGTGCCGCAAGACATTCTGCATGCCAGTACATGGGCGTGTCGCGCTTCAGGGCTACAGGGATCGGGTTGTCCTCGTAGTGAACGAGAAGTTGCGCGAGCATGCCGATAGTCTAACCGGGCGAAGAGTAAATGAGTTGCCTTATCGATGTGATTAACGAGGGGCGGATGATGTACCGTGTGCTCTGGCGGGACGCTTGAATGACCTCCAGGAGCGGAAAGCTCGACACGCACGTCGACATAACCCTTCTCCGCGACCGAAGGCAGGGCAAATACTCCGCCGTATTGTTCGGATATCTTCCCTATGATCTCAACGTCTCAACGCTCAACTGGTCATCGGAAAGAGGCATACCCCACCGCCTTCATCAACGAGCATAGCGAATGCATCTTCCCCGTACGTGGACAACAGATACTTCCCAAGAGAAGCAGCACCCTGATCATGTCATTTATTCACTGTTCTATGTTGTTGATAACGAATGCCTTACATGTATTCCGCTGACTTCCTCGTCAAAACCAAAGGCGAGAACTACGCCTCGCGTAGGTTGGTAACCGCGTTCAAGTAATAGTTCGATAGCCGTCCTGCAACTCATGTCAGACTCAGCAGCTCTCTAATCACTATGCAGCGTACATCACGGTAATCAACCCACTCTTGTCATCTCTGCTACCACGCCCCCATACGAGCTTACCTGAGATAGCAATGAGAGGTCATTCACAATGAAGTCAAAACGCGGCCACCAACCATCGAAATATCCTGAGAAGGGCGAATGCTCCCACTGATCATACGTATCCGGATTGACGGGCACGACATCTGTGAGGAAGGATTGAGCCTTGCACGAAAGAGTTCGGCAATGATCCTGTTCACCTTGATGGGCCGTCAAAAGTAGAGGCTTGAGAGACTCATCGGAGCCCTTCCACGAATACACCAATCCATAGGTGTTCAGTTTGGTGAGATCCAAGAGTGAATGGCTGAGACACGTCAGATAAGATTTAGTTCAAGAAAGGCGGCTTTGGAGACTTACATCCGCGGGAAAACATCGTGCAGATAGTCGTGGAAAGGAGCAAATACTTCCCAGCGAGAATCCTCTCCGATCGGTCCCATCTTGTCGTACGCCTGAGTTCTTAGAACACAAAGTCAGCCTGCATATTTCAGACAACACGAAGCTCCCAACGAACGTACGGTATGCGCACTGCGCCACTCAAGAAGTTAACTGTCCTGTTGAGGAAGTCTTCCGTCTTGAATGTCTCCCCGAGACTCTCGTACAACTCTTCATGTTTCTGAGGTTTCAATGGAAGGGTTTGTTTGCACATGGAGCTAGTATCCACGCTAGGTTTGTAGAGACTTTCCCAGAGTCCCTCGCAAGATCGCAGAGTAAACCAAGACATAGACAGAGAGAGCAGCGCGATAGTCAACCTCGCAGAGCGCGAACGCCAGGAGGAGCGAGGCCGCTCTCCCGCAACAATCACTGACATGCGCGAAGGGAGGAATTCCACCTTCTCCGTTGGCAAAGACATGGTGGTGTAACCGGAAGAAAGAGTAGATCTATGCTCCTCCATTCTGACTCCTTATAAGCATGAACGCTGACTTCGAAGACTTCCGATGTACGATACCATGCCGGCCATATGCCCTGTGAGAGATAAGGAGTTCCTGTCCTTATATATGTGTTTTTCCGATATCACCAGGCATTACGAGCTCCCAGACAAGTCGCAGCTCAAAGTTTCTGAGAAAGCGTGTTGAGCAGTCGAATGATCAGACAGCCGCTCTTGTTGCTCGCATGCTGTTTGGAGCACTGAGCAGGCGAGAGAGCGAAGGGCATGCGTGAAATAACTCAGATGTACAGAGTCCTCGGGGTCCTCTAGCGTGCCGTTTCGGGATCGAATTTTTGGGACGAACGAGTTCGCCACAGCGAACAGTGAGCACACGACGGTGGACGACAACATCGCCAATGGGCTATGTACAAAAACGATTGGCGTCCACGGCTGCCAAGCTAGCTCATGCATCTCCCTCCCAAGCCCCGGCATTCCCTCCAAAAGAAGCCATCGCCTCTACTTCGTCCAAAACTGAGTTCTTCGATGCTCAGACATGGGCAGCACTGCAGCCTCCTCCGAAATCCGAGCTGACCGCATTCGCCCACCGTATAGGTCTTGGACACATTCGTAAATCTCCCGGTGTGATCCAGCAAGCCTGCACGCACCCATCTTTCGTGCCATTCTTCAGACAACATCTTCCGGACGAGCCCATACCCGAGACGAATGGGAACCTCGCGACGCTTGGAAACTCGCTGTTGGGCTTGTTTGCCACCGAATACATCCATTCATCCTATCCTCACTTGCCGACACGCGTGTTGATGGCTGCCGTCAGCGCGTATGTAGGCCCAAGCCCCTGCGAAGCGATCGCGAAGGAGATGGGCGCGACGCCTCTACTGAGATGGCACAGGATGGTGCGTGTTCCCCAAACCCTTCAGCAATGCGTGCTTGACGAGTGCGATCTATCGCCAGCCCATTACCGATTTGCGGCCAGCTGTCTCACATTCCGAGGCACTGAGCTCCATTCCACGTGCACTCACTGCCCTTGTGCACCAACACCGTTCTGTGCATTCCGCACGCGAGTTCGTGGAAACATTCTTCCTTAGCCGGGATGTAGATCTACGGAGCATGATCAAGTTTTCTGATCCTAAACTCGCGTTGGTTGAGACAGTTGCGAAGTTCGGACGAGAACGGCCAATATCGAGGTGGGCGGCTATGCATGAATCATTCCTCAAGAACCTGACAAAATGGTCTTGCTAGACTGCTCAAGGAGACTGGACGACACTCCAACTCACCAATATATGTCGTGGGTGTCTATTCAGGCGCCGATCAACTTGGCGAAGGGTTTGGCAGCTCGTTGAAAATGGCTGAGTTTCGAGTGCGTAGAGATCAAATCGAAGTAAACGCTGCTATGAGCTGACGATGCTTCACATAGGCTGCAGAGGATGCGTTGCGTCGACTCTATTTAACTCGGCAGCCACCAGACTCGGTCCAGCTTCCAACTTCCACGTTTCCATCCGGTGAAGGCAGCATATTTGTTGCCGAAGAATGGAAGACGCATTATGTGCCAGTTGAGATGGGCGACTCGGAGGTGCATTATGCCAGTTCAGGGCGGTCAAAGGCTCAGTCACCTGGAAGGCGCGCGAGTGCTGAGGACGAGAATGATGTAGACACGTAATGCGATGCTTCATTACTATGCGAGATGTCCACATGATGAGACGGGAATCTTTCACAACTATTAGCTATAGCTTGAAGGATGCCTTTTCGGCTTGGCGACTGCTTCCGCCAATATCAGCCAGCCGCATGCATATCCTAGCGTTGTGGATGAGATCAGCTTTGGGAATCTATGCTTGCCCTGTACTACGCTCGCTATGCCACTTAAGTAATGCAATTCTAGTGCAATCCTCCGGCATTGCTATCCACGCAAGCCCTGTGTTTCTATCTCTCCTGCGGAACTAACGACCAACGCAGCGATCGTACAGAACGTCATCTACGATGTCACATCAAATCCTGCCATGCACATCGCCTTGGTATCAATAGCCGTGCCGTCCGAATGTCTTCATTAAGCGTTAGGATTGCTTCATCGTCTGCGACCGCATGAATCCGTGGTCGTTGTGCGTCTCAAATCATCCCCAAGCATAACCCCTCTTCGAAGATCCGGAGATGGTCAGCTCGTATTCGATATCAGGTGCGAGGAAGAGGTGAAAGCAAAGTAAATATGAGGACAGTGAATCATAAGCGAAGACTTCATAGGATTTTCCGCCATAGGTGGCGTTTCAGAAAAGAGGATTACGCGACACTAGGAGGCACGCGAGACGTGACAGTGACCTTGTTGCGAGTAACGTTACGTATGTCACGTCACGGTCCCTGCGCTGCCCGTTCTGCTTCTGAAATTACTGATTCCTATATTGCTGCTGCTTTCCCTCGTGCTCGCAGTGCTCGACGACGCCGACGCCGGCCTAGTCCTCCTCTATTGTGCGGCCCTGGTAGCTTGCTCTTTGGGCTCTGTCATCTATGAGCGGTCCCGCGGACCAGGGCCGACAGTTCCAGGGTGGCTCTCAGCCATCTGGAGATCCTGCAGCCCCAGCCTACATGGACTTGGACTCGGAGTCTTATGAACAGCTCGCTGCATCCCAGAATAATAGCGGACTTCCTCCTTCTCCTCTCAGCCGCTCTCACTCCCCCGACCGGTCCAAGCCACATAGAGCTTCGACCGTTAGTTCCCCTCACAACCAAGATCAGAGGAGACCCAGGGGCGATGACCACCTTCACGCTCACAGCGAGGATCTCAACCACTATAGCTCTCGAACACCTGATGACGTTGCTGCATCCGATCAGCCTTCCTCTCGTTCCCAGACTTTGTTGACTGCTAGCCGGCCGACCACACCATCAAGTTCTAGCAACAATGCTTCCTCTGAACATTCGCATTCGTCGAAGCCTCGTCGTGGAAGCATCCATTCAGACTCCTCCCTTCATTCAGACTCGTCTATTCCTGACGGCAGCGCACCAGTAGGGACATCAACCACTCATACTAGTGCAAGCGTTGCTTCCACGTAAGTCCATTGAGTTGTATCACAGCCTGGCGACGAATTCTCTAATGTCGCGAACTGGCTTTTCTGTGTTCTCATTACCGCCGTCGCATCTATAACTAGACCATGTTCTGCTTGCGGTAAAGCCATGCAAGGCGCGTTCGTTCGTGCTCTAGGAACTGTGTATCACTTGCAATGTTTCAAATGCATGGTCAGCGCACGGTCACTTGTTCTGGGAGATCACGAACTGATAGTGGTGTAGGACTGTGGCACTGTCGTCGCGTCGAAATTCTTCCCTATCGATGCTTCCGACGGGAAACAACATCCACTGTGTGAGCGGGACTACTTCCGGCGCTTGAACTTAATTTGTGCCAAGTGCGGGATGGCTTTGCGTGGTAGTTACATCACAGCGTGCAGTGAGTCACCTCGATTACAATTGATCGATATATCCTCACATCCGCTCCTCAGATAAAAAGTATCACGTAGAGCACTTCACCTGCTCTGTATGTCCAACGCTGTTTGGCCCACAAGACTCCTATTATGAGCATGATGGAGACGTGTTCTGTCACTATCACTATTCCACTCGATTTGCCACGAAATGCGCGGGTTGCAATAGTGCTATTCTCAAGCAATTTGTGGAAATCAACCGGAATATGCGAGATGAGTGCTGGCATCCAGAATGCTACATGATAAATAAGGTTTGCCTCGCTCGCGCCATGTGGGCAATCCGTGTCTGATTTTCCGCTCGCAGTTTTGGAACGTCAAGGTTGTTGCTCGACGACCCGCCTTGCCTCCGAGCACTGAAGATGTCGATGCCAAGCCAGAGGAGCCGCCTTGGGCTGAAGAAGAGCGCAGGGAAACGTCTGACTCCTTGAGAAACAAGCAGATTCGCATGGAGCAGCAGGTTTATCGCATCTGGACGTGAGTCACCAATCCACTCGTCCGGATGTCACATGTCTCGAGCGGGAATTCCGTCAGCGTTCTATCGGCCTTCGAAGAGTCTAGCGCCGCATGTATCTCAGACATGTTGCGGCAGGTCAGCAACGGGCAATACCTTGAGGCCATACGAATGGCCGAGAAATTTATCCTACACGTTGAAGTCCTGTTTGCTACGATCGATGACCTTGAATGGCACTTTTCACGGTTAAAACTCAAAGGTATGCACTCTAACATCGTAAAATTATCATGCTGACCATCATCGGTCACACTGCGGGCAGGAATGTCGCACGTCCGGGAGGCCAGGATGCTATGTCGTAAGACGGTGGATTTATTCACATTGCTATCACATACGCAAGAGACCGGAGCACGACGAATGGGCATGACGCAGGAGCTATTAGCCTTAGTTACCGGACTTGCGCATTACCTCAAGATCCTCATTCGTATAGCGTTAACGGGAGCGCTCAAGCTAGAAAGGGAGCAGAACGTCCAAGAGGCGATCACATCCTTCCTTGACAAACTACACGTGCTGGCCATTCAAGGAGGCAATCCGAGCGCTAAGCGCATGATGAAGCGTGCTAATGGAGAAGTCGTGACACCCACTGAAAGCGGTAACATAGGCACACAAGGGGTCACTTACGGGTTCAAGAGTCTAGCACCAGAGAACGCAGGAGAATCTCCGTTTGCGAGCTCACGAGATCCGGTGCTAGCGAAGGTCAATGTGGTCAATCCTCCTTCTGACCTTTGTGTCAAATGCAACCAAACTGTAGAAGAGGACTGTGTCCGTCTCGGCACATACCAGCGCTGGCATTCGCAGTGCGTCCAATGCGCTACATGTGGTAAGGTTGCGGCTGCTCCTGTACCGAAGGAACCTCCTCCACCGAGGAGTCCCGAAGATCAAGACAAAGAGGAGAAGCCACTGAAGTTGTCGACAGCACGGAGACCGCCAGCAAATGCCGGTTTGTTTGTCTTTCAAGTCGACTCCATGAAGGAGACAGCTTCCTTCGGCGTTGTTCCTACGGTGATCTTCTGCACCGAACATGGGCATGGTGGGTGTCGTACCGGATTCCAAGCTGTATCGCGGCTGGAACAATACGCGTTCCTGCTGAACGTTGCGCTGCGTCGGCTATATGTGCTCCTCAAGAAGCGTGGGGTTGTCCAGCTTGCGCCAGGTGAGCTGCGCCTCTTCATGCAATCTCTGCGACGCTAACGCTCTGGTATAGCTCCTTTGTCAAGTCAGAACCTCAGATTGCGGGAGGACGACCCGTATCGCAACTCGAGTGAAATCAATAGGCTTAAGTCAGTCCACCTAGACCGCAAGCTCTCTGCCACCGCGCGTGTGCCTAGGCGATCGACGGTCGTGGAGAGCCCAACGGGTAGAGTGGCTCAGGCTGCGGATGCGATGCAGGGCCAACGGCCGCAAGAACTGGTCCATACGCACTCGTTTCGGGCTACGCCTCAGGGGCAAACATCATCAGCGAACAAGCTGCACAAATCACCGCATTCACATCATCGAAACCCTCCGGGGACAATCGATACTAATACCCAAACTCAGGTTATACGGCCACCGTTTGCACGGAATAATACGGGCATAATGATCGTAGACGATTCTGCGCCGACGTCACCAGCGGGCATGGATGAAAGCTTAGTCCCAGGAATTGAGGATGGTATCACACTGGCTGATATCCCTCAACTTTTCGAGGCGGCCCAAGCGAGGGAGCAGCATCGGTCTCTACCACGGCAGAGCTCGATACCGTTCATCGCGGAACTCAGCACACTACAACTGGCCATTGTCAAGCATTGCGCAGTTCTTGTCCTTCAACGATCACCACTGCGCGATCAATTCGACTTGGACGAGATTCTAGAATTGGTTGAGATCAAAAAGAGCTCGTTCTGGAAGCAACTGTTCAAGCCGGGCAATGACAAAAAGAACGTGAAGAAGAAAGGTGAACTGTTTAGTCATTTTTCTGGCGCATTTTACTTACACTCATCAGGGGTGTTTGGCGTTCCGTTGGAACTTCTCGTTGAGCGAGAAGGGGCAGACTCCATGCTCGGAGCATCGCGAGCCTCCATCAAGATACCCAGTTTCGTCGATGATGTAGTGTCTGCCATGCGTCAGATGGGTGCGTTCTGGGCCGCACCTTCGATACAATATTTGCTGATCGTTAGTGCGCATATAGACATGTCAATAGAGGGCATTTTCCGGCGGAACGGAAACATCAGGCGACTAAAGGAGTTGACTGACGCGATTGACCGCGATCCCTCTTCCGTCGACCTAACACAAGATAACCCGGTGCAGCTCGCAGCGCTCCTGAAGAAGTTCTTCCGAGATCTCCCAGATCCCCTCATGACGTTCAAGTTGCATCGGCTGTTCATTGCATCACAATGTAAGTGTTTCCGCGGCCCATGTGGTATCCCGGGTGTTGACAGTTACTTTAGCTCTTCCGACTGAAGCAGAGCGAATGCGGATGCTTCATATGGTATCGCTCATCCTGCCTAAGGCACACAGAGACACCTTGGAAGTCCTGTTTGTTTTCCTGAAGTGGGTAGCGTCATTTGCGCATCTGGATACAGAGACTGGCAGCAAGATGGATCTACCGAATCTGGCGACGGTGATCTGTCCCAGTATCCTGTATGCGCGGGGACGAGATGCAGTGCGGGACGAGAGCTTGCGAGCGATTCGCGTCGTTACAACCTTGCTTGAGCGTCAGGATGAATTCTATTGCGTACCGCAGGAGTTCCTGCCCATATTGAAGGACCAGGAGTACTTTGCAAATAGCCTGGATCTCCCCAGCAAGGACTTCCTGAAGAAGTGCGATACCTACATGCGGCTGAAAGCAAGCGGGCGCACTCCTGTGCTGACGTCGCCCGTGTCAGGCGCTTCGCCCTTCACGCCTGGCACGCCCCGACCGGAAGACTCCCGTGCGCTGCCCCCAAGGTTAGTCCTTATCTCTCGCCACCCATCTGAGGCTAACGTCATACTAGAGCGCAGTCTAACCCGCAACACATGGACAGGCCACCGATACCCAACCCGACCTCTTCGGATGGCAACCTCCGGAACGGCCACCCTCAACCACGACATCAGGGATCTGCCCCTCCACTCCAACACGCCCCTTTCTCATACCCCGCGCCGTCCCCGCCGAATCTGTCGCCACAGCTCGCGTCTGCCCCAGCGCCCTCAATGTCCCAGGGCTCACTCGCGCTACATGCGCCACAGCCCCGCGCGCCGAACGTGCAAGCGAACGAGGAGTGGGCACCGCCCGAGCGGCAGCCGTTCGTCGGGCAGGTGCCAAGCCGTCCGGCGTCGATGGCGAACTTGAACGCGAACGTCAACGCGGGCGCATTTGCGCCTGTGCCCGTAGCCCCGCGGAACAGTGGTGACGGCCCTCACCCGTTTGGGGCCATACCCAATGGCCATGCGCAGCCCGCAGTGCGGCAGCGCACCTAACTTTGACTTTGATCGTATGATTCTCCTAGTCGGTTGGTATATATATTCTATGCATGTGGCATCGCTCTCGGCTCATCATGTTGCATCTTCTTTTCCCCTACTCTCCCGGTTTATCCCTTCCCGCGCGTATCTGTACTTCACCATATTCCTCCTTCCAGTCCATTCATTCTACGTAACCTATGACACGGACCACCTACCTACTATACCCGAGCCGCCGCCAGGGCAATGGATTGCAGCTTCAAGAGACACTTCTCTCTTTCTCTCTCTCTAGCTGGTTTCTGACAGGTTGACGAGCTCAATGGTGCATATCCGTAGCGTCTGTTTAGTTCCAGGCGGCATGTAGCATTAGTAGCAGTTTCCAACGTCTTGCATCCTCTCTCCTCGCTGATATCCTATCTAATGAATTCCCACTGCTAAGAATGCTGCAAAGTTCTTGTTGGTGCGATGTTCAGTCTCACAGGTGCTTCCGACATCAATGCTCACGATACTGAGTATGTGGAGCATGTGTGACAAATGGTGCATGTTACGCGGTACTTTTGATCGTAGTGCACATGGTAAGAAAATGTAGATACAGAGAGCGCACGTTCACTTGAGAGGGATGCTGCAGAGCTATCGTCAGCGATGAACTTTAATCGGAAGATCGCGCGTGGACTTACAATCGAGATGCTAGAAGATCAACAAGTCAGACATGTAGAAATGTTGCAAGCAGCGTGGGTACTCACAGTGTGTTGCACCAATCTGTATATGGAAGAATAGAGTGAGTATATGCGGTGAAAACACACAAAAACCTGGCATGGATGACGTACACCTGGGCGACCGTGCTTAACAGGTTTGTATGAGCACGAGAACTCAGCAAGGTAGTGGCCCGTCATCTCCGGCTTGATCTCGACCGAGTTGAATACCTGCCCCCACACACATAATCAACAGCCTCCTCCTTTGTCCTAGTGGGCGCACGCACCTTGCCGTTGTAGATGCCAATGACAGAGCCAATCATCTCCGGGACGATGATCATGTCGCGAAGGTGGGTCTTGACCACGGCGGGCTTCTCGTTGGGAGGCGCCTCCTTCTTCGCCTTGCGCAACTTCTTAATGAGCCCCATCGGACGCCGCTTAAGGCCGCGCTGGAACCGGCGGCGTGCCCGGGCGTGTACGAGCTAAGGAGGGGAGATGTAAGGCTCGGGTTCGGGACTAGGGAGGCAGGGCGAGAGATGCAGATGCATACTTCAACGAACTGTCAGATTGGGGCATAATCGTCAGTCAATATGATAGACAAATGCAAAACTCGGTCATGCTCACCTCCTCATTGCTCAAATCCAGAAGCTTGTCGAGCTCGACGCCGCGGTACGAGAACGTGCGGAACGTTCTCTTCTTCTTTAGCTCAGCAGCTAGCGCGGGGTCGGTGACGGAGGAATCAGCCTGCACAATACAGCATTGCATCAGAACCCTTCAACGCGCTCAATATTCGGTGCAGCGGCACTCACCATCTTGCGGTGTGTTGTCGCGAATGGCGGGCGGGGCGGTATGGACGGTCTGAGGGCGGAGTGCGAATGGGTGGCTGAGAGAAAACGCGCGGGAAATTGGTGTTGGAACTGTATAGTTTTCAGCCACCGGGGGCGCCGGTGGAAGGCCCGCGCGTGGCGTGTAGAGACCTGTAACGTCGCCGGATAGAATCCACAGGTCCTCCCTCGCGGATTAAACGTGAGTGCTCTCTGTGTCGTGTATTATGTGTGAAGTTTGAGGAAGGAATGCTGATGCACGATGCACAATTCATCCCAGTGATTTGTGGCTACCGCAGTCTCCATACACTAAAGTGAGTCTCCAGAGTTTCACTAGGTCTATCTCTCCGACGAATCTGATAATCCATGCTAGATGCGTTACATTGCTGCATATCTCCTCCTCCAGATTGGCGGGAACGCATCGCCATCGGCGGATGACGTGAAGAAGGTGCTCGGTGCGGTTGGCATTGAGTCCGAGGATGACCGCCTCGGGAAGCTCATCAGCGAGCTCGAGGGCAAGGACATCAACGAGCTGATCGCAGAGGGTTCCTCCAAGCTTGCCTCCGTGCGTCCCTCTCACTTATTCTTGCGTTCACCGGCTGACTCTGCCTGTGTATGCAGGTCCCTTCGGGTGGCGCGGTCGCCGTATCTGCGGGCGGTGCTGCGGCTAGCGGTGCCCCGGCTGCTGCAGCCGAGGAGAAGGAGGAGAAGAAAGAGGAGGAGAAGGTCTGTCGCATGCGCTTGTGTGCCTGCTTCAGCGATGCTGACTACGCGTGCAGGAGGAGTCCGACGAGGACATGGGCTTCGGTCTGTTCGACTAAGCTGGTGGGAGGGTGCTGTCGCTATCGCTCAGAATCATACTTTTTTGCCTGCTCTGTAAGTGCACGTACTGTAGCGATTAATGGCCTCGACGACATGACCATGGAGCAGTGCTATTGAGCGTCTCCTTGAGTATTCTGCCTCGGAGCAGACGATGTTCGCACAAGTCGCTGCTCACGTTGCCCATACCGACGTTTGAGTAGACATGCCGGTGACAAACGTAACCTTGGATGATAACCGTGGGACGGCCAGCGCAGATCGGTATCTCATTTCGTATAGGGGACAAGTTAGAGGAGGCCATATAAGAGACACTCCGAAGACACGCCGCGAAGTACTCAGGGCTGGGAAATTTATGATGCAGAGGCTGTGCTGTGCTCTCCCACAAGGGGGGCCACCTGAGCAACGCCAGGCTGCGCTTGGCGAAGCGAGTGGCTCGGCGTCTGACTTTCCTCTGCTACAGCATCCTATCAAAGGCAATAAAGTAAAGGCGGTTGCCAAAGCTATGGGATTATTCAATTCAATTTTAACTTTTGCTGCGATTGGCCCACGTGCTTGCCGGCGGGAGAGACAGACGTGCCGGCGGGTTGCCTTGCCGCGGCCCCGGGTCCTGCGGCACCCGCTCTCCGCTCAGATCGCTCCTTCCCTGAGTCTCTTGACTACTCTCCTCTTTCCAAGTTCTATTGGTATTCACGCTCGGTCCCGCAAGTCGCGCCGTTCTACTGCCGCCATCAGTCAGAACGAACCAGCAGTGGGACCGCGGCGTGCGCGTGAGAGGGCGATGGCTGGAGAGTTTGTCCGCAATGGGACCGGCAGATCGGTTTCGCCCATGTCGATTCCCCTCGTAACGCCCACCAGAGCGTCCCGCCCGACCCATTTCTCTTTATACCATCACAATCCCCGCCATTACCCACCATCTTCCCTATCGTTCCGCCGTCGTTTCAACTCCTTCTGACCGCCCCAATCCCCCCATCCGACCTCGTTCCATTTCACAAATTGCTCCTAAGGTTCATTCGTAGTAAGGTCACCAACTTGTGACCGAGTCTCGCGCCATGGATTTTCGCCATAATTCCAGCCAGATCTCTCTCGTCACCGTCGAGACCGGAAACGACTCGCCGAACATGCCGTCGACTCACCCCTTGATCGCCTCTGATGATGCCAGCCGCCCAAATAACCTGTCCCCGACCCTCTCATTTGTCAAGGGCGGGAAGCGTAAACGTCTCAGCAAGGTAGGCCCGATGCTCTATCAAGCATGGTCGCACTTGAATAGACCTATATGCTAGGCTTGCGACGCGTGCCACAAGAGCAAACGGAGATGCGACGGCACAGGTTAGTCTATGCGTACGCTACCTCCTCCCAAGTCTCACCCGCAACTGAGTTGTGCAGCTCCCTGCAGTAACTGGTAGGAAGAATCCACATCCCTCCGACAAGCGTCCCGGCTGATTTTTTGCTAGTTACTTCGCGTCCAAGACATGCACCTACACCGACTCCTCAGGCCGCCCTGTGCCCGCACCACGCAGCGCCCACACCGAACGGCAGGTGGTCGCAGGATCGGTATGTTCCTTCCCTGCCTAGCCCACACTCACCAAATTAAAATTCAATCGTCTAAATGAATGAACAAACGCCCTCTCGCGAAAACAATAGGACATTCCCACGTTGCGCCAGACATTCGAGCCCGCACACTCGCCCACGGCCATGCCGGTCCCGCCCCAGCTGCCGCCAGCAGAACGTATCGCCGCAGTCAAGAAGAGCCGCGCCGCTGGGAGCAGTACGACTAGCCCCACCAGCACCTCCGCGTCTTCGCCGACGCTCGAACAGGTCACTCCTCCGCGTTCGCAGCTCCTCAGCGAGCCTGACACCACGAACGAGCTCGTGAACCGTGAGTAGTTCTGTCTTCTCACGCAGAACAGGCCCTATTGCTCATTTGCTCATGTGCCCGCCCACGCGCGCAGTATTCTTCGGGCACTGCAACCCGCACCGGATGATCCTGCACAAGCCGTCGTTCTCGTCCGCACTGTCACACTACGCGCTGCCCGAGTACCTCGTGCTCGCCGTTTGTGCGGTCGCCGCACCACTGCACAAGAGCGTGTCTGCGCGTGCGGCCCATGCGCGCATCGCAGGTGTGCCGTTCTACAACGAGGCCGTCGCGCTCATGTTCGACAACGCGGGCCGCCTGCTCAGCGAGCCGACGGTCGCGACTGCACAGGCACTCTGCCTGATGGAGATGCACGAGGTCGCCGCGAGCCACTCGTGGACGAAGCACTACAAATATTTTGGTGGGCGCAGCAAAGTCATCTCTAGCACACCAACATCACTGACATGACGCACGATGGCGCTCCTGGTTGCCCACGGCAGACCTCGCACTGCGCCTCTTGGAAGAGTCACTCGAGGTGCACAAGCCGGACGACGAGGTGCAGCACACGCCGTCCTCGCCGTCAGTCGACTTATACATCGAGCGTGAGTGCGCGCGGCGGTGCTTCTGGCTGATCCAGGTGATGGGCTGGATCAACGGGATTTACACGTACCGCCCGATGCGCCCGAGGAGCGTGCAGCTCATGGAGTCAATTCGCCTGCCGGTGGACGAAACGACGTTTGAGCTTGCGGCGCATTGGAGCGCGGCGAGTGAGTTGCGGTGTAATGGATATCGAGCGGGAGCTGATCAATGCCGTGAATTTTTGTCTTCTCTTTGACGGGACGCAGCGAAGGAGTTCTTGCATGCGCCTGCACCGAGGACGCGGTATGCGTCGCAGTTCGGGCACGTGTGCCGGATATTGTCCATCTATGCGAACGTGCAAGCGGTCGTAGGTACGTCCGCTAATTTCTCGCTTGTATTTTGCGGAGACTCACGTTCCTCGTAGCTATGAGCGAGAGCGAACAGCGCGCTACCGCTCTTCGAGAGAGCACACGAACGTTGAACGTGAGAGCACCCACAGCACCCAAGCTTGTCCACGCACTAAGCATTGCCCACCGCTAGGCATGGATCCAGTCGCTCCCGGCACATCTGCGGTTTTCGGAGGAGAACGTCGAGAAGCAGGAGGAAATGTTTGGGATGAGCTCCAACACGGGCGCATGGTGCTTCTTCTTCATGCACGCGCTCTACCCGTGCTGTTACCTCGCCGTCCTCGAGGTGAGCGCCCACGACCGATGACCTCAGCTTATTTTGTGGTATTCACTCGTGCGACAGGGCGAAGGTAGACTGGGCGAGCCCATTCCATGGGTGCGCGATCGGCTAGGCACGATCTTCAAGGCGACGGGCACGCGGGCCAAGAATACTATCCTGTGTACGTCCTGTTGCTCTCCAACTCGCACTCCGATCCGCGTGGCTGACCCCAGCGCCCGCACAGCGGCGTGTGTGCTCTGGGTTCGTGATTGCCGATCCTCTGACATACGCGTTCATATCGGCTCATTGCTCTGTTCTTTTTGATGCGCACGTGCAGTCGTACAGCAAGTATCACCCCGACGACGAGCAGCTCCACAGGTGGGACCGCGACTTTGAGCGGGTGTGGGGATTCAGCGTGACGGTGGTCGCGAATCAATGGAGACAGGCGCAAACGCTGGAACGTGCCCAGGCGGCGGCCTCGAAAGCCTCCGCGAACCCGTCGCAGCGGGATGCGGTGCCGCCGGCTTCGACTGATTATAATGGTTCGCAGCCCGGCGGCACGATTGAGACCCAAGCGCACGGAGATACGGGAGCAGAACGCCGAGCCGACGGCGCGTCAACACAGACTTCGAATGCGCGTGCGAGTACGGGAGCGAGCAATCAGCGGAATGCATTCCCGGCAGACGCAGAGCAGATCGTCCAGGCGCCGCTGTTGAGAAGCGGGACTAACTTGCCGTCGCTCAAGGCAAGCGGCCTGCTCGACTCGTGGAAGCCGCCATCAGAGGCGTTTGCGAGCGCGTTGTCGCTTTCGGGACAGGCGCCGCCGGCGCGGGAGAATGATCGGAATGCAGTCGCAGTGAGCACGCTGCTCAACCCCGAGGCGCAGCCGGTACGGACGAATGCAGTGGCCGCATCGATGATGCCTGTCGGGCTTGATTGGCTGGAGAATGAGGTGTGAAGGAAGAATCGGGTGAGAGCTTCTTGGATAGCATATATTGAGGGCGGCCCAGTGAGGATCCGCCGGACAGTGTACTGTACCTATATGCGTGCAATATGACTTCCTGGGTATACAGTTAGGTGGTTAATACAGTGTGGTAATGATATGCTGCAGGTGACACTACTGTTCGCGCCATCAGTGCTCCACCTTCCTGAGGTTACGGTGCAGCTCGGGCTTCACTAGCACTACACGGTCGAGGAGCTTCCCGACGACCTCATCCTTGTTCTTGTTGTACGCATCGGCGATCTCCTGCAACTTTATCTGCGTGTCCTTGTCTACCTGTACCTGCGCGGTTTGCGTGTTGCCGGCATGCTGCACAACGTCGTGAGCAGGTGGTCAATGCTCGGAACTGTACGACGCACCGACGCCTCGAATGCTCGGAACTCCTCTTCCTTCGTCTTCTTATATTCTTCGATCTCCTTGGATGCCTGCGCGCGGGCGTCCTTCAGCTTCTGGACGCGATCTATGAGAGAAAGGGCTGTGAGCGATGACGCCAACCGAGCGGACTCCTAGACGGACATTGGCGCGACTGCTGGACGACCTTGGCGGCGTCCTTCTCCGCCTCGAGCAGCGTTTGAATGCTTTGGGATTGCTGAGCGGCCTGCAGTGCGTCCGTTCAGCAACAACTCGAGGAGCAGCGGCGGGGGCGAAGACATACCATCGCAAGACGCAAGTGCACTTGAAACTCCGACACGCGTGGCGCGGCCACACTCACTCTGGCGACTCGCGCGCTTCGCCACAGCTCACACTCGCGCTTGCTCCTCACCATGTCGACGCCATACTCTGAGCCTGCACAGAACATCGGCTACTACCCGCCGCTTCCCTCACGAGCACAGTCGCAGTCACAGCCGCAATCGCAAGCCCAGGCGCCGACGCAGCCCGCGCAGGACGCAAGCACATCCGCGCAGCCACCATCGCGTCAGGCGACAGAGGAAGCGCGGAAGGACAGGACGTTGGCGGAATTCCTGCTGATGTTAGATGAATATGAGCCCCTGGTACGTCGCGGTTGTGCGCTAGCGATGCGTCGGGAGAGTGGGGGCGGTTCGGGCGACCTCGTGCGTGTGCAGTGTTGACCTGTTTTCTTGTTGTCAGATCCCCAGCGAAGTCACGGATTACTACCTTCAGAGGGTCGGGTTCGACTGCGAGGATGTGCGACTGTGAGTATGGTGTTGCTTCTGCAGTCGTGTCCGGTGGTCACCTTGTCTGAATGTGCATTGTCAGGAAACGACTCCTGTCGTTGGCCGCGCAGAAATTCGTCTCTGACATTGCGGCAGATGCATACCAACATGCACGGATACGTGCCAATGCCGCAGGTGGCCGTGCAAGAGCGAGCCAGTCGGGTCCTGCCGCTGCTAGGGTGAGTCCCCTTGCCATTCAACTCACAGTCAATGACTCAACATCGTCACTGCTGCAGGACAAGACGAAGACAACTCTCGTAATGGAAGACCTCAGCGCCGCCCTTACGGAGTACGGTATCACCTCGCGGAAACCCGAGTTCTACATGTGAGGCTCAGCGGGCGATTGATGAGGAGGGCGTCTGCGCGTGTGTACGTTGTAGTATGTACTGTTTCTGCTTATTGATCTCATCCCCTGCATGTGTATTTTTTTATTGCAATACCGTTCACGTTTGATAGACGTTTAATTATTTCCAGTGTCTCGTCGATTATATGCCGTGAAGTGCCCATCAATCGGATGAACGGAACATCCTGTGTCAGACTTCGACATAGGTAGCAATTCGTGGAATATTCTCCCTGTGAGCTCGACGTTCTCATGAGAGCGACCCATGCTGCTACTCAAGTGTTCAAACATTCACTACTTAGCAAGAGTGGATTTGGAGGAACGAAGTATTGATTGGTCGTTCGACCTTTGAAGTTATGTGATAGGCGGCCTGGATAATAGTGAATGCTTTCCATCACCCTGGGCAATGGTCTATCATCCGCGTGTCCCCAGGAAAGCAGGCTGGGGACCTGCACGGAGGGATCTTTGGTACCTGAGATTTCACGGATATGGCCACGCTGATCGTTACGAAAGAAGACATGTTGTGCATCGACGCGTAACTTGAAGGTTCGGTCCATTTTTATCGCTCGGCGAACGTATCTAGTGTTCCGACAGTCTTGCATTTGTGCACTCTGCGAGATTGATACAACAAACAACAAAGGAGCAACGCACACCACTGTAGACAGTCCCCGTCATGAAACGCTGATATTAATAATATAGTATACTGTGTCAATCCTCTCGTATTGCGGCCTCTGGGGACAGCTGGTCAGCTGCAGCGACAAGAACGAGATCATAACGGCACTCACTGAAGAACTCGTATGATAACCAGCACAGCGCATTGCTCGGCATGAAAGTCAATACCCGCGGTGTCAACCCCCTCATGAACCCCTTCCATCCATCCCTTGCCCAGATAATCCTGAATGCATCCATCATCCCCCGCGAACTTCGTATCTCGGGGTCCATCGACGTGCCGCGCGTCTGAAGAAGCGTCTTTGCGACGTCGAGCGGTGTAGTTACTGCGCCTGCAACGGCGCCAGAGAGGCCGCCTGAAGCGATGTGCGTCACGGGCGAATACGTGCCGGATGGGTTGAGCAGCTTCTTGAGCTGCTCATAGACTGTGAACTGTACCGCGGTGAACGGTACGGTCATTGTGAGCGTCGTCGGATACGAGACGTAGAATGCGGAGAGCCCCTCGGTGCTGTACACCGTCCGCGCACAGGTTATGGCGGAGCGGAATTCGGATTGGTGCACCTGCATGCGCTGTTTTATCACTGTGAGAGGGCGCGAGTTGGCTGCGTGTTCGCGTGTGGAAGCTGTCAGTGCGCCTTACCATCAAAGGGGTTCATCAACGCGTCGCTTGCTATTGTTGCAGACGCGCCTGCTAATGCTGTTGTACGTTCGCACAAATGAGCGATTCAGAGCATCACAGATGGTAGCCGGGAAGTGAGAGACACTCCCAAAGCCAGAAAATCCATCACGTACACGTCGCCAGCCACTGGTTCCGGTTTCCCTTTTCATTGCCTCCCGCCAGCTCCTTTATAGCTTCGTATGCACCAAAATGGACCGCATGTGCCGGTCCCGCACCCATGATCACTGAAGACACTCCCCGCCATAGTGCCCTCATTCCTTCCGTAGACGATATCCGCGTGAAGGCATTCCCGACGCCAGTGTACACCGCCGATGGCGATGTCGCAAAGACTTGCATTCGGGTCTGAAACGCATATAGTCAGGTGTCCGCTCTGATACTGGTGATTCGAGCCACATACTTTTATGCTGTCCACCGGGAACATCACAGCATGCTCTGTGATGCCGGCCTAAAGGAGATAACCGTCAATGCTTCCAACCATGACGGTACGAGCTAAGGAGCCAATCCATCTCGCAGACAAAGCAGGTTGAAGCTCACCAGAGCACCCGCCATCATGTTGACCTGAGCGTTTAGGCTGGATGAGCATATGTCCAGGGCGATCGAGCCAGAGACGACTTACGGCGAGACCGGCGTTGGGATCCAAGCCCTCATACTCGACCTCCTCTATCTCCTCAACGACTTCCATGATCTCGGGGAGCCCGTTGATGAGCTCGACGGGCTGTAGGAGCGACAGCTTGGCGGATGGAACGGGGTGAGCTGTGAAGGATTGTTCCGGAGGCAATCGGTCGGACGCCGACACCGTTCAATCTCCTGCGGCGGGCAGTACGTGTAACTTCGGCGAAGCACTCGCGTTTAACGGAGCACTCTTTCGCTCAGCTGGAAGGGCCGCAGTCGCGCGGGCGCTGGCGTAGGGCTGGCCGCTTTATATTCGAGGATCAGACAGACCTTCCGGAAGTCAGGAGAAAGCGTGGCAAATTCAATTGCTCCCCGAGCCAGTACTAGCTTAGTGCCATCCAGTTCCGCTACAAAAAATGCGCGCAGCAACTGCCCGACGGGACGCGGCGTTGAACAGATGCTCGTCTATGATTGGGCGCGAGAAGTACAACACAGATGCGGGCTACACAACCTCTGCACGCGCAGATTCCAACCTTCGTCCTCGTAAAACCGGGCAGAAAGCTAGGATTTCTGGCGCTCTTCTTGCGCAATACGGTCATGTTCCTCGATATCTCTGGCCGGTCAGGGAATATGCATTAGCCCTCAGCGAATCAGGGCATGGGAACGCCAGCCACTCACACTGCTTCCCACGGGTAGTCCAGCCTATCGCAGCCCGCAGAATCAGCTCCAGCCCCGAGGACAGCTAATCCTTCACTCACCATACGTTCTCCACCTCAGCTCCCACGTAGTAGCTGCCATGAAACACCCGCGCATCAACTCGAGGCACATGTCTGCGCGGTAACGAGATAGCTAGACGCTTACGGGATGTCTGCAGGAAGCTCGCCCAATTTTGGCTTCAGCTTGTTGTTCACCACGAACACCGCAAACTTTGTCCGCTTCGCCGCGCGTTCTGCTTCAGGCAGTTTGGCGAGCTCGCGTTCGACGTCCTTCTGCAGCTCAGAGATAGCATATCTGCGAAGCCGTAATAAGGGGTGGGGCGCCGTCAGTAAATCAGGTGTGCTTACTCGAGCGTCTTGCGGGAATCATCAATCTCGTCCTATATAGTGTCATTGCGGAAACGTCCCGAGATCAGCGAAGACGGAAATGCATGAACGTACCACAATTAGAGCTCTTCGGCCAAGCAGAATCTTCCCAGACTCAGGACCTCTGTAAATGCAGACAGCATCATTGGGTCGGGCATAGGAGGGCAAGCTAGTAACGTGGCTTACAGCCACTGTGTCTTGATGACTTCCTTGCCGAGTTGCTCGGCAGTCGTACCGGGCAGGGACTCATATAGCGACAGACCGATGGCGTGGATGGGAATGTTCCTTTGTGATGCAGTGTCCTTGAGGAACGTACGCTACACGGAAGATGTATGAGTGGGAGCAGCCATCGCACAAGCGGCAAGAATGCACACCAGAACACGGGCAGGGAAGAACCCCCTGGACACGATGGTTCAGGAAGGAGATCTATTAGGGGTTGAGCAGTACACTGACCCTCCGCCTGTGCGCTGGACTCAGTGATCAGTGGAGAGCCAACAAAGGGCTGCGCACCGATCGCAATGAGCATGTCTGGCCGGAACTCTTTGATCTGCTTGGAAACCTTGCGGATGAGGTTGTGGATGTCATTGTACGTGAGGTGTACGTGCTTGATGTCGGACATTTTGGTACTAGATCAATGTTGATGCACAGGAGGATTGGTGACAGGATGCACGAAAATTATCTTATCTCTTTTTCGTGATCGTTGAGCGCTCGACGATCACCAAGGTCATCTCATCGTTCTTGTCCACTCCATCCGATATTCTCGCGTAAAACTGGCTCAACTGTTGTCCTTAGTAGAATCTAGTACATCGGCAGACTTCCATCTCATTCGCAATGTGGAAGACGCGTCCGACGCGCCCAGAAACCGCGTCAATTGTGGTGGTCACGTGGAGCGCGATGTAGGAGTCCACTCCGAACTCTCTGTTCCTCAGCGGTGAGGTTGGTCGTCACCAAAAACCACACCTTAGGAAAATATCTTGACTAGACATGTCTGATCCATTTGGTGCATCTGGTTCGTCAAACTCAACACCGAAGGCCATTGCGAGCCTTGCAAAGAAGCAGAACGATGTTACTCGCATGGGGGCGCAGAAGCTCAAGTTCGTGCCGACTTTACCTGCGAGACGGAAGAAGGAGTGAGTATGTCGCCCCCGGTGTCTTCTAAGTGCGATGGTCTGACCAAATCGTTGTGCATTACTCGCAGGGAAGTGAAAAAAGTGCGCAATCAACTATTTACTAAGCGGGGCGGCTCATGCTGATCTCGCATGAAGGAAGGAGCTGCTGCAGCGACTACATCCTTGGACGGAGGACGCGGACGAGGTGCTGATCGCAGGAGAGGGCGAGGGCGAGGCGGTGAAGGAAGAGGCGCAGCGCCCCGCCCACCGCTAATTGAGATGACCGCCAGTGGGCCCTTCGCCATGGGCCCTGCCCTCGCAGGCACCTCCGCACGCCGCACAGCGCCCCGCTCGCACTTTGCTCCTGCCATTCCGCTGGGTCTGTGCGGCACGGCGATGCTGGGCGCGGGCCTCACCGCGACGACCGCGCCGACGCTGAAGCGGGAGAAGAAGGAGCGCGAGAAGAGCGAGGAGGACGAGGAGGCCTACTCGGACCCGGATGAGGGCGTAGAGATTGTGGATATGGACAAGATCAAAGATATGGATTGGATGGCGCCAGAGACCTTGGGTAAGGAGAAGGTGAGGAAGAGGAAGGGTCCGAAGATGAAGAAAGAGGAGAAGGAGGATAGGAAGGGGAAAGGTATGTCATCTATGGTTTATTGCTCCGAGGGCAATGTTCATGCCGGACCTCAGGTGTTGCCAAAGTCGAGCCCATGGAGGTGGATATCTCGTCCGCAGAGCTGGAGGAGGAGCAAGTCAACCTCGCCAATGCAGTTGACCTCAGTGAGAGCGAAGACGAGGAAGAGTTGGAAGACATCATCGATGACTTCGCGTTCGCCAACGACACGGAAGAGGTCAATCTAATCCCGTCTTGCTGCAGAACGTATACTCATGCATCTTTATCGTTCAGGCTGCAAATATTCGACAAGGACGCCTATATTTCTTCCAGTTCCCCAATCCCTTCCCAAAGTTCACCTCGAAAGCCCCGGAACCCTCAACGGCCGATCAGTCGAACCTGGAGCAACCCGATGCAAAAAAGGTGTCATTCGCACCAGACACAAAACCGCCAGCTACAGCTGATCAGCCCGACGAGAGTACCTCCTCTCAAGACAAACAATCCGATGTGAAGACGGAAGAGCCGAAGGTAGATGGCGTCATTGGCCAGTTGGAGATTTATGAGAGCGGCGTCGTCAAGATGCGTCTCGGCAATGGCAACTTACTGGATGTGAGCGACTGTATTTTTCGTTCAAACTAGGATCCTAATGGCATAAACCTTCATAGGTAACGGCGGCGACACAACCCTCCTTCCTGCAGCAAGCTGTCTATGTTGATCCTACGAATAAGCAGCTATGCATCTTAGGCGAAGTCAGCAGGCATTTTGTGATCTCTCCGGATATTGAGACCCTGCTCACAGCCATGGAGCTCGCCGAGCAACCCGTCACGTTTGACCTTGGCGAAGACCTCATAGCGATGGATACAAGCTGATCTATTGATTAGCGTGGACAGCCATCTCTCTGTTCGTGCTTGTGTTCCGGTCTATTATACAGTGCAAGATGTGGTAGCACTACTGGATACTACATAAAACGATGCCGCTCACTAAATTGCCGTGCTAAGTATCATATCATGACTACCACCAGAAGCATAAGTACATCGAAGTTGAGTAGGCAAAACAGTATCTTATGGTGCAGGAGAGCTTGACGCAGCCGGAGGCGTTTGCGCTTCGGGAGTGGATGCAGTCTCGGTATTGCCATTCGTACTGCTGTCGTCCTCCCCGAAGATGTCAAGATACCCTGCAACCCGGGCCTTGTTGACGCCTTTTTTCAACACGAACTCACGCAGGCCCGCCTTCAGACTCGGTTGCTTGTCAACAAGCTCTCGAAGTTGGTCTTTCGGCAGCTGTAGGAGGGCGCCAAAGCTGGCAGGCGCTATGAGCTTTGCGCAGCGGATGAAACCTTCCCACAACGGGGGGTTCGTCCAGATCTTCTTGGTGATTAGCCGCGATAACAGGGTCGTGGACACGAAGCCGACAAGGGACCTGTATGTGGTCACTGCTTGAATCACCTGCAAGATTGTCAGATTAGATATCAAGCAGAGATAACCAATGGCAGCATCATGATTAGAGAGCATGCTTACCGTCCTGAGGAATAGCGTTGGCAGGACTGGTTCGTCCACCAGCTGATTCATGACCACCGCTAGAATTTCAGACCGGAAGATATCCGTCATCGAGAAACATATGCCAACCGCTGCGCGCGAATTTGTGAGCACTGCCGCCATGAGCTCAGGCGCCGGGATGCGTACCTTCTATCGCGGCTTTCAACCCAATTTCCTTCTCCGACTCGTGTAATAAGACCATCAGCTCGGCAGGGGTCAGTAGCTCACTTTGCCGCACTCTGGGCAGGTTTGACGTCACGCTGCCGAAGGTCTGCGGAGGTGTCGTGACGACTGAGCTAAATACAGAACGAACGAGATTCCTGGGCTCGGGTTTCCCGTTCAGAATAGAGACAATACGCGGCAGATGCCGCAAGATGTCCGCCTACAGTGAGCATTCCATCAGTATATGTGATTGCATCGACATCGTGCCCACGTACCTTGTCCATCTCTGCAATGATAGGTATGAGGAATCGTGCGTCGAGTTCTCGCTCGCTGTAGAGAGACTTCACGAGAGTGACCAGCTGCGCACTAGGTCGCCCATGTTCGGTGAAGATGGTTAGAACGCGCAGCGCAAGCGTGTCCGCCCCTGGCGGGAACGTCCGTAAGAGCGTTAGCAATCTACCATGACTTGGACCCAGTGCGCGAATAAGCGGTGTTATGAGCTGTTGTATTGTCTCCTGCACGCTCTCATCCATGCCGCCGTAAGCAGCGAAGATCCTAGGATGCAATTAGCTGGGATCTCGCTGATCCGGGAAAGTACATACTCGTCGAGGAACTCAGGAACCTTCGTTGACAATGCGAAGAGGAGCTCAAGGTGCTGTAGGACCTGTGCGTTATTTGCAGGCAACTCCAGCTGCTCTGGCAAGTATGGCGTCTGAATGATATCCTCTTGAGGCAACTGACCATCTTCCATGTGCTCATCATGCTCGCCATTCATATGGACGTCCTCGGACTTGGCAGACTTGGGACGAGATTGCAGCCGCCGTAGCAATTGCAGGGCGAACTCACGAATCATGCTGTCCATGGGTTGAATGTCGGGTATCCATCTCTTCACGGTATTTATCGCGGCTCCCCGTGTCACCTTGTCTATGCATCCGGTAAGTAATCAGCTGTCGTATATGAGCAATGTCGATTACCAGGATGAGTTGTGAGTTCCAAGAGCATATTCATCGCTTCAGCGCGTAACGATGGTCGTTGTGAGATAAATTCACGCAGTGCAGCGAAGCCCATCTGCCGTCTGTGTGTTGAATGTCATTATCAGAAAGATGGCCCCACATCGTCTCAGACGCACCGTTCTGGCTCGATGCAAGACTCCCTCAGCAGAGTTAACACATCAGGTGGTACATGCGGAAGATCAAGCAGGAAGCGTGAAAATGTCCGATCCTTGCCATCTAGATGCGCTTGATACGCCGCAACAATCTGATTTAGCCATGTCTCGTAGTTGGGAACCTAAGAAAGACAATGATGAGATGCGCCCGTGTTGCAAAGACAAATACGCATACCCAATCGCGATCTCTGGACTTTTGTATCCGATCGTTGTACCACTCTTCATTCATCCACGTTGTAGCAAGACGTAGCCTGTACGGGATATATGTCAGCGCACCATCTAGCGAATAACGCGTTTGGGCATATTACCTGCTAGAAAAATCGGCCATGATGTAGTTACAGAGCGTCTGCCTTAGCCTGTCCTGATGCGCATAGATCTCCGAGACTGCGTCATTAATGTTCTCCTCGGGTTTCTTCTCGGTACCGTCTTCCTTTCCTGCAGGATCCGTTACGCGAGTGACCAGTCTCACGATCAGTAACATCCACGTGTCTGCAGTGGACGAGCCAACAGCCTCGGCCTCGGCCGCCAGTTCTGAGGGAGCAAGGTCTTTTGCTCCATCCCAAATTCGCCCGAGCGAACCGCGGACGATCATTTCCCGTTCATCTGAAGAGAGGTCTTTTGGTGGAGGTAGTTTGAACTCCGCAAGGTGCAAGTCTGCCGTAAGGTCCATCTCACGGTCCAGGGCTGCTTCATGCTCTGGTACTGCCTCTGATTCGCCTGAAAGCTAGGTGCACGCTCAGAAGATGAAGGTGCATCTCACGATGCACAAGGAATTACTCACCTCGACGTTGAGTTTGTCCGGCTCAAACTCGAGCTCTTCTTCATCGATGTCCATCTTGAGCGGATCCACAGGTTCCTCTTTGATCGTGACGAGGGGGGCTGCAGGAGGCGGAGAGGCAGATCTCCGCAATCGTTGTTCTGGTTTTGCAGGTGCTTCTGAGACACTCGCTGCAACCACTGGAGCAGCCGCACTCGGGGCGAAAACGGGAGCAGAGGGGGGAAACGCTGCAGATGTTGATGCGGCGCCATTAGTTTGCGTTCTGCTATGTCGATATGCTTGAACAAGACCGGTGAGGCTTGCCTCGGAAAACGTCTGGATATTTGCCACGATGAGGTCGGTGACAAGGGCAGCTGGCAGGGTTGTGAAGTCAAAGCCGGCAAATCCTGTCGTTGGTATAGAGAACGCCGCGCCCTCTTCCAACTTCGGTCGCTTTGCCTCCGGCCCTTCCTGCAATGGTGTACCTGTAGGCGATCGTTTGCGCGACGCTTCGGCTGCTACGGCTGCTACGGCTGCTTTGCGCTGTTTTTCTGCGGCTGCTGCTTGATCCATCCTGGCTCCTTGATTAGCGAGTGCAGTGTGAATCTGGGCTGAGAATGATGCGCCTTGCTGTGTCCTGTTCACATGACACACTCTGTTAGGGACTGCGATTCATCTCGATGTATCTCAAAGCTCACCGTGAGATATGCATTAGAAGTATGCGGACAGCCTTCTCGACACTCTTGATGGCGGATGCAGACTGGCCCTCGAGCTTGGCCGGTGTCCACTGTGCGAGCGTGGACACGACAACTTCAACCAATGCTGGCCTGAGTTTCACTAGCATTGCCCAGCTGTTGATAATGGCGGACAACATATCGGGATTACTATAGGAGCAAATGCTGTGGGACGGTCTGCCACTCCAACGATAACTTCCGGGACTTACCTGCTGGTATATAATATTGTTATGATGCTCTCTAGAAGTTTGAGCCCCTCTGCTTCGAGCGCAGCGATGTTAATGAAAGGGTGGTCTGATGGACACATCGAGAGATTAGGATCGTTCCTATTCTGCAACTGCACCATCGAAGCGAGATGGACATGCGTTAGCGTTGCACAAGCAATATAACGGTAAGGACACACCCTGGGGTCATTATTTCCCCGTGTTTGAACAAGAATCACCCTCTGCATGAACTTGACTGCCGCGAACCGTATACTAGCGCTGACATGGGGTGCCCAGACAAACTCCAAGATCCGCGTCTTTGCCTGCGACAGCATATCCCATTGTTGGCGAGCATTTCGATTTGAACATCTACCTCATACAGGTATGAGCAGTTACTTGGAGCAGGACGAAAGGAAGTGTACTCACAGCATGCGGAACAGCAGCGCGTACACAGTGGCGAAGCATTCCACAGTAACCTTCACTGTTGTCGGGTTCGGATCGTTCAATAGTCCAGTCAAAGTCTCCAGAGATTGAGCGGCCACTGCAAATACCGATACTGGAATTAACGGACTACTCCATAAATTACACGAATTGGCACGCACATTGTGTACGCGCTTCAACAGACAAGTTTGACCGACAGATGGCAAAGTGTAGAAGATCAATAACCCATCTCTTCAGAAGCGAGTCGCCCGCTCCCGACACGGTTTTGATAAGAGTGGTACAGAGGACAGGTATTGGGCCAGGGTGAGCCTCAAGCGATTCTCGTAACGTTCCCAGAAGATCAGCCTGTTCCTTCGAGTCCGCCGCCACTGCTAGCGCGGCAGAAAGAGCTTGCAGAGGGTCTATCGGATTACTGGCCATCCCACACGCTCAACGTCGCTCACGATAAACTGCGCGAAAATGTGCGGCGGAGGAACGAGCAAAGCCATCATCATTCCTGTAGCCATTCAAGAAGGGGCGGGTCACGTGACCGAACATCGAACTCGACCCTCGCGACTCGCGACGGGTTTTCTTGAAATTCCTGCTCGAGCACTTCTGTTCTGTTGCAACTGGAGTCACAACGTTTTTAACTGGTGGCTCCGCTACAAACATCTGATGAGAAGTCGATGCGGGAGTATAAGGTCTCTGGCAGCTCCGAATCAGCACATATCTTGACCGCTAGTTCAAAGAGAATCGTGCCGTCATGTCCTCAGCGGAGACTGCTTCTTGAGGACATGTCCGACAACTCTGCTGGGAAGGTGCACGTATCCTATATGAAACGGCCGAGCTGCTCACAGCACGCAGGCAATCATTGATAATTCGCAATGACTACTTGTTACACCGTGTGAGGATATCGAAGTGATGTACTGTCATATGCATTGAATTGGTACACATAACGTTCAAGACTTGTATAGGAAAAACCAGTTGCAGAAATTTCCTGAACTTTTTTCCTCCTCAGGCCCTTGGTTTGTTGAGAAGGACCTTCTCGACGCCTTCTGGTAGCATGTAATTGCCTTGATAGCGAACCTATCGGTGAAACTCAACATAATGCGCTCGAAGGAATCGGCAGCGTGGCCAGTCTTACCTCGTCAAACGTCTCCATCAAGAGTAGGCTCTTGTCATGACTCCACAGGTCACTCTCGATCTTGCCGTCCCTCACACACCGTGCCACCTCATCCGCCTGGAAGTGCCATCCTCCACCTACATAGTGGAACATACGTTTCTCCTCTCGCACGACGTTGCCCTTATCTGGACTATCAAACCATTGCACCTGGAACCAGCTCGGGATGGGCAGCGGAGACCCTACGGTGATCGTGCCTTTCTGGTAGCGGATTGTAGCGCCTATCTCTGGTGAAGGAAGAGTCGCACTACAGCTGAGGTTTGCCTGTGCACGGAGAGTGGAGGTGAAATTCAGCGTCCAGCTGGTACTGATATCGACGCCAGTGCGTGGCGTCTTGATCATGGATGCGGTGACGCTCGTGGGCTTTGCCCGCTTGTTTGACGGATGCTCATAAAGCGCAAGTACAGCCTGATAAGTGTGTCAAATCGGAATGTTACCCTTTCAACGCAAATACCGTCATACCCAAAACATTGGATACGGTCCTCTGTCAAATTTCACTGTCAGTCGAAAGATGCGATTGCTAGAGTAGTTAGCTCACAAGTCGAGAAGGCCTCCACCCCCAAGGCGAGGATCAAGCATTCTGTGCGTTGTTGGTAGGTCTAATCATCAATGCGGCATAATCAGTACGATTCAACGTCCCTCCCCCTCGACAGAGCATCTGTCGGCTCACTGTTCATGTCAAAATAGTGGGAGAAGTCCGCATGTAACATTATCGGATCTCCCAGTGAGCCGTCTTCCGCGATTTGCTTGAATGCCTTGACGAGAGGTTGAAAACGTGTCCACAATGCTTCCATGAAGAACAGATTTTTCGCCTCGGCAACTGACAGAAGTTTCCGCAGCTCAGCTGCGTTGAGAGTGACTGCCTTTTCGCACAAGACATGCTTGCCCGCGTTCAGTGCTGCCATTGCATTTTCAAAATGCATAGCATGCGGAGAACCTGCACGCATTCTCAGACGGTTTTGCTAAGTCGAAATGCACGCCATGTATACCTATGTAAATTACATTGACTTCCTACGTAGACACAGGGCTGTCAAGTAGGGGGCTGCAAGATCCGACGCAGAGCATACCGGGTCTGCGTACACCTCTTCATACGTGCCGTACGCTTTAACGTTCTTGCCTGGGGCATAGGTGTCAATGAAGGCCTGGGCCTTGTGCACTTCGCCATTGCGGGACCCGACAGCGACCACTTGGTGGACGACATCCGTCGTCCCACGCCTATCGATAATTGTCAGTACAGAACGGGGATCATGGCAATTTCAGCAACGTGCGTCTTGGGGTCCACGACGCAATCCTACAATGCAAGTCTCAACTAGGTCGCATTTAGATCAGGCGATGAATGTCCTACCTTCACAAACTGCTCCGCAATCCACCCAGTCGACACGACGCCCCAATGCAAAACGAAGGGGTCGCGTATGGATGCCATGAGTACCGCAGATGGAAAATGGGAAAGAGACCAGTACTGATGCACCTCCGACGCCCGTGAGTAGATAGTCTTATTATATCGGACGGCCACGAGACATTGTGACAGATGAACGGGATTCTATGTGGGTGCGGCGGGGCGACGACGGAAGGGATTCATGAGCGAGGCTCACATGACTGTTCGAATCCCCGCAGGTAAACTGTGGACAACGGCATTCACATCGGGAGTTTTGTCATTTAATCCCGGACAAAAGTACAGACAAAATTTGAATTGACCAATGAGATTTGCTACAATAGTACTTTAATCCCGGATTAAATGGATGTGATTACTTCGGCTCTCTCAAACGCGTCTGTGGCAGCTCAGCGAAAACACCCGGCGCGTCCTACTATGGCGTGACCCATGCTTGTTGCGTTTGAAGGAACGTTCGCGGTTCACTGGGACCACCTCTCACACCGCCCGACAATCGTCATGTCGTCGAATTGCCTAGCTGTGTTGTTGAAATCACATCTCGGTCAATGTTGCCGTCTATGTCCCGCGACGCACACGTTATCACATCGCATCACAGCCGCGCTCCTCCACTGATCGGACTGGACAAGTTCAGCCGACTTCAACCCTGGGCCAACCACGTAGTCAACGTCGAACGCACCCTCACGATCTCTATTGAAGAAAGATCGTTTCGCTACTCTCTTGCGGGTATTATTTATCATGGTGCCAACCACTTCACCTGCCGATTTTTTGACTCCGCAGGCACATCGTGGTATCATGATGGAGCAGACGCTGGCCGGGAATGTATCTGTGAGTCAGGCGTTACCACCGATGCTCTGCTGTGCCAGTGGGCTCACGGTTGAGAGGCGACCATTTTACTACACCGCACGCTCTGAGTCTCTGTTATAAGATCGCACATTCGTTGTTTTGTCCCCTGCTTGTCATCGGATTGTCCACCACCATTGCTTTTCCGATAGACCGCCTTATCGTCGACTGCCGATGGCGTTCGTTCCGGTAGCTCAAACACTCACCGTACACTTCGGGCGGCTCGCTGGGCTCTCCCGCACCACAACTGGCGGCGACTACCTGCCGCGAGCTTGCCGGAGAGTAGACGGCTGCGGCGGTACGGGGGCCTCGGTTTCCATTTCCCGGATGCAGACCATCATATACTAGATATCGATCATTATCGTTGATGGATGCCTGTTTCCCCACTGCTGCTTCTTTCGCTGTCGCTGTCCGCGTCTTGGCCCGCGTCTTTGGCTGCTCGCTTCTTTGGCTGTCCGCGTCTTTGGCTGTCCGCGTCTTTGGCTGCCTGCTTCTTTGCCCGTCCGCTTCTTTGACTGTCGCTTCTCTCACTTTCGCGACTCGCCGGCATGCCTGCCGTTTTTTCACCAGCTGCTTTTGGGCCTTGTCTCTGAGACATCTGACTGCTGCTGCAGTGTGTCATATTGAATTATATAGGGCATGTCGCATCTCCCACAGCAACCAAAGCTTTTCCCCAACACTGCTCTCTCCTTCTCTTTGATTCTAACATGGAGCAGCATGACGTCTGGCAAAATCAGAATTCTACCTTTGGTCAGGAAGTTGATTGTGGTATCACCTCCGCGCCGATCGGTCTTGGAGCACCTGCATATGATGGATCTATGGCTCCTGTCTTGAATGAAAGGCTTCAAAACGTACGCAGTTTGACTGACAGATTTACTGCCTGCTCGCGGACTGCACAGACCGACTCGCTCGGTTGGATGACCACATCTCCCTTGCACGCTCAAGCTATAAGGTCCACAATCGTATGTAGATCCTTGCAATTCTTTGGCAAAGCGATCAGCATTGACGGAGGATGTAGCCTTCGGCTTTTAACACCGCTAGCGCGGCCGTCGCTTACGAGTCTCAGGCAAGTCATGTGCTAGCAGCATGGATATCTATTCTGAAAATGATTGTGTCAAGGTTCGGCAACGTGTGGTCAATGCGGTGCCACCTTTCTCTGGGCTTGTGGATATGGATGCCGTGGTATTTCAATGGGTTTTCTTCTAGCGTCCTCGAGCTGAGAGACATCGTAATATTATCAGGCGCCGTACTACCCCACTGTTGCTATCTTCAACCCACCGTCAATGCCCTCTGCGATATCTCCTGCGTATCAGGTATACCCTTTCTCTGAAGTGTTCTTACAACACGCTAATGGCTCATCACATGTCTTAGGTCTTCGAACAGGACGTGCCCTCGTTGCCCTATCGTGATATGAGGTCACGGCAACCATTTACTCCAATAACTTTGCTTGAATGCCTTCTTTCCTCGGGATCGCGGGGCATCTTATTGGCCCAAGTGTCGGATGGGAACTTTCTCGATTTATATGGGGGATCCTCCTTCATGTACTCTCCGTATAAACCCATTTCTGCAAAGACTACCCTCCATATTATTGTATGTCCCAATCGCAGGCCATTGACTCATTATAGAGCATACCGCTAACATACTGATGCAGTGGCCAGGATACGAGCCTTACCGCCGGCAGATTGTAACCAGGACAGCTCATGCGATCCCTAGACCCATCAGTTTCTCTAAACTCACACAAACTATCAGCACCGAGTTTCGGAAATTCTAGGACAACAAGGTATGCGTCCCGGCATTACGCATTTTTGCTATCGAAGTTTACTCGCAAATTCAATAGAAACTGATTGCATCAGTGGGCCACGAATGGTTGCTGTATCCCGAGGGCCCCATTCGGTTGGAACATGTGTTGCTCGTCGAGGTCAAACAGATCTCAAAAGGTAGCATCCAGGCCTTTTTTGCTGTCGTGCGCCCATAGGCTCCGACGAACCATCCCTACATGGGTTTGAAGGCGCCGGACTGTGAGATTCTTTTATCATCTCTTCCCCCATCGTGCATTGCTATGACAGTGTGTGGTTCGCCACCACATCAGACTTTATTCTTTTGGCTTTGTGTTGTTCAATCATATAGCATCTAGAATGACCGTCGTACTGGAGAAGCACCTCATAATGTTGAGTTTGCGTCGCGATGTGCCATTGCTGATACCGTCGATTATTGATTCTGCAACTCCGCGAAGCTCGTCAGAAGTATCGCATGCTACTAGTATCAACGCTATTCACTTCACACAATTACAGATCGTTAGGTCCGTGCATCGCGCGAATTATTTCAATTTCATGACATAATAGCAGGCATTGTCACAAAGACCGGTAGCGAGTCTCTTCGTGTGAAGCGCAATTAATCTCGATATCAACATATCGCGAGAGATTCCGCAAACACAATGGAATCCTGAAATCTCGCAGTGTTCTCCGTTCATTCGAGCTACACTCCAAGACAGCACGTGTAACTGATCAGAGCACCTTTTCGACACCATCTGGCAACTTATAGCCGCCTTGGCGCCGGACCTAAGAGAGCGCCCCGATGTCAGCTCGCAGACAGCCGGTTTTCGAGTGCCGGAGTGACGACCACTCACCTCGTCGAAAGTCTCCATCAGGAGCAGACTCTTGTCATGGCCCCACAGCTCGCTCTCCAGCTTACCATCTCTCACGCACCTAGCCACCTCATCTGCCTCGAAGTGCCAACCGCCGCCGACGTAGTGGAATACACGCTTCTCCTCACGAATAATCACTCCGCTACCGGGCTTGTCGAAGTATTGCACCGTGAATGAAGTCGGCTTGAAGATGGGCGTCCCGATAATGATGTTTCCGTTGCGGTACCGTATAGTAACTCCAAAATGCGCCGTCGGTACCGTTATGCTGCAGCTGAGGATCGCCTGCGCACGTAAGGTCTTGGTGAAATTCACCGACCAGGCCGTGCTGCTGTCGACACCAGTTATTGGGGTCTTGATCATAGATGCGCTGATGCTAGTGGGCTTTTCCTTCTGATTTTTCGGATGATCGTATAGAGCTAGCACAGTCTGAGACAGGATTGGTCAGTTTTAAACATCAACGACTTGATAATCTAGCCCTTTACCCAGAACAACGGATATGGTCCTCTGACCACGATCAGTGTCAGTATGCACAAAGTCTGCAGCGCAGAGGTGGGACCACGCACAGGTCAAGCAGAGCCCCTCCTCCAAGGCGGGGGTCAATTATTCTGTGAGAGGTGGGAATGTCTACAGAATCAAGACTAAATTTCACCAGATGGCTGTCATTGGCAAACACAGATTCTACGCACCCTCAATATCAAAATCATGAGATAAATCAGCATGCAGTACGACGGGATCTCCAAGAGTGCCCTCCTCAGCAATTCGCTTTACTTCCTTGGTCAAAGGCTGGAACCTCGTCCACATAGCTTCCATAAAGAAAAGTTGCTTCTGTTTAGCGACAGACAGCAAGTGCCGTAGTTCAGCGGCGTTAGATGTTGTGGCTTTCTCGCATAGAACATGTTTTCCCGCGAGGAGCGCCGCAAGCGCATTCTCATAGTGCTGCGTGTGGGGGGATCCTGGAGATGCATTCAGTCAGGTGGTTCGACCCTATGGCTACATTGCGGTCACCGATGTAGATGGCATCAACATCCTGAGAAATCATCATTGAACGAGTGAACCTCGGGGGATATGACCATGTGGTTTACCTTGTCTGCAAAGACGTCTTCGTAGGTGCCATATGCCTTGATGGGCTGCCCTGCACCGTATGCCTTGATGAAGTCCACGGCCTTTTGAACGTTGCCGTGTCGAGATCCGACCGCAATGACTTTGTGGACAACATCGGTTGTACCGCGCCTGATGCACCGCTCAATCCCTTGAAAGATACATAGCACTGCTGCATAACGCACGTCAACGGATCGATTGAACAGTCCTGCACGACGGCTTTCAGTGTTTATGCCCATCCGAGTACAACCGCGATCTTACTTTCACGAATTCCATGGCAATCCTGCCTGTGGAGATCACTCCCCATCGCAGCACAAAGGGGTTACTGAGCGCCATCACGGACGACATATGGTTGCGAATAAGTGAATGAGAATTGAACGGACTGCCCGAGTGGTTTTATAGACCGACGCAAGCACTCGGTAAACCGTCGGAAGCAAAAGCTCGCAGTGACGCTACGTCAGGGTCAGGCCCGGCCCGGCATATCCGGCTGAGCGGTAACTTACATACATTAATATATCCCGACAGGCCCTCTACGTCTCATGATACAAGAACGAACAGCACATGGTCATCGCAACTTCCGCAATTCCTCCTTGACAGCGCTCCGGTCACTCAGCAACGCAAGCAGTTGCCACCGCTGATCGTGGATGTCCTTGTCCTTGAGAGGGAGATCATAATCGGGCATGTCGTTTTCACCTAGAGCCATGCGCATCGCAGCCGCCGACTTGTTAGGCAGGATGGCAGGAGAAACCGTGAAGAGCGTCTCGAAGGCGGATGCGGAAAGTAGATAGTTATTACTATTGCGCGATGTAGGACGAATAGAGGTGATCGCGTGGGAGGTGGCTGTGAGCGAGAGCGCTTGAGAAATGAGCTGCTTGAGCTTGGCCTACAATGGTTGGATGAATAACGGGCAGCTGAACGGATACAGTTGCTTACTTCAAAGGCTAGCATCATGAGTGAAGACACAACCTTCGGCGGCGACCCAAGATTATGCTGCGCACATATCAAGTTAATGCGATCGGATATATGCTGCACAGTAAATCCTCGCGACGCTGATGCGAGATGCAGTGGCGGGCGGCTGCCTGGTGGCTCTGTAGGACGTCAGGTGTAGAGTTCTCCAATATACAATCGAGTCGCGATAGAGCGTACCTCCGCGTTCAGGCAGGAGCAGCACACCACGGTCCGCGGCGATTTCGTCCTTGTATTGTTGTGGCCGTGGCTCGACCGTCGCAGCGTACGAATCCAGATGTCGCACGCGTTCGCGTTCGTGTCGGGCCAGTCCGACAGTCCACCGCTTCAATCTTGCTGAACGTAGTGTCATTGCATCATTTACGTCAGAGCCTTGATACGGGAGCGTGCGGCGCCGTTTGCGCGGTGGTAGCTTGGGAACATCCGGTGGAGGGGTCGGTGGCGCGAGATGAGCGGATGTGTCAAATAGCGAGACAATCAAGGAGTTGTGTAGCTGTACTGATTAGAAGCATCACCAGACATATAAAACGCAATCAGAGAAGGAGCACACATAGATGGGTTGTATCCAGTAGCTCCTTGACCTGTTCCTCGAACTCGATGCGCGATATTTGGGCGGCCAAGTACTGTCGCAAAACTCCCCAGTAGTTGGGGGCTTTAGGGCCGAGAGCAGCGACGAGTTGATGTCTTATGGTCGCCGTTGAAGGTAGCGACATCGTGGTCTGAATTTGGCAAAGCGTGGAGAGGCGTGGTGTCCACTGGCCACTTGCGGTTCAAGCTGCTGACTAAGCATTCTGACCGTAAAGGGAAACAGCCGTACGGATCGTTTCACGACCCTTTCCAACCAGCTCTCATCGTCATATCTCGCCAGCGCCCGTAGCTTGCTGTCGAGGACCGTTATCTGCCTGATTCCTAATCGCCGTCGACCTGCACTAGCTAGTCGTCGCCATTCCCTCTCTCGAAGTCTTTCCGTGCGGGGAAGTTGCAGAGATTACGCATCCACGCCCAATTCTTATGAACCCTGATCGTCCTGCAACGTCCAAATCCAGAGGAACATGCCGTTACTAGTATGCGTTTTATCAAGCTCATTGAACGCCCTCTGAGAGATCATCCCAGTAATACGTCCCGGGGCTGCTTCGCTGGAAACAACTGCAAGTTCCTACATGGTGAGACCGAGAAGTACACCCCTTTCGACAAGAGCAAGACCTGCAAGTTCTACGCGGCGGGATATTGTCGTCGTGGTGATCAATGCTGGTTCATCCATAGCGATTCTCCATCAGCGGTGGCTTCTTCCTCAGCCGAGCCTGCTACTGAGGAGGACCAGCTTTGCTGCATTTGCTACGAGAAGCCTGTGACATATGGTCTCCTTGGTATGACACTGCCCCAGTATCTATCTGTTCGCTACTGACTCATCGTTATAGGTGGATGTAGTCATATTTTCTGTGTTCAGGTACGGACTACCCGAGCCGAACGACCGAGGCCACGGTCTGACTTAGTTGATCCTGCAGTGTATACGTGAATGGCGTGATCCTCACGGCAAAAGCGAAGATGTAGTATCATCGGGAGTAACGAAGCAATGCCCGCTGTGTCGCGCGTCGTCTCGATTCATCACCCCATCGAGCCAATTCTTCCCGGAGGGTCACCCAGGGAAGGCCAAGACCATCGAGCAATACAAGGCTAGCATGGCTCGTGTGCCATGCCGGTATGTATCATATGTATTTTTGTGGCATGCATAAACTGAGTTAATCTACTAAAACGCAGTCATTTCTCGAAATCACCGTTGAACGATCGATTTTGTCCATTTGGGAAGGACTGCTTCTATCAACATGTCAATGAAGATGGGACCCCCTATATTTTCCGGCATGGCGTGGATCATAACATGAGGGTATGTCATCATGCGCTTCTAGTATAAGATCGTAGCTTCACAGCCCGTGCAGGAGCATCGCCGTCGGATAAGTCGGGAATACAGTATCGGTTATGAACACGAGTTCTTCAGCCATGTATTCGATGACCTCAATGCAAGGCTTGACGTGATCAGGGCAACCCTTCCCGAGCTCGTGGGCGATTTTGCTGTGGCATCCGATGATGGCAGCTCAGAGTCCAGTACAGACTCTGAGACTGATCACAACGAAGACAGTCCGGCCGCACAGTTGGACCAACAGGCTGCGGAAGATCGTGGCAGGCCAATGGCAGACACGATGGAGAGGCTGGTAAGTCAATTTGATTGTCATCCTCAGCTTTCCTGCCAACAGTGTCTGATAGATCGACGCGCTTTTAAATATGATGCCGTAGGTGGAACTGCTGTCTGCCTCTTTCGAAGACCTCGATCGCGTCAGGCGGATGCTTGGCTCAACGGACGACGAACTTGACTCACCAGACGACGGCCCACAAACACCCTTGTTGGAGGCAGTTGCTGAGCAACTTGCGCTTGCCGGTGACATTGCAGAATCGTCACTTTCTCGAATCGCCCCTCCCTCCGACTTGGAGGTGGCCTTACCAGATGCTGCACTTCAAACGTCTGGAACAGGAGTGGCTCCTGCACCGATGCCTCGTTTCAGCACGGTAGTTCATCGCGAAGGCTTCGTCGTTGATCACACCGCTCCAACCATGGATGACCTCCGACAATTACCGGATATGGCGACAGTTCGATTCACAAGTGATGAGGCGACAGCGGCCGAAGAGGCTCAGCGAGACTCAGCGCAGCATCGCGCTAGGGAAGATGAACAATTCGCGCAAGAGGCGACTACGTTGCTGAACGAGACGGAAGCTCTGGGGCGGAGGGTACAGGAGGTGCTGCGTCTTGACAGTCTCGGTCGCGGTGAGAGCCAAAGCTTGGCCAGCGGTCCCGAACCGGGACCTCCAAGAGACGAGATGAGGAGTGAGCCTTCAGCGCCGGACACTCCCGAAGTCATTCAAGACACGGATCCACCCTTTCTGACCGATGGTCGTGGACGGGTGGTCTGGAGCAGCACGACGCCTGGGCGCCACCGCGATGGGCGGCGTGGACGCCTGGGAACGACCTCCAATCAGCAGAAGATCAGGAGGGAAGCGTCGGACTCGGATATTATCGCGGTGCGCGCCTCGGAGGAGTCCACTATGGAGCAGGATTGCAAGCAATTTGATCGACCTTTCGCACAGCGGGCCATGTCCGAACCAGGGGCTTCGCTCAGCCGGGACATGGACGTTGATGAGCCGAGTGAGCTGGCCACCGATGGGAGGGAAAGTATCGTATCTAGTGGGTTGAGCAGCAGCCAAGGTGCTACAACTGCGGATCGTGCACTCCCAGCTTCAGGGACAGATGCTCACGAAGGATAGAGTGAAGGTGTGGGGAATCAAACTATGTTGATTGCGCAAGACAGCGACGACCGGTTCGCGCTTGGGCGGATCCTCGATGCTGTACTTGGGCTTTGACGTTGTACTGCCGGATTGGTGTGTATCTCGGAAAACCAAGTATGTTGTATTTTAGTTGTATGTAATGTTCGTATGATATTTCGTCCATGTCAGGCCTTCTCCGAGGCTTTATGAAGGATTACGATCCCTGTACATTTTGTGCGCAACACGATCAAGTACTGCAAGCCTTCACGCACAAAATCGTTGTAAGTTTATTTTTCATCAATTAATATAAGACAAACTCCGTCAAATGTGGCGAAATTGTGGCCCCGGCAACAGTCGTAGAGGCTATAGCTACTTCTGAACCAGCACGTGTTATCTGACGTTCTTTTCTTCATCCCCGCCAACATCGCCGTACTTAGATACCATATTCCAGCTGCATAGAATCTCGCAGGCGACCTGCTCGAAGGAAAACGGCGAGAGAGGCCCACATTCCTTGTACTACCCGCACGGCTACTACTGTTTACTCAATGATCGAGTGGAACGGGGGCTTGTCGGGGTTGCCACGAAATTGAAGCGCATCATCAACAACGTGCTAAAACATGTAAGTACGCAACTCTACCTCCGCGGCTATGGTTGTGGCAACTGGCTAAGCGAGATGGATCTCGCATCGTTGCCGCCGGATTGGGCGACGTTGTCAATACGATTGACATTTTGAGCCGGGGCCGCTTGGCCGGAATGTGATATGTGCTCCCCGGACACTTGCCGCTAACGGCCATCTCCTGCAGCATTTCATACACACGTAGCGGCTTCTCTGCTTGTCTCGGATCGTGCTATACCTGATTGCTAGACGACGACGCCCCGTTCAGCAACGAGGCGCCTCGCATCTCCTGCGATGACCACCACCGACGACAACACACATCCAGAAGCCTCTGGGTCGCGAGATGCGAACGCAGACGGGAAGCAGCTACTGCAGATCGAAGGTGCAGCGAACGAGCATGGCAAGTCTTCGTCTCTGGCGCCTTCGCCGGCCTCCTCCAGTGGGAAGAGGGGACGATCGCGAACACGCGCAACACTAGGTGCTCGGCAGTCGGACGAGGATCTCCGGCGGAGGTGAGCGTCATGCAGTGCTCGAGGACAACACATGTTCACCTCTCTTCGAACGCAGAGGCTATCATACCCTCATGTCGTCCTTTGGCAAGGCGTTCCATGTTGAGAAACGCTGGAAGCTCATCCGCGAGATGGGCTCCGGCGCATACGGCTATGTCATGTCAGTAGCTTTCTTGATGCAAGGCTTACTCCCTTCCTGAATATGTGCATACTCTACAGCTCCGCCGCGGACCAGATATCGGGAGAGCCAGTCGCGATCAAGATGGTTGCCCGTGCGACGGAGAAACTCCAGCTTGCAAAAAGGGCTCTGCGAGAGATTACGCTACTGCGGCACTTCAACCACGAGAATATCACCGGTCTTATAGACGTTGACTGTACTTCTGATCTCAGCGAAATGTACGTTCATCGATTGGTACGATAGGCTGTGCTGACAATGACACAGCTATATCTTTATGGAGGTGCGTACATGTACACGTGTGGATTGACGCATGTTGACAGTATTCACCGATTGCCTCGCAAGCCTATGGAAGGTGCGCTAACTTCTACACTATACCCTGGAAGCGTGCTCACAATGCATTGCGACAGCCGATCTGCACCAGATCATCAAGTCGGGCCAAGCATTGAGCAACGAGCACGTGCAGTACTTTGTATACCAGATCCTGCGAGGTGCGTGAATAGCTGTCCCTGCCATGCGTCCACATCTCTCATCTATCCGCAGGCATGAAGTATGTGCACTCGGCTTCGGTGGTCCACCGCGATCTCAAGCCGGGAAACTTGCTCGTGAATGCCGATTGTGAACTGAAGATCTGCGACTTTGGTCTGAGCCGAGGTTTCAATTCAAAATCGGACGACAACCCGACGATGATGACTGAGTACGTCGCGACGCGATGGTATCGTGCGCCGGAGATCATGCTGGCATACAAGTGAGTTAATACGTCTGACTTGCATTATCTGCTCATGTTCATCTCAACCTTAGGGAATATAACACCGCGAGTACGTCTGGCCATGCTTGCAAGTCATGTAGCTCATTGTTTTGTCCTCGCCAGTCGATGTGTGGTCGATAGGGTGCATCCTTGCGGAACTCATGCTAGGCAAGCCCTTGTTTAAGGGAAAGGAGTGAGCTCAACTGCTGTCGCCTTCCCTCCTTCGTCTGACACGTGCTATCCAGCTATGGTCAGCTCGATTTCTCTGATTTCAAAACGTAGTGTCTGATTGAGGATGCCATGCTCTCGCAGTGGATCAGCTGAACAAAATTCTGGATGTACTTGGTAAGTCGAGTTCACGAATGCGTCTGCGTGGTATCCTGTACTAAGTTCTCATCAGGTACACCTGATGACGAGGTGATTAGGCGGGTTGCCAGCCAGAAGGTACGTTCTTTGCTGCATCATAAAGGAGCCGTATTTCATAGCAGAGTTAGGCCGCTGCCTACGTTCGATCATTGCCGATAAGAAAGGCGGTCTCATTCTCGAAAGTCTTGCCGGTTGCCGACCTGCAAGGTATATGACCGTCCATCTCAACTAATATCCCATCTTATCATGATTTCCAGCGACCGACCTTCTGACCAAGATCTTGGCTTTCGATCCCGCGTCTCGTTTCTCCGTCGTTGAGGCGCTCGAGCACCCTTGGCTGGCATCCTATCACGACGTCAATGACGAGCCGGAATGCCCGGAGCCGTTTAAGCGGTGGCACACGCTGGAGGCACTCGAGACGCTCGAGCAGTACAAGGAGACACTTTGGGATGAGATCCAGGATTATCGCCGGGAGGTGCGGAGTGTCGCTGCTACTGAAGGCGAGCACTCCGCCAGCGGACGCGGTTCACCAACGAGTGAGATCCGGCGCGGACTAGAGGAGATCCGTGAGATGGCGGAGAACATGCCGCGCCCGTCCGACTCCGTGTTCCTCGCGTCGCCGGACATGGGCGCGCAGGTGCCGGAGCGGCCGCTCAGCTTCGATGAGCGGCTTGCGGAGCAATCGCAGGAGGAGACGGTGCCTGCGTCTGCGGCAGACGAGTCCACCCTGGCTGATTTGCCTGCAGGGCGGATCACAGACCCAGTGGTGCGGTACTCACGGCGCGCGAGCACGTTCATCCCTTCGCGCACGCACTCGCTCTTCGCTGGCCACACTGGCACGAACATCTGGCAGCAGCGGACGCACACGCCCAGCTCCAACGAGCAACCCGAGTCGAGCTCGGTCGCGTTCCCAACGCAGGACTACGTCATTCCTGGGCGCTCGCGGACATCGTCCGAGATAGGTGGCGAGGGGCGCAAGCTGCTGCGGACGCTGTCAACGGTGTCGATTTACGAGAGCGGCAAGGGGCTCGCGGGTGGCCTGGCGGACATTGCGCCGATAGGGAAGTACATCGTAGAGCAGGACGAGGCGCTGCCGTCCGAGATGCCGCGTGAGCTCGAGTCACCGCCAAAGGTAGAGCAGGCGCAGTGAAGAGTGAGCGCAGTTAGATACATCGAGTGCACGGAAAGGATGGTAGAATACGGATTGGAGAGATAATATGCGATGCGTCCCTGGGTAACGATCGTAGATGATCTAGATGTACGATAACGTCCACAGCTGAGAACGTAGCTAGACATGTAGAGCCATCCGTATGGTAGAGCTAGAATACATGCTAAGTATTACAGTGGTATGATACAGACGAACGGGTAAACGATGCCCACAAAGATCTCCAAGCAGAATATCCAAACAATCTAGTCGCCTAGTTTCTCTCTTAGCTCTGGGTAGTAGAGCCAGTTAGCTGAAGGAACCACCCGCGAGGACAGAGCGCACATACTGTCAATGATGTCCAAGTAGGCCTGACTTGCAGGGCTATCTGAATATTCATCCAGGAAGCTGACGCCGTAGTCTGCGCTCTTGCCTATACGAGGATCGAGAGGGATAGCGCCCAGGAAGTCCACCCCCATGTCCTGAGCGAGTCTTCGCCCGCCACCCGTGCTCGGCTTGAATATCTGCGACTCATTTTTGCAGTTCGGACAAACAAAGCCCGACATATTCTCCACTAGACCAAGCACCCGAATGCCGACTTTCCGGCAAAAGTCAATCTCGCGCCGCACGTCCTGCAGCGCGACCTCCTGCGGAGTCGTGATGACCACAGCACCATCGATGCCGCTCTCCTTGAGATATTGCACGACGCTGAGGTGCTCGTCGGACGTACCCGGGGGAGTATCGATAACGAGGTAGTCAAGCGTGCCCCAGTCGACGTCTTTGAGGAATTGGGAGATGAGCCCGTTCTTCTTCGGCCCTCGCCACATGACCGCGTCCTTGGATGAGGGGAGCATAAAACCGACAGACATGACGCTCAAGTTATCTTGCACGTAGACGGGAGACCAGCCCGAGGATGATGCATGGACTTGCTCGGATGCAATGCCGAGGATAGTGGGGATGGACGGGCCACAGATGTCTACGTCCATGATGCCTGTCTGCGAGTACACGTCAGTAGCAACCTCCATGGTTATCGCTGTAACTACTGACCTGTAGCTGTTCATCAGCAGCGAAGGCCCATCCGAGCTGAGCGGTGAAGGTGGACTTGCCAACACCTCCCTTCCCGGAGAGCACGAGTATCTTTCGCTTCACAGTAGACATACGCTCTCTCACCAATGGGAGAGCAGGGTCCGGACCTTTTGTCTGTCCTGAAGCACAGATCTCTTGGTTTGCACATCCAGCGCATGCGTCGGCCTTGCCTGCAAGCTCGGACTCGGTGCCCTGCGTACTGTCGATCAATCGCTGGAGCGCTTTTCGAACCGAGCAGGACTCACTGGACAGTGTTCCGGAGCATTTAATGGAACAGAGAGAGGATCTGGCGCGGATGTAGATTGTTGTAATGCGATCATCTTTGTTCAGGATAGAAATCCGAGGTGTGGTCTTCGAGTCTACATTCCCGAAGTCATTTGTCAGACGCCAATTTCGGTGTTGCACGTGATCAGTCACAATTATCGCGCCACAGACGCGTTGCATGGACTCGAGGCTAGATGGAACAGCAATTAATCTGTTCAAGTTGTGGTAGTATAAGACGAGCGTTCTGGCTGCACAGAGTCATGAAAACTGCTTGTCAGTTGGCCACAGGAACTTCAAGCTCCACACGGCGTTTGGTAACTTCTCGGATTGCGTCGAGGATATTAGATGCATCCTTGATGATGTTAGTATGTTTTGAACTAAATTCCACTGTAGGTCACTCTTTATACCTCCTGACCTCCGTCCTTCACACAAGGAGGCATTTTGTTGTCTGCCTAGGGGAGACAAGTAGGTCACTCCCATACCCGTGGCTGTGGTTTCGTAGTTGGCTTTGCCTGTACATCAACCATTGTCGAAGCGCGACGTAGGAAAGATGCGACTGATTACGGTGACTAGACACACTTGCATTACCTTCTGGCATCTGGCATCCTCCCAACTCACAAGTTCTCCGACGAGTGTATTCGACTACGCACGATGTCCGCGAATACTTTTATTTAATTTGAAGTGATTTGGTGCCGTTCATGATCTACGAGAGAGTTTGCAGATTTGAACCAACCGTAATATGGTCCGCAGCTTTCCACTCCTCTTATGTATAATAGATTTGCGATGCTACCAGTACTCTCGATACCCCCCCTCATGGTCATTATAAGGACGTTACACTTAGTAAATGACTGTTCGTAAGCGTACTACAATCCTTCGAAGAACAGCAAGTCTTGCGCTGAAAGTCTGCCATTCCTCGACGCATTCAACGGCGTCGTCGTTGCTGGCCGCGTAGCCAACACATCACTTTTGGATGCACTCCTCACCGACTGAGAATGGAAGAGAGGTAGAGGAGACGTGGGTTTGCTATCAATGCCCAACCCAGTTGCAGATGATGATGGGTTGATGGCGTTAGGCAGCGCGGGCACAGACGGCGAAGGCCCATCCTTCGTATGCCACTCATCACCCAATAGGTCCACACGTGCTAAAGTGCCAGGACCCGGAGGTGGTGCAGGGATCGCCTCCGGAAGCGGCGAGGGCGGCGCTGGCCATCGTCCTGGATGGGCAGCGGCACGTTCCATCAAATTGAGCGTCCGTTTCAGCGATGCCGCCCTGGTCAGGTTCGAAACTGTTCCTACTGCCGCCTGCTGTGGCTGAGGCTCTGCAAGCTTCTGGGGCGATATAGGAGAAATGGACTCCGTCTTGGATATCGGTTTGGGCGGCGAAGGTGTAGAAAGCATCGGAGAAGCACTGGAAACGTCGAAACCGACCGTCTTGCCCGGGGTGAGAAACGCTTTTTCGGAGGCAAATCTGTCATCCAGCGTCGGGGAGTCAAATTGTTTCGAGGAATCTGATCGATGGATTGCAGAAGAGCTGGAGGACTGGTATTCGGAGAAAAGGGGTGTATCGCAGGAAGTACTAGGATGCGCCGAAGCGGCCGATGAGTGAAAATCCGAGAATTCGTCGTCATCGAATGCCGCAAAGTTGGATGTCGAAGCTAGCGACAGACGGGGAGGTTTGGAGGAGGGACCTGGCAGAACAGGATGGGGAGCGAGCACAGGTGCTGCAGATCCAGGAATGGTCGACGAAGGCGTGCTAACGGGAGTTGAGACACGCGGCGTAGAGGCCAAAACAGGCTGGAGGACGGGCTCTGACGTCGAGCTCGCGGACGATGACAAGTAGTCGGAGAAGTCATCATTGTCAAATATATTGAGAGCAGTCGTCTTGCGAGACAACGATGGACCCGGCGGAGGAGGAGCCAGGGGAGGCGGCAATATCTGAGCACGGCTTGGCGGTGGAGGTGGTGGTGGCAGGACAAATGACCTCGACGCCGCGCTCGCACGATACGCGTTTGGATACAGCTCTGCCAATGGGCGAGCCGACCCAGGCGTAGATGGCGAGCGAATCTCTTCTGATGGTGCCGTTGACACAATAGATGTTGATCGGGGTCGCGAAATAGGTGGTGGTGGCGCCCTATCACCGAAAGATGCGTCAGCTTGCGCCTTCGCCTGTGCATTTATTGGCATCGTCTGGATTGGCGGAGGTATACCTGACCTTATGCCCGTAGCAGCTATAGGAGTATGAGAACGAGAGGAGGGTGGTGAGGGGAGAAAGAAAGGCTGAAAAGGCTGTTTCGTCGAGATATCGGCCAGAGGTGGAGGACTAGTGGACTTTTCTGGTGTATTAGAATCGCCAGGCATAAGGGACACAGAAGGCGTCGACGGCCGAGTTGGTTGCAACACAGCAGCAAACGCAGGCTTCAAAGGTGCAGTGCCATTAAGAGGGGACAATGAGACCTCCTTCCCATTGGCAGACGCTCCGGAATCCAAGCAGTCGAAGAACGAGTCGAAGTCATCCAATGCAGGCTGCGTTCCTGGCGCTGCGCTTCCGGATCTACTGACAGGACTTGCAGTACGCCGCGGCGCAGGTGGAGGGGGAGGCAGCATGGGCGGCAGCGGCGTTGGCTTCACTGTATTTGGTAGTGCCCTCAAGCTCGTGATGAAATCATCATCGTTGCCGTCACTTGCACTGGGCACGATATCAGACAGAAATTCCAAGTCGTCAGATGATAGCGCGAGCGAGCCCTGCGAGCTTAGAGGAGCCGTTGCACTCCGGTGCCGCGAGAACCTGTTCAAGAAACGCGAGACGGCGGATGGGAGAGGTGGGGAAGGAACTTCAGCTTGATCGAACTGGGGCTCTGGCGCTGTCGAATAAGATGACATCGTTGGGGGTGGTGATTGTGCAGCGGAGGTAGAGGCGGACGGAGTGGATTGAGACGCCGGCGAAGAAACCTGGACTGGCGAGGCAATCTTATCCATACTGGCGTTTGCTGTTGGCTCAACAGTGTCATGGCTAGTACGTCGCGAATCAGTCTCTCCAATAATGGGGCTATGTGCAGCCTCCGACTGCGACACGCTGGTTGTCTGGGACGACGTGCGAGAATGAGCAACGCTCGAGTCCTTGCGCCCCCAGAATGAGAAGATCTTGCTAGCTCGTTTCTTCCCTTTGTTGGCATCAAAGGCGACTTCATGCGATGGCTCCTTCTCCAAGATCCGCCAACCTAGGGGTACATCGTCTTCAGTTATCTCCTTGCGACTCTTAACAGCAACCTCCCACGCAATGGAGCCCTTAGCAGCGAGGTAATGCGACATGGGACTGCCCTTGGTAAGGGCCATGTTCTTCGTCAGACGCACGGAGGTTGCCATCCGTTTAGCGACTTCGGTCTTGCCGAAGTGCACGGGCGGCTGAAGGGTCAACGGTGGTAGAAAGGTTTGAACGAAGGATTCACTATGCATCGAATTGAGACGGATGTCCTGTTATAAGCATGATCCTGCACTTACAGACCTTCAACGCTCTCCATCCCACGTTGCCAATCCTCCTTCCTTCCTTCCTCGTCCTCTGCATCCCCATTCTCAGACGTAGGCCATGCGTCACGCACGAAACTGTCGCATTCACTCAGAATAGATGCTAAGACCTCGGGAGGCTGTTTGTGTCGATGTCATTCACAAACCGACTAGTCCATGAGCACCATCACTGACTCACAACTCTGCGGTCTTGTTTAGCTCTGAGCCGCCGAGCTGTCTCCCACTCATCAACAGGCTCCTCTGTACTTTCTGCAGCATCAGTTCTAGTGGCCCACGCGGACCCCCAAGCGTCCGCATTAATTTCGCTTTCCTCCAAAGCCAAGGCTGTTTCCTCGTCTGGGCTTATTGCAGACGCAAATGTGCCGAAGCCATCTTGATCAGGTGGTAGCGACAAGGTCCCGAAGGCCGGAGAAGATACAACGGAAGGAGGTAATTGTATCTCGGCAGGCGAATGCGGCGACGATGGCTCGACGTCCGAGACAGCTGAGACTTTGGGGGATTGAGGAATAGACACAGTCGTCTCCCGTTTCTCAATCTCGGTCTCAGTCTCTGCCTGTGCCTGAATCTCCGCCTGTGTCTCAGCGTCTGCCTCCGCAGTGGATGGCGGCGGCGATTCTTCCCTCTCGGCAGGCCCGCCAAGCTGGATGCCTTCATAAGTACTTGCCCCCCAGCCCGCGTCGGTATCTGTTTGAGTCCACGAGATGCCCGAGTTTTCTGAAGGCTCATTCCAGTGAATACCGGTTCCCGTAGACCAAGAAGGTGTTGCCAGATCAGCCTCTTCCTCGGAAAGCGCGAGTGTGGGCGAAAGCCATGAGGTCGAGCTAAGAGCAGGCTTCACATCCGGGAGCATACGCTCTGCTTGGTCACTCCAGGCGTTCCGATAGAGGTCATCCATGTAGCTTAACGGAGTAGACAATGAGCATGAGCGTTACGAGCGCGTCGATTCGTGTCCCGCGAAGAGCGCCTCACTGCACCCGGTGTGGTGACCTTGTGTGTGCCAAACGCCCGTCAGCTGCACAACTCGCACATTGTCCTGCGTGGTCTGTACGTAAAGCTCCTACGGCACCTCTGCAGGAAAACTGCCAGATAATTGTAGCCCTGAGAGCGACCACATCAAGACAGACCCCGGTCACTGTTGTTGCCGCTGCAGGGCCGCTGCTCTCGTTCTGGGACTTCCCGCCATTAACCCCTCGTTTGAGGTGAACGTCATCCCACAGCTCTTGCCTCGACAGACATGTCCTCGGTTGACCTGCGGACGAGTATTCTCGACTGGGACGAAGGTGACGTTCATGCGTGGCTCATCAAGTTGGGCCTTCCCAATTACGAGCAGCAGATCCGAGGTGGGTGATGTTCGGATGATTGGACAGGATGCGTTCTGAATGGGCCCATCAGAGCACAGAATATCCGGCGAGATACTCTGTTGGCTCGATGCCGAAGGTCTGAAGGAAGTGGGCATTGCGACCATTGGCCAGCGGCTCGCTATCCTCAAGGGTGTGTATAACATCAAGCTCGCGCAAGGAATCCCGATCGAGCCAGACCACTATGTACCGCCGTGTAAGTTCCTCCTAGATAATCTACAGACTATCATTCAATCTCGTGAAGCCGAACTGGAAGAACGGAAGGAACAGGTGAACGTCGACAAGCTATACGAGCTGGTTAGGGAGCAGAGTGAGTAAATCTCAAACCTGCCTAGCGATCATATTCAAAATCAATGCAGACGAGCGGCTACGGCAATTGGAGCAAGACAACCGACATCTACGCGACAGTCTGCATTCATGTCTTGAAGACGTGAGCAACATCCGGAATAGCACAGTGTTGCGTCCTCAGGCAAGTACATCGCATGATCGTTCATCGTCATATCTTACACACGTTCTAGTCAGAGACAGAAAGCCCTGTGCGTTCACATTCCTTTAAGTGGGCCTCCTGGAAGCCCGTTCGTTCGCCTACAAAGCCAATACCTCCCCCGGAGATAGTGGAGTCTCCACAGCCGTCACCGCAACGTGCGGAACACGACACCAATTCCAGTGGTCCTCGTTCTGGTCCACCATCGGATAGGTCACGGTCTCATCAGACGCCGATCACTACCGAGCCCCCTTCGAGCGCACATCCGAATGCTGCATCCAGTAGCTCCCTACAGCCGCCTTCCAAACCCGTGCGACAGGAAAGTTCAGACAATCTCAAGAGTTTCAAGGTCAGCCTGGACGACCCAGCGTGGAAGGTGTTGCCAGCTGCTCTCAAGAAATACAAGATCAACAACGACGATTGGCAGAACTATGCTATGTTTATCTGCTATGGTTCGCCAGGTAGGCCTTTCATTGGTTGTCGCCCTAGTTGCCTTTCCACGTCGCTGATACTTGTCAAGGCAACCGTATCGAGAGGTGCTTGAGCTACGATGAGAAACCGTTGCTACTTTTCCAGAAGCTAAAGGAGTCTAAAAAGAATCCAGTCTTCATGCTGAAGCACATCAGAGACATTCGTTCCCCCATCGCTGTCGCTCAGCAAAAGCAGGCTGCGCGCAGAGCATCGGAGGCGTCAACCTCCGCCAAGTCCCTGCCATCGTCATCTGCTCAACAAAGTCAGAGCAACGCCTCAGGACAAGATCCTTCGAAGCTACACCATCCGAACGGAGCACCTCCTTTGATGACTGGAGTGCCAAACGCCCAGTCAGGATGGCCGGAACTCATGTCGCCGGCCATCGAGAGCAAGGATCGTGTGGATGAGCAAGGTGGGTCTACGGAGAACGCGAAATTACATAGCTCGCATTCAGGTTCTGTGTCAGCAGAGGGTGGGGACCCTGCGGGCTCCTCCGTGGTGAGAGAGATCCCACCTTCTACTGGGGTATCGTATGCGGTTGCCATCTATCCATATATGGCAGAACAGGAGGATGAGTTTGATGTCGTTGTGTGAGTGCATTGTCTCCCATTGTGTCCCTGTAGTGGCACGCGTTGATCTTGTTACTTAGTGGAGATACGTTCATCATTTTATCGAGAGCGCGCGGCTGGTGGGTTGTGCAGAGAGATCCTGCAGGCGCCGGCTTGGTGGAACCAGATCAAGCAAAGCAGGGCTGGGTACCCGCAGGCTGTCTTCTCGAAACACGAGTTCCTGTTGCCACGGCCATCGCAGAAGCAACTGCTCGGTCTTCATCCCCCAGCTCGCCACCACAATCACCTGCAGGACGGACGCCTATCTTGCCTTTAAGCATCCTGTCAACAAGTTTCCCGGGCATCGCGCTCATGGACTACAAGAAGAAAGGAGAGGAAGAGCTCAACCTGGCGAAGGACGACTATGTCAGGGTGTTCAAGCGGTACAATCATTGGTCATATGTAGGGTGGCAATAGTGATCTATCTTTCTAGCATAACTGATGTCCATAATTCTAGGCTGTTAAGGAGGAGACAGGCGATCGTGGATGGGTGCCGGTAAGTATTCGCTAGTTTGTGCTGCATTCAATCCTTCTGATTGAATATACTAATGACAGTCATGGTACATTGGTAAAGTCCCATCGAGTCTCGGAAACCCGCAAACGCCGAGCACTAGCGGTCCTCATGGTCTTTCTGCTGTGTACGGAGAAGCGGAGGTTTCCACAAGCACGCAACCTCAAGTCTCGCCAATGTCCTCGGCATTTCCTCCTATGCAGACTAGGGCGACAACAGTCGCCTAGTAGCCTTCATTGTCTCCTTTATGGGATCTTGCATATTCTTTCGATATGCTTAATTGCTCTATGACCTATGGGTTATCAACGTCATCCTCGCAATGCATAGTAAATTATACGGACTTGCAGGCTTTGTTCTTATCTTTTGACGTTTGGTCACTCATACGCTTTGCCTTTGGTCATCATCACTCCTGCATTCGTTCAATGTAGTATACCTTTTCACGCAATTGCTGGTGCGGTCTTCACTGGCATCATTTCATGTGGTATTTGGCACGCTTGCGGACCAGCGTTCATACTATCTGGCGAAATGCATGAGCTTCGCCGCAATACACACGTGAAGAAAGAGATGCTTTGGGCGAAGATTTGTCTTGCAATTGGCAACCCTCGAGAGGAAACAGATTTACATAGCGGAACGATAGACAGAACAACGCATTCGTATCTGAGCATATGGGGGATTTCTAGAGTCAGTAGCATTGGACGATAAATAGGAACACGAGAGAAAGTGTTAGTCGCTCCCATCATCGGAACCTCCAGTATCAGGAGTGCTAATGCGACAGCTTGAGTGACTTGGGATCTCCGAGGCATGAATCGAAACCTACCACATCTTCTCGATCTCATTGCGATTGCCGTTTTCGACCGCTTCCCGGAATCTTCGAGCTCTTTGCCAGATGTCCTCCCTCTCATTAATGTCATCTTCCCATTCCGCCCGTGGTTCATCTGTGCGTCCCAATAAGGGAACTACAAAGAGGTTATCATGATACCATTTGGTGTCCGTGACACGATGAGTCCAAGTCGCAAAATCGTTGGACGGGGGCAATACAAGAACAATCATCTGGATATCCTGCCTTCTCATGAGGAGGACCATAGCGAAGATCACTCGCTCCGGGAAGCTAGCGTTGTCGGCAGCGAGCGCGACGAACCGGAGAGAGTCCATGTGCACGTTCAGATGCAAGGCATTCCAATCGTAGCCAGCGTGAAAGCGCACATGCGTGACCGACGCTAGCTGGGGGAGCATGCTTCCCCAAGAAAGCATCTGTATAGAGTCGGGCTGTCGATCGTCATAGAGAGTGTCAGAGCGCACTACGGGCGAGGACGCTGGCGTTTCCGCACATGCATCGAGGAACATGTATGAGAATGCGAGGTTGAACACGGTGGACCAGACCCAGGAAATGTTGCGCATAGTAGAGCAAGATGCACAGAGTGACATGGGATCATCCAGCCATACGTTTCGCAAAAATGATCGGGGAAAGCGCACAGCCGATGCACACTGGTCAGCGGAGCCAAAGTGCGATACAGTTGTGGAAGGGCGAGTTTGCGCGTCCATGAGCAGACGTGTGCTAGGTTGCGAGCGGCACCGATGTCCGCTACGCCCAGTTCCGCGATTTCAATGACAAGCTCCAAGGCTAGTTCACCGCGGGCAGATATTCTCATGCTGACGGCGCGAGGAAGGAGGGTTGCAAGACCTGGCAATATAAGTAAGAGGTCCGTCTGATCATGGGTCCGATCATATTTGGCTCACTTATACTATAGTTCTAGTTGACTTCAAGTTCAGTTGTTCGAGGTACGCGTACGATGGCCGACAGGAAGCGTTTCTTCACGAGTGGTACCACTTGACGACGCTACAGACGTGGCTCACGACATCAGGGAGTACTTGCAAATGCTTACGGTGCAGGCTGAGACTGCAGATAGCCACAAGCTCGTGGAGAGGAAGCGCTCGCAATCCAATCCCGGGGAACTGCCACACCGACTGTTACAGCAGGCTGCATGAAAAGTCGAAACAACTGCGTTGTGAACTTGTACTGTACATGGACTTTTGTGCAAGAGCGACAAGAGAGAAATCAATCATGAAACATGGCGACAACAGGCAGGACATCACATAGCAAAATGATGTACACTTTGAATTTGAACCGGTCAAAATCGCTTAATGGGAATGGTGTGGCCATACTCTAATCTTCAGCAATTTCGCGATCTTGTCTAGCCTACAGCAGAAATCAAGGGGGTAGTCAGCAATGACTGTCGCACGCTGGCCAGATCCTCACACATGCCTGCTCACCATCCGCCGCGGAACCGCTTTTTCTCCTGCTCATCTGCATGCTCGTGCGGATGGTTATCCGTACGCTCTCGTCTGTGCCCAGCGTCGCCCGAAGTATGGCGCGCTTCTCTGTGCCTGGAATCTCTAGACAGAGTGTGCCCGCCGCTCATGGGAAGCTCCTGTTCTCTACCGTCGGACCTCGTGCGCTCTCTGTGGAAGCGCTTACTACCGTGGTAAGCAGGGTCCCTCTCTTTATCCCTGGGCGAGTGCGCAGGCGGCGCTTGACTTACGTATGCTGGTCAATCAACCGGTAGAACGCAGGTCAGTGGGTCCGCAAATGTAGAGTTAGCTTACATAATGCTTGAAGATCAGATCGGATAACTTACGGTGTGAAGTTTGACTACCGTGTCCATGGCTGCTCATGCTTCTCTGACTACCGGAGGTCGCATGAGGGTCTGTATACATCTGTTGTTGTTGAACAGAAACTCGCTCCACGGGCGGCGCTGGCTTCGTCGGATACGTGTAGGCTGCAGAAGCAACACTTGCGCTGTGGCGGCTTCCTGGCCGATGTGTAGGCACGTCGGTGTAGGCGGGGGGAGAAGACGTCTGCGTCGTGTATGCTTGCGCCTGCGGAGGAACTTGAGCCTGAGGCGGACGTTGAGGAGCAGCATAGTGATTGTTGGCTGGAGGGACGTAAGAATTCGCAGGAGGCGGAGGAGGGATGGCGAAAGCCGGTGGACTAGAGTTTAATTGTTGTGCGGGGGGCGGCGCTGAACCAATTGCTCCATTCGGAAGGGGCTGCTCGATACCATTGATAGTATAACGCTCTCCGTCGGGAGAACAGTATACGATGTGTTCGTTACCCTAAAGTAGCAACGCGCGTGAAGAACATATACACTCAAAAGCGTCGAATAACTAACCTGTGCGTCGCGACGCTTAGTAATTTGCTCGGTGCGCCCGTTGATCGTACGTGTCATCGTGCTCTGAGAAACCCACTGCCCGTTCATTCCCACAGCTTGTGAAGCGCTGCCGTAGACACGAGAGGTTGAACCAGGGCCCATCCGCTCAGGGAACATCGAGCCACCGAGAAATGAGCGAGAACCTAGTCCACCAAAAAGAGAACCACCAAACATAGATCGCCCAAATGGATCGCCCATACGGTCAAAAGGCGAGCGAGGTACGGATGTGCTGGGGAAGGGGTCTGTATAGAAATTGTCGTCGAAAAATCCACGATGGACGTCGCCAAAAAGCGAGTTGTATAGCTCGAAGGGATCGGTGAATGCGTATGGGCGTCGACGTGAACCAAAGCCGGATGGTGAGCCAAAGAACGGATCAGAGGCGAACGAGTCGAACGAGTCGCCATGATAGCCATTCGGGCGCTGGGGTTCCACCTCAGGCACTGGTGGGGGCCATACGCCAAATCGATCGTAAAGCTACTCAATGTTAGACTCGATGATTTATATTCAGCAAGCATACTCACCTTGCGATTCTCCTCGTTGGTTAAAACTTCATAAGCGTGATTCACCTACACTAAGTGTTAACCGATGCACAATGCAATCTCATGATCGGTCACCGACCAGTCTGAACTGTTCCTCAGCGGCTTCCTTGTCGGACGCAGACATGCCCTGCATCAGCCTGTCCGGATGCGTCTGCAATGCACGCTTGCGGTAAGCCTTCCGGACTGGCGACACCGTCAGCATCGTATCGTATGGAATGTGCATAAACACGTACTCTGTTCCGAAGTTGCCTCTCGATCCAGTCCCAATACTTCATAGAGATTCGTCGCCATCGTCCAGCTACCCAGCTCCTAGCAGAGAGAATTCTATGCGAGTGGATGACGAGGGAGCGCTTTTGAGTGTTTTTGCCAGATATTTCGAGTGGTCTCCACCCAAAGTCGGCCAGGCGTTGTCGAGAAGGTTGTAGAATGTTCAGTCCGGACGAGAGCCGCTTGCCGTCTGGTGGCGTATGGTTTAGAACATCCGCATTCGGGCGTAACGTCACGGTCATGTGATCGAGAATATTGCCTTCGGTTTTTGGTTCTGCCAAAGTTCCTTCACCCGCGTAGTTCGAAAGATGCAGCTGCATGAATGTATTCTTTGCGCGACGGCACCGTCTTCTTCCACTCCTGGACCTGGAACTATATCCTTTCATGACATACAGACTGGCTCTGCACTGGCATCTTTCAAACAAACTTCTGCAAGCACGCACTGTACAGCCGTTGTTCAGTCAAGCGATGGACACGGTGGCTTCATGCTCGCTGCTCAGCCAGACAAGTCCATCTTGAATGTATACAACTTTCAAAAAGTGCGTTAAGAGCGCCCATTTGCTTCGCCTCATGCTAATTGTCGTCACTTTGCGCCGGAGCAGGATCAACTCGCGCTCAAAATTGTGCTTCCTGAAAAACTCTCCGCAATTGCGATGGACCCGGGAGGAAAATACTGCGCAGGGGGAACGTCTCATGGGCGTATTTTCCTGTGGGAGGCTAGTCATTGCTCCTTCGCCACAGAATGCCTGATGCAACTCTCGCATGTGCAGTAGATCGCATCAGGAATCATGTTCAATGCGTGGGACGCTCACTACCGACGAGTGAGCGTGTTGCGCTTCACCCACGACGGCGCAGCTTTGCTATCCGGGAGCGAAGACTCGGGCGTGACCGTCTGGGTGATGTCGAGGTCAATTCTGCTTGTCCTGCATCAATTTCATGTTGCCTAATTTGCGAGCAGGCTTCTAGACGACGATCTACAAAACGAGCCTCCGACGTCGTACTGCTTGTTGTCGGATCATACATTACCTGTTACCGACATTATCTGCGGTATAGGCCGATTTCCCACCTGTCGTGTCCTCTCTGCGTCGACGGATCACTCTGTGAAAGTAAATCAACCTTCTTCTCCGTTTTCTCTTCATTGATCGTAACTGTCATAGTTATGGGATCTTTCTTCAAAATCGCTCCTGAGCACATTCTACTTTCCAGAGCCGATAACGTGCCTTGCGTGGGATGCAACGGAGCGCCTGTTCTTCGCAGCATCTGCCAACGGGTCTATACACCAAGTCAATTTGTTCCGACAACGCGAAGACAAGTTCGGTCATCTGGCAATGGAAGCAATCGGCGGCGGTGGAGTGAGCGACGCGATACGAGTCAATGAGCAAGATCCTGAAGGCGCAAAAAAGCGCCTCATTGCAGTCGGGTCGGTATACCACGCTTTCGCTCTTGTTCTTTCCTTCAACAACTGATTGCGCCCACAGCCAACCTGTTACTGTCATGACAATTTCTCTTACGTCGTCGTTGCTGCTTGTAGGGACAGCAACGGGGCTTATACAAACATATGACATCGCGTCACATCAACTCCTGCGTACTCTTACAATGCACAAGGGTCTTAAAATTACGCATATGATGGCGTTGCTTCGTCCACCCGACTTAGTGGGCCATGTCAGTCTCAGTCTGGCTACAGGCATGGAGACGAAGGAGATGGTGGTGCGCCCCGTAGCGCCCTTCCAGCGTATGCGCGACGCGAAGCCGCGAGAAGCGCACGAAGTCCTGGTGATGCTGCCCCCTCAAAGCGCGGTGCGTCAGACATTCATTGTCCCATCATATGCTTAACTGATCGACACGCACTCGCATGTAGGCACATGCTGAGACGTTCTTCAGCTATTCAAGAGAGGAGATGCTGCGCGACCACGCATACTTCATGCAGGGCTCGACGTCAGGCAGCGGTTCAAGCACGAATATCTCAGTGCAATCGCGTGTGACAGAGTTGGAAGGCGAGATTGCGAAGCTGCGCGAGCAGCTCGGGAAGGCGAAGAGTATCAATGACACGATGTGGGAGACAGTTGTGAAGTGCCTTGTTGCAGGCGTGGATCAAGACAAGCAGTATGAGAGCAACGACAATGACGGAAAAGAGGATGATGAGAGTGGGCGGAGAAGAAAGCGAGGACGTGTATGACAGGTCTCTTAAGGCTGGATCATAAGGTCGAATATAGTTTCCCGAGCGGGAACAGTCCGCTGGCTTTTGCGGTGCTCACATTGCTTGCCTGAGTCCATATGCAATGTAATAGGAGAACGTTGTCAATGGCCCCCTATGATGAATCCTCCTTCGGCTTGTATTTCTCCGGGTCTGTACCGTGATAAGGGTGGTTGACGAGATTGAACCTGTACAATCCAAGATCAACAAGAAAGCCAGCACTCCATTGCAAGGATCGTGTCTCACATAGGAATGATAGCTGCGATCCGCCGTCAGTTCTGTCCTGATACGAACACCGTACACCACTCACAAAACTTGAGTTGCGACCAGACAGAGTTTCTGTGCGCGACTCCCTGAATCCACTCGGGTTGAGGTGATTCCCCATACAGCGGCAGGCCCCGTCGGGCGCGAGCGGTCATTTCCTCACGGTCCATCTGCTCCTCGCGCTTGTTCTCAGTCCAACCCCAGAAACGAACTACAAAAGATCATCAATGATCCACCAATACTCGATCGCTATATGCTTACGGCTGGACCGCTGATACGCTAGAAGAAACCCGCCAACGAATCCGAGCAAGCCGCCTAGACGAAGTTGAGTTCGAAGCTTAAACTTGGTTGGATCCGCCATATCTGCAACATATGAGATTGATAAAGCCCATATAATAATGCACCACGAGCACAGACCCCATAAGTACAAGGCAGCCGGGAACGCGCCAGTTGCGGCCGCCCAGGCACCGTAATCTGAGAGACGCATGTAGCGGACCACACGGAATGCATGCGGGTCTGCATCAATGGGGGGATAGGGAGTCTCGACGACTTTCTGCGGCATCGTTCTCAACAGCGGACGGCGACAACGGGGAACAGCGGATTGTGGCTGGTGTGTCGACAAGCGCCCGTCACGGGCACGCGTGGAGTTCAGGGCAGGCGCAGGAGAGCCACGTGCAGCGCGCGTTGTTTGTTGAACACAAACCTTCGCGTCTGCGCTCCATTAATCATTCGCCATCGTCCGTTGGATCCAGCAGCCATCACACCATGAACTTTGTCAAACGTACAGTCGATAGCCGCAAGGAGGCACGCGCTGAAAGCTCCTTGCCTTACCATCGCAAAGAAGAATCGCATAAATCAGTATGCCACCCTCGCACATCCCCCCCTGTCCTCGTGCTAATACCTTTCGTAGAAGGGCTCATGGAGTCTCAAGAAGATCCTCAGCTACATCGATCCACGCCGCTTTAGCAGAAAGGTCGATGATGACGACCGCCTAAGCGAGAGCGAAGATGAGGGAGAAGCTCCGCGTTCTGCGCCGATAACTCCCGCGTCCACGCTCGCACAACGCGGTGACGAGGTTTGTTCTTTTTAGCGATTTTGTTCACTTTAAGTTCTAATTCAAACAAACCCAGCTTTCGACACAAGCTCAGAGTTCGCAGCAAGTCCAGAATTCGCAACAAGCCGAGAGTTCGCAACAATCATCCTTTCATATTCCTGGTTCATTCGGCACACAATCTCTCGCTCTGCCTGCCGCACAAGCACAAGTTCCTCTTCCACCCTTGCAAGTCTCGGTACCGCGTGTGTCAATGCGTTTGCCTTTGCGCCAGACTGCATCCCAGATACTCAGCGAGCTCCAAGCCAAGGGTGAACTGAATCCGGAGGTGATCGAATATCTGAAGCGTAAGGGTGACGAGCGTCTTGGCGACATAGAGCTCGCGGGAGTCAAGGCAAAATCGTCGGTGGGAAAAGGTACGTTCGTCTTATTCCTGTGATGCCCAGTTTGCAATGAACGACATCTGTACAGGGTATATTCCTTCGAACGCGCGGATGCCGCCCGAGAAGGAGGATTTGGGATTCAAGAGCTTCGACTGGCGTAAAGCGGCTGCCGAAAAAGCTGAACGCGAGGAGAAGGAGGCCCAAGCTAGGGCCACACAAATGCTACCGTATAACCCCAATGGCCCAGTCTGCATCTTAGGAGGCCTGACCGTGGAGGAGCAAATTCAGCAAGGCTTCTGGAAGCCACCTGAAACTTGGTATTCAAAGAAGGCTGCGTCTGGCTCGGAAAGCAAACGAGCAGGAAATAACGTGCGTGTAACGGTGGTCATGACATATACCTGCTTTGACATCGTTCCACAGGATGGTCCGAGTAAATCTGCTCCATCGGTATTAGATTCACAGCGTTCGATATACGAGCGCATGAATAGTCTCTACGGGCTTCCTCCTGACGCGTTTCCTGATCTGCCTCCACGACCACGTCCTGCTGGATCGAACTTGCCGGGCGAGTCTTCGCGGTCGACTGAAGCGGCCAGAATTGCAGCTGCGGTGCTAGCAGCGGACCAACCTGTGGGACAATATGTGCTCTCACCCGACGACCCCTTTGGACGTCTCATGGGACGACAACTTCACCAATATCCGAACAAATACAGAGTGATCGCTGCCCTTCCCAAGCCCAGAACACCTAAGCAGCGATTCATAGAGGGACACCGATCCGAGAAGCGTAGGCAGAGGGAAGCCGCTGAAGCCGCCGCCAAAGCTGCTGCCGAAGCAGCAGCTGGGGCACCCGCAGCCGAGGCACCTTCTGCGGAAGCGCAAGAAAGGCCTCCCACCATGCAAGAGATCATCGAAAGCACTGTCCCGAAGGTAAATCCTATCCTATCCCTCATAGCTGATATGTGTACATATCGCTGACTTCTTGCAGGGTAGCAAGCGATCAAGGCCGCCTCCGGAACTACTGACTTCCGATCGAAACGCAGCTGCTCCGGAAGCAGACGAAATCATCATTCTTACGGAAGAAGCAGAGGAGGAAGAGGACCGGCCTGCTCTCAAAAAGCGAAAGACGACTGCCGATCGCGTTGCCAGCAGGGTTGAACGAGCAAAGTCAGTCGCGGTGACCGTGGAAGAGATCGACAACGTTCCTGCTTCCGGCGAAGAGTTGGGCTATATGCAGCCTTCAGAGGTCGTCGAGCCGGAGACCTACAGCAGAAGTACTTCTCCAACCGATGCGTCATCCAGCGATACGTCCGCAGGTTCGTCACAAACTTCGAAGGGCGAACCGTCGAAGGGACTCGGTTATGCTGCGTTGAAGTCTACGGCTCCGAAAGAGCCCTCGAAACTACGGTACAGCATCCAGGCAGAACCCGAGGAAGAAGAGAATGAGAACGAGACGGTCAGCGCAGCCACGAGTGCTTCTCCGCTTCCTGCACTCGAAACAACACCTGCAGCGGCTGCAGAACTTACCCCTGCTCCATCCGCGTCTCTTCCGTTCCCACCCGCCTCATCTACGGCTACTTCGCCTGCATCCACCCCTGCACCGAGTGAGCCTGCGGCTGCTCTCGCACCTATCTCTGTGCCGTCCGCGATCACCTCAGTACCAAGTACCGCTATCGCAGCTATTTCCGTTCCCCAAGCCGAATCAGCACTTCCCGCACGGGAACATCTTGACGACTCGAAGTCGGTTGCAAAGGCGTGCGCTCCAAGTGAACTACCTCAGTACCGCTTCATACCGTTACTGCCTGAATTGCCTCCGCTTGCGAGACTCGATTCGATGCAAGCTGCCACTGATGTGGAGGATGCTGCTTTGCCGAAGTTCGACTTCCCCGGTTCTCTTGTCGCGTCTTGCCCTCTCCCCGGATGCTGAGCAAGTGAAGTGCCTCGACTTTGAGGCGACAAGTGTGCAGAGGTCGCAGGTTGTTCGCGTTGCTGGTTTCAGTTTTGCTGCTGCTGGCAAGGCGAGGCCAACGGTTGCGATGGGGAGCTCGACGTGCTCGCTGTCCAGTAGGCCTCATGCCGAGAGATGCATTGCATGCCGGACTCCATGGTAAGTGTAGTGACTCGCCCGCGTTTTTTTTTGCTTCCAATTGCCCTGTACTTAGACTGCTCATATTTTTCTCGGATTTGGAAGAACATATCTTTACTAGATCGATAGTGTATTTGTATTGTACATAAACGTGCCGTCCCATCGCTGCTTGTGGAATTGGAGTGAACGTGTTGTGCTCCTCTGTGTATTACCCCCTCCTTCAGACCTCCTCCTATGACTGTGCTTGCCTGTGTTGCGTGAAGTCGAGTTTCCGCACTACTGACCGGCCGTCGACCTCGTCGGAAGAAAGCCTGCGCTTCAGTTTGCTCGGTGGGTTGGCCTTCACGCCAGGGCCGGGACCGCTGAAGTCAACGTTACCGTCCACTTCTTCGAGTGGCAAATTCGAACTCGTCTTTGCGACCGGCTTGGGAAGTTTAGAAGGATGAGTAGGATAAGGCAATGCGAAGAAATACGGGTGATTGAGAGCCTGGATCGAATCGCCGATGATTATGAGAGCTGCTGACGATGTGTCGGACTGCTCACCTCTCTTGCGCTGATCCGCCGACCAGGTTCATATATCAAGCATTTGCTGAGAAGGTTGAGACAGTCAGCAGTAGCGGCGGTAAAGAGGTCTCGAAGGGGCGTCCGGGGAAACAGTCCCACAGGAACATAGTCCGGCAACTTCGTGTGGCCCTGAATGATGTCTCAGTGAATCGAGACCCCCCAATATAACGTTGGTTGACGTACAGGCCACTCTTCTTCGGTCGGTGTCCCGAGTGCCCGGAAGGTCGTCTTCAGCTGATCCATGTCAGACTCTCCTGGAAGGTAAGGCGTGCGCAGCATGAGTTCGGCGAAGATACATCCCACGGACCAGATGTCGACTGCGGTGCTGTAATAGCGACAGCCGAACAGAAGCTCCGGCGGACGGTACCATCTGAGAACCGAGGGTGAGAGATAGCACGGACGTAAGAGCGAGCGTGGCGAACCGCGTGATGACCTGACATGTCATCTTGTACCCAGGGTCTGCGAACTCTCGCGCGAGGCCGAAATCGGCAAGCTTGAGCTGCCCATCCGATGCGATGAGCAAGTTGTTCGGCTTCAAGTCCTGTTTCGTAACGGCGGTGAGTCATACTGATACGCCTATAGTTTGGAGGGATGCGACGAACGCGGTGCAAAATAAAATTCCGGTGGCAGAACTCCAAGCCACGGAACGTCATAGCAATCCAGCTCTTGATATCTGCGGGGAGGAAGACCAGTGACCGGTCTTTGATGACAAGCTCAAGGTCTGTGTCCAAGTACTCCAGGACAAGATTCAGATTTGTTTTAGAGGAAAATACGTCCAGTAGCTATTCGGTCTATCGTATGAGACTTAATGCTAATGGAAGGTATGAGTGGCTCGCCTCGATGACGTTCGGATGTTTCAGCTCTCGCAGATACTTGACCTCGCGTATAGCTGACATGTCCAGGCCATCCTTGAATTGGCCGACCTTGATCTTCTTGATAGCCACCTTTCGGCCGGTGGATATCTCGCGGCCTGACGGAGACCATGAACGACCGCCTGTTAAGAGAAGAAATTCGGGGACACACCTCGATATACGACAGCGTAGGTTCCCTCACCAACCTTCGCATCTTTGGCCCTTCTCGCAAGTGAATATCAGGATCGCTGCACGCTAGACACAGCTTACCATCTCTTCTGTCTTTCGGCGTTGGCTTTCTCCACTGCGTCCATTGTCTAGCGGATGTTCAGACTTGTCACACAGCCAATAGACTGAGCTCTTTAAGAAGTAGAGGTCCTGGCAGTTGACAGGAAATTGCGGCCACTTGAACTTGCAAAGACGCCACTGGGGACCAGGCCACAGCGATCTTAGCCTTGCAGGAAAGACCTTCCTAAAAGAGACTGAGGTAAAGCGCACGTGCCCGAACGCGGTCCTGTCCCGCGGTCTGTGCATGCGCTGCCTCGTCTCTCCTTGTTTTCCGTCCTCGCAGATCTGCGTACGCGAAAGTCCCTGCACTGCGATTATCGACCCCAAACGTGTAAAGAAGACGTCGCGATCGTGTCAGCTGCGTCGCGCGGCCAGGGGCCTGGTGGGAACTGCAGAAGCTCGCTTGTGTGTGTTCCCGCATCGGAACACTGCATGGGACTGTCCGCGTCCGTCGTACGCGCATCGAGCGGAGAAGTCTGTTGAGTTATTTCTATCATGAGCTTCTGACGGAGCTCAGCTCTCGCTGTTAGGTATGTCTCGAGCTGAATTCTTGTAGGCGTGCTCAATTCTTAGAGTTCGGCACGCCAGTTCAGTTCGTCGACCTCAAATACCAAGGGGACGGCGATGCCGAGCAGATGCCGAGTATTATGTAAGCCAAGTGGCTCGTGGGAACGCTAGGCAGGGAACAGGAGTGGCGAGATTATTTCCGAAGGATTGCTTTACATTTTCTCGATTTTTTATTGCCATCTCCCGTCGCACCTTCCCTAGTGCTCTGGTTTACCATGGATTGCAACATGTATGCACAGAGTTGCTTAGCCTGAATGTTAAAATGCTTCCAAGCAATCATTACACAGACTATCTCAGCACATTTGATGACAGCAATATGCAGGACCATGCAGTAGCTGCTGTCAATGTCATTATTGTTCCTCATCTATGTTGTGACTTTGTGAGAGTGAGATACACAGCCATTCGTCACTGTGATCCCCGCCGAGGTTGTCTGCAGCTGGACACCACAAACCGTGAGAAGATTGTGGGTGTGCAGTCTTCTTTTCAGGGATGTCCGCATCGCAATTTGGGGTTTACACAAGCAGCAATTCACACAAGAAATGTAGGAATGTCCCAAAGATAGAATTAACTGCCGGACATCTCAACAGCCACATTTGCTTATGTAATTCTCGGCATTTGCTCGGCATCGCCGTCCCCTTGGTATTTGAGGTCGACGAACTGAACTGGCGTGCCGAACTCTAAGAATTGAGCACGCCTTGTATCGCGGACTGAGACGTGAGGCTGGACAGGTTCATCGACTACAAAGTATCTAATCGTGCTTACACGCTCTAGGATGCGGCGCCGAAGCTAATGGTCTTGTGATGCTCTTCATATGCTGGAGCGGATTATATTGACGGCGACCGCGATAATGGAAACATCTCAGTCAGGTATCCTGTGAACGATATACGTTCGAACCGAGACGTCATGCCTTCTCGAACAGACCTCGCCGCAAATAGCTTCTCTTGTTTGTTGCGCCTCTTGTGCAGCGATATAAGAGAGTCGTTCACAAGCTAGTCTGGATGATCAACTCGCCAATCTTCGGCGACAACTAGTGAACATGGACTTGATCCACGAAATGGTCACCAGCATGTCCGTTTCTCCCCTGTATCTGACTCTCTTGGCTTTGGGTGCTATTCTTCTATCCTACGTTGTGCCCTACCTTGTGAATACAAATGGACTTCGCTCGTATCCAGGTCCTATCTTCGCAAAGTTCACCAGCGTTTGGCTGGCCTGGATCATCAAGCGAGGCCGCTGGTCGAAGACGGTGGAAGAACTCCATCGAACGCACGGTAAGCCAAATCATCATCTTCAGCACTGTCTTAGACTAACGCACCTCTAGGGCCGTTTGTTCGTCTATCGCCGAACCACATCTCCGTCGCTGACCCCAATGCATTCAATCCGGTCTATGGACATTCGTCCGGTGCGATGAAGGCTCCCTTCTACGACGCATTCTCCAACTTTCGCAAACGGACCGTCTTCAACACGTGCTCACGCGCGGAGCACGCACGCAAACGTCACGTCGAGTCTCATATGTTCGCACCGCAAAGCGTACGTGCGCTCGAGAGCACTTCACGCGTGCATGTAGCCGAGCTGCTGCGGCAATTCGATGCACTCTGTTCACGTGTCGAGAAGGCAGCCAAGGGCGAATCTATGACGGGGCGGCAAGGTTCAAGCTTGTGGTCTGTACGAGACGGTCGTGTGTGGTTCAGTTGTATGGCTTGTGGGTAGCGGCTTCCGCTGTTGTTCGGTGACCATCTGGTTGAACTCATGCCGGTCTTTAGGGTACGGCTTTAGGTCGTTTGATACTATCGGTATGTCTCGATCATGGTATAGTGCTGTCGGAACGGCTTCATCAATACACTCCACTACTCCCTGCATAGGTGATTTGTCGTTCGGCTCTCCTTTCGGCATGCTCCGCGCGGGCAACGATATCACGAAGATCGCAAAGTCGCCACAGAAAGGCCTGCAGGCGTTCACGCTTGTGTCCTCCGGTGTGGAACCTGAGAAGTTGGGGCTCGAACTGGAAGACTTATCGGTTGTCGAGTCCCTCACAGCACGCACAGAAATTGCTCCGGTGCTTGGGTTCCTTCCTGCCTATATTCGTCCGTTCGTTGCACGGCTTCCGGGCTTTCGCAGAGGGTCCGATGCCGCAACGAGACTCGCCAGCCTAGCCATCACTTCCGTCATGCGAAGGTTAGCTGCTGCCGACTCCCGCGAGGACATGCTCCAACGGCTGTTGGACGGTAGGGACGAGGAAGGCAACCCGATGGATCCAGAGGAGTTGAGTGCGGAGGCGCTCACCTTGATCATTGCGGGTGCTGATACTACTGCTAAGTGAGTGTTCACGGCTATTGTTTTGTAAACTCGTAATGATCTCGTTCTGTAGTACCACATGCGCCATCACCCACTTCCTCGCTCGTGACCAATATCGACAAGCAAAGCTGCAAGCCGAACTCGACAGCGCGTTTGCGTCCATCGATGGAGACATCGCACCGTATGATGTGGTCAAACGCCTCCCATACTTGGATGCGGTCATTGACGAAGGCTTGCGACTTCACTCAACCGTCGGGGCGGGCCTGCCGCGTATCGTACCTCCAGGAGGCATGACCGTACTCGGTCAAACCTTCAAGGAGGGTACATGGATAAGCGTTCCCATATATACTGTCCACCGCAGCGAAGCCGTATGGGGCGAAAATGCGCACCAATTCTGTCCGGAGCGATGGATCGAGCCGGACAGCGCTCGGAAGAAGCAGATGATGGACGCGTTTGCTCCATTCTCGATCGGTCCCAGGTACTTGTTCAATCATCATTATTCGGCGCTCGTTTCTCACTTCGCGCTTCGTGCGTTCAAACAGGGCATGCATCGGACGCAACCTTGCTCTCATGCAGCTACATATCATTGTTGCAACCATATTCCATCGTTACCATTTTGTCGTTGAGGATGACGCTGAGGTACGTGCGACACGTCAGCGTAGCTCATATCGTCTATTGACGCAGACGCAGCTCGCCGTTCATGATGCTCTGGCCCGCAGGCCTGTAAAGTGCGTGGTCGGCATGAAGCACAGAGAGTTCTGTGCTTGAGCCAAATATCTTTGGGGTTCCGCATAGTGTACAATGTTGTTCGCTGCGTTTTGTAGGACGTATGTAAAAAAAGATTCAAAAAACAAAACCAAGTTTTTTGTCGTTCAAAATTTTTTTCCACAATGACGCACTGGTCATCTGCTGATGGTGTCTGGGGAAAGCATATTCCAATCCGATCGAGATGTCTAAGCCGAGATGTAAGTCTAAAGTCCTAGATAACCTGGAGCAATTTGAGATAGTGTGACGCTTTCATCGCTACAGCCTCCTATTTCCACTGCTTCCTTGCTTTGCGTATATGCTTGATGACGTACCAAATATGCTATCTGAATGCTTGTAAACAGCCATCTTGCGATGAATATCCTCTTTGAAGGACTGCCATTCGCGCAAAGCCATCGAAGCCCCTTGTAGATCTGCCACATTTTGCCACGTATCTTCATGAGGTGCATAGCCAGCCCAGCGGATCAAATACTGCACCGAGTCTCGGGTTACCCTTTCGGCGACAATGTGCGATACCTCGTATTCCGGAGGCTCCCCATCTGCTGCTCGGATGGGAGGTGGGCGATGAGGAGTGGCGACATGTGAAGGGGGGTGTTCAAGCCAGTGTGCGGGTAGATCAGCAGTGATGGTGATACTCTTTGGTGTAAACGTGGATTTTCCGACCTGGGTCCTCTTTCCTTTGATGTTAGGCCAGCGTTCTCTGGAGTACTTCTCACATTCGCAAAGTGAATGTTCGAGGTCTACCATAGTGATACCAGGACGATGGTCTGGATGAAGACGGGGAAGGAGGTCTGGTGTGAAGCCCAGCCGAGAAAAGTGCTCATGCTGCGTAGCATGAAGGTACTGGAAGGCTTCATATTCATGGCCTTTGACGGCCTCACCAAAGATTTTCTGGATGCACTGCATAGATCCTGGGCCTAAAGCGACCCATTCATCTTCATTCCACTTGAAGTGGGGAAGCATGTTCAGATCAAGAAGGAGCCTGGATATTGATGCTGTGAGTTCATGCGCACATGCCAACTGAAGAAGCTCACATACTGGAGAGCAGTGAAGTCACTCAAGCTAGGAAAGAGACAGAGCCAGCCATGAGCATCCTTGAGATACTGAAATCTCTTCAGGCGTTCCGGTGCATTCATGTCCATCATTATCTGCAGCAGACGGAGATGATTGACGGCATTGATCCCACCAGCGCCAAATCTCGGTGCAGGTAAAATGTATGCATGCCCATACAGTGTCCGGCGAGCAGCATAGGCAGCAGAAAGCACTGATTCGTATTGTTTAAGATCGAATTGTCTCCAGGAGATCTCTCCAAAATGGTCCTGCAGGAGCTGCCAGGTCCCAGTGTGATTGAATAGTCGGAACAGCATAACACGGAAGCACGACTCCTGCATGTCCTGACTCCCCCCTGGGATGACCCTGTGCAGAACAAACTGCGTAGTCTTGTCATAGACACGGAAGACGTTGGTAAATGGATAGCTTGCGAGGATTGGATCATCTGTCCAGGGAGCGGGTCTACCTTCTAACCGACGCTTGAAGATTCGATGCCTTTCAGCCATGAACCGGAAAAGGCCATCCAGGATTGGTGAAACCCGGAAGCGATACCCATTGATCGTCACATTGCGTAGGCGAGGCAGTTTCGGTGTGCTCAGGGCCCATCCTGATGTATGCTGAACGATGGCGTTTGCTGTCGTCCCAGCAGTTGAGCATTTTGACCGCAGGGGCGCGGGCTCGCGACCATCGTGCTTGTGCCGGTGCAAGGCTGCGGGACGTGTTCGTACCATCTTGGAAATGTAATTTTAGAGAAGATCGCCTTTGTGGCAGATGGATATGAACACATACCGAACGCAGATGCCTTCACGTTCAAGCCGGACGTTTCGCGATTGAGCTACTTCTTTTTTGCTCGACGCCATCACATGATCATAATGCACGTTCATATGCCAGTGAGCATCGGCGATGGCATTGCACTGTGCACTCACTGCCGCCTTGCTGTACACTGGCATGCATGCAAACATGCCATTGGAGAAGCCCTGCAGTCCAGGCATCCTGGAACATAGGGCTCAGCCACTGGCATGTTTGGATACAAGTCAGCCAGTTACTATGGGCTGTGGTGCAACAATAATTCATCAATAGATGTCCTTAACTACATGCATACTCACTGTGTTTATGTACTGAGAAAAGCTGCGGTAACAAACCTGCAACGATTGCAGCTGTTGAGCTGCAAGCCTGCACATCCTTGTGGTCCAGGGGTGAGCTCAGCAGACAGAACATAGTTCAAGGTCACAGCTCTCGCTTGTGCGACGAGTTCGTCACAGCTGAATGTTCACACAGCCAAACTTGATGAACTTACACCATCTCTCTAATGAGATTTGGGCATATTGGTAGATCTTATTCAGTGCACAATATCATTCCTCACCAATGATTTTTTGGTACCATGATGTTCACCATGATGCTCACCACAATGCCCACCACAACACTCACACTGCATGGTTCAGATATCATGAAATACACAGCACTCCAGCAATTGCTTTGAAACTAAAACTATGTACAAGGTCTAGCAATCATCCTGCTCAAGCTGTAGGCTGGGGCCAATAGTCCAACACTGACTCATTTCCGGTAAGTGAGAAGCTTACGGTCGATTTTGCATCGACGTCGAGGACCAAATCATACTCTCCGGGATATAGAATCGTGTTGCCGTAGCTGTCGGCCCGAGCAAGGGACCCTAAAGTGAGGTTGAGCGTGGTGGTCTGGCTCGACAGTGGCGCAACGGAATGGAGGCGGCTGTACGCGGCGAGGACTTTGTTAGGCACTGGTGCTGGTCCATGCTCGCCGGCGACGAACAGGAGCGCAACAAAGTCTGATGAAACACTGTTGCCCGTATTCGTAACGTTCACAGTGTACGAGGCGAAGGGGCACAAGTCGAGGTGCTCATAGCCAGAACAGCCGCTAACGAGCGTTGAGATGTCGTACGATGACGCCGAGGACTCCGAGAGTGACGCAGTGAAGTTCGTGTAGTGCAGGCCGTAACCGAAAGGAAAGACAGGAGTGCCGGTGTACCACATGTACGTACGGCCTGGGCTCGTCGCGCTCGGGCGCAGTGACATGTCTGTCATCGGGATTTGATAGACGTAGCCAATAGGATACTGTGTGATGGGCAGCCTTCCTGCAGGCGCGACCTTGCCCATGATGATATCTATCAGCGCGGTGCCACCGCTCTGCCCGGGATACCCTCCCCAGATAATCGCGTTCACGCCCGCGTTTGGGATCATGCACGAGTCATCTACCTGGCCACCGCCCATCTGAAGCACGACGAACGGCTTTCCGAACTGCGAGAGTGAGTCGATCAAATCAATCTGAACGCCCGGCCAGTCGAGCGTATAGCGATCCATTCCCTCCGCTTCGACGTCCGTATTGATACCACCGGCATAAATTATCGCATCTGCGGCGGCAGCGGCTTCAAAGGCAGCAGGGAAGGACGACGTCGTTGGATCGTCGATGCCGGGGCCTGTGGCGTAGTACACGGTGTAGCCAGCCGCCTCCGCCGCCATAAGCGGGCTGATGAGATAGGGCGCCACTCCATAATAGTTACCCTGCATCTCAGTCGTCGCATTGGCCCAAGGACCAATCAAAGCGATCGATTTGATGGACGAGGAAAGGGGGAGTGTGCCATCGTTCTTGAGAAGTGTAATGCCTTCGACAGCGGCGGTATAGGCGAGCTCCTCAGCGGCGGGAGTGCTTACGTTTTCCCAGCCAATGCTTCGGTATGGCTGATTCTCGGCGGGATCGAAGTAGCCAAGCTTGACGAGCGATGAGTACAACCGGATGAGAGCGCGGTCGAGAGTGGAGACGTTGAACAAGCCTTCCTCGTAAGCAGAGCCGAGGTTCAAGGGATAATACTCGCCACAATCGAGATCCGCACCAGCGTTGAGAGCATCTGCGACGGTCAATTGACGAGTGGGAGCGTAATAGTGCGGTTGATAGATGTTTTCAATGGCATCGCAATCGGAGGTAACCCACTGGTCTTCGTTCGTCCATCCCCAGTGCTCGCGTAAAATGTCCTGCAGCAGGTAGGAGTTCGCGCATGACGGCACACCGTTCACGGCATTGTAGGAGCACATGAACGCTCCGACGTTCGCATCACGCGCGCAAGTCCTGAACGAACGCGTGTAGAACTCGGAAAGGTCCTGGATGGACACTATAGCGTCAAAGCCGTAGCGGACATTGCCCATCCAGTTCTCAAGGTCATAGGCGGCGAAATGCTTGCATGTGGCGACGATCCGCTTGTACTCGGGATCTAATCCGCCTTGCAAGCCAGTGATCAGATTGTAGACGTATGATTGGAGGTGGAATGGGTCCTCGCCCGGAGTTTCTTGCCCTGCGTGGAATGAGCATCCAAACGGAAAGAGGTGTCGCCGGACTTACCTCGGCCCCAGCGAGGATCCTTGAACGGGTTAATGTTGGGCGTCCAGAAGTCGAGCTACAATTGCAGTGCCAACGTTAGTGTGCAATCTAGAATTTGAGGAGTCTAACGCACCCCGGAGCGGTTGTTGTTATTGAAGCCACGCGCCTCTGTGCTGATGACCGTCGCGATATTGTAAATCATGGGGTCGTCGAACGCAGCGCTCATGAGGATAGGTTGGGGGAACGACGTCGCGTAACTGAACGGTCCTGACTCTGCGAAGTAGACACCAGGTGACTCCGCGACACCGTGCAGTCCTTCCTGCCACCATCTGCAGGTGGCTAAGCAAGCTAACCACCTCGAAACAAGTCTTCGCAACTCACTGATATGCCGGTAATCCGAGGCGAGGAACGCCCGGACTTGTGTTGCCAGTGTTGTTAACCTTTTCGTCAAAGGTGAACAGGCTGACCAAAGCGGCCGCGCGATCAACTGGATTTGCAGTGATATCGCAGACTGTTGTGGTGGCGAGAGGCCCACTGACACAGTCCGGGAAGGCAGCCTGAGCGAAGGCCCCACTGGCCAAAGCGACGCATACGAACGCAGAGAGGAAGCCCATGGCGAGACAGAATCAAGGGGACTGCCTGCTGTCCTCCAAGTTCTGGGCGATGCAAGATCATTTTTATATTTTTGCGACATTTCTTCTATCCACCTCCATCGGATAGCACACGCTCGTCCAAAATAGACTGGTTAAGGACACTTGCAATTCTGGCACGGGAGACATTGGACAAGCGGCCCGTCCGCTGGGACACCTGATCATGAACACGATGTAGGCCCTGAGCGCACATACGAAATTCCGAGGAGCTGCTTCTTAGCCGGCGGGGTGACGTATTCCGTGGACGGGTATAGTCCGACTTTGCAGCCAGAGAAAAGCTCATCGTGATGAATGAAGCCGAGAGACTATCCATAGCGAGGAATACATTGCTAGCCAGCACCACAGAGATTCCTTCGCATCGAATGCGAGCGCAAGGGAAATTAACAGATCTCGTTCAGTAGCTAAACGGACCGCAGAAGGGGGTGATGGGTACTTCCGGGCTTCGGACGCGTTTGTCAGCTGGCTCACATGGGATGCCGTTAATCAGAACGTTCGTGACCGCCGATGGTGTCAACGTTAACGGTCAATCCTCGGCCTGGCGGATGTTGTTCAACAGCAAGAAGTACATGCGTCTAAGCGCCCGATCTTCGTGGCGGCACGGCGGCGAGCGGCCACTGTTCTACTCAGGCATAATTGCGAACAGGCTCTGCTCATTTTGCCCGCGTTAACCCCATAATCCCCAATAGCGATTCATGCGTGGTATACACAATGACTATGACCCGTTAATTGTCCAGCAGAGATGTCCGACTTCCGTATAACTCATGCGGCAATACCTACTACAACATTGTAGCCCTAGAAAGGGTAAGACGAACTTCGCACATCGATTCTTCTGCCGAAAGAATGTGCGCTGATACTTCGCCAACATGCCACTTGGTCTCATTGTGATTGATATTCGCACGGTTGCGTTGTAGGGTGCATGCCTGTCAAGCCAAGCCTGCCTCGGCTGCTAACGAGTAGAACGCAGACTGCTTGTTGGCGAGCAGCTTCTGGGGTTCATCGAACTCGGCGACCTGGAAGCAAAAGATTGATCAAACGATCGTCCAGAACATCGACGAAAATAGAACGTACCTTTCCCGCGCTCAGTACCAAAACTCGATCCGATTCCATGATGGTGTTGATCCTATGCCTGTGAATGGCGAAACAGGGCATGTGAGGCGAACACTCAAGGGCAGACACGGAGATGCACGTACGCGATTGTCAGCATGGTCACATCAGCGAACAATGGTCCACGTATGATCTCCTGAATAGCTTTGTCCGTATCCAAATCGACAGCGGATGTGGCTGATCAGAGCGCGGGTCAGTTCCCATCGATTGCATGTTGGTGTGATGGACATACCTTCGTCGAGGACTAGGATCTTCGACTACGAACCAGGATCTCGGGTAAATAAAGCACGAACCTTCCTCAAACAGAAGGGAACATACCCTGCGCAAAAGAGCCCGTGTGAAGCACAGTAACTGGCGCTGCCCAGCAGACATGGACGATCCTCCTTCTCGCACCGATGCATCGAGCCCTTCGGGCAATGACTCAATAAACGCTTTGAGGCGTGCCTGTGAGAATCGGTTTGAAAATAGAAGCAAAGCGGTCAGTTGCGGGTGATAGGAAATTTGAAGAAAGGAGACCAACCTGACCAAGCGCGACCCAAATGTCGGCATCTTGGTATGCACCTGTAGGATCGATGTTCTGGCGAATCGTCCCTTCGAATAGGTCTGGGCTCTGGGGCACAATGGATATTGCGGAACGCACTAAATAACAGAATCGGTCTCTCAAGCAGCTGAACTATCGCATGAATTTCGGATCCAGACGCACGATCATGTAACCCCACTTTTGTAATGTCCACACCATCGACGTAGATCGTGCCGGATGCAGGCTCGATAACGCGGAACAAGGAAAGGAGAAGCTGCATTGTGACCGTCAATGATCACCATGGAATCTACCGCATCCGGTTGAGACTAACCGTTGATTTCCCTGACCCTGTCCTACCGCAAATTCCTACCTTTTCGCTGTGATTCTTTTGTGGCAGAGTGAGCCAGCTAGTATTTAGATGAAGCGAAACGGACGTACAATTTTGACACTGATGTCTTGCAAGGCAAGGTCAAGCTCAGGGCGGTAACGAGCGCAGTAATCTCTGTACTTTCTGTCAGACGCTAATGAAGGGCAACGAACTTCTGAAATGCGCACCGATACTCAATTTCTCCCTTCGAAGGCCATTTCTCAGGCACAGTGCCTGGTATCTCATCAGGGGCCTCGGGTTCCAGCTGGATGTAGTGCAGAATGCGTTCGACGCTGACGATATTTTGTTCGACCTCACTAGCAGAGCGCACGAGCCAGTTCTGCGCGGCACATCAGCCGAAACACCAGCCAAAGAGGTAGTTGGTAGCTCTTACCAGAGACCCAGTTGTGTTCAATGCATAAGACAGTACAAATCCGACCAGACCCGCGTCGACGCCGCTTGTAACGAGAGCTACCAAAGACAACGTCGCGGCGATGAAGATAATGGTTGCGCCTACAAACTCAAGTCTCACTGCGAGCCACCGGTTCACCGAGATGCTACGGGGTGGTTCAGTCAAATGACAGTGACGAATTTCCAGATAGGAACATACCTAGGAAGATAGCAAATCTGGTTGCGATCCAATCGACGTTCATTATTCGAGATGAACACTTGCTGTTGGTCAAATGCTCGGATAGTCGACACGCCATTGAGCGACTCCGAGAACCATGCGAAGATCGGCGATTTCGAGACAGCATCGAGACGCTTCAGCTCGCGTGATGTCGAGAGGTAATAGCTAGGGAGTTTGTTTCACTATCAGAGGCCGCTTAGAAATGACTCGAACATACATCATCACTCGGAGATAAAACCAAGCTAAAGGGGGGACTGCGACGAGCTGGCTACGGCATCAGATTTTATTCACGACGGAATCATTTAGCATACTCACGAAGAGCGGGAAACTATATCCGATAACGAAGAGGATCATAGCAGTCGTACACGTTGTCCGCACTGTTCCTTGAATGACCTACGTACCCGTCAGCAAGTCGAATTTACACAGAATTAGTATACTGACCCGAGCCATGATTTGATCGACGACGTAGATATCACGCGAGAACAAGTTCAGAATCCTATCTCATCGAAACATGAAAAGTTGTAGGTGCATCGGAAGACATCGAAAACATACCGTCCGGTGGGAGTCAATTCAAAGAAACTCAGCGGAGCGTGCATTACAGCATGGAGCATCTACCCAGAGTAAGCAATATGATGTATGCACGCCGGAGTCTGCAATCACTAACCGAGTCGTGCAAGCGTTTGGAGGTCCTTACGGAGCACAGCACCCATATTAGGATCGCGCCAACCGTTCCGAGCAGAGTCGACGATAACGAATACAGTCCGTACACAAGGAGGTACTTCCACGCATCCCGGTTGGCTCCAACGTTCAAGTTGTGCTCTCCCCAAGAGCGAAGCGTGTTGTTCCCCGCAACCGCCGTGATCTGCTGCAGGATCATCGACAGAACGAAGAATGCAAATCCGGCTTTCGATGCGGCCTGGATGTACTGCAAGTAGACATCTATCTTGACTCGACCATGTTCGCTGTACTCTTTCGTGGCCCCATCAGAGACGGTGCGAATTGGGAGACTGTCAACAAGCGTTGCTTTCCCGAAGCTCTTACGTCGGGTCAGCTTGCTGTCTACTGTCTGTAGCTTTACTTCGATCAGATCGTCCGTAAGCTCCACTGCCGTTTCTCCTCCAGAAGACGGCGTTGCCGACTCTCTGAAGAATGGGGTGGACATTCCAGAAGCTGTCGGATTCCCATGCCCTTTTCTATCGCAGATACATTGAAATGTCAGCCGGCTACGAAGAGATAGGGAAGGTAAGTGTCTCACAAGAGCTTGTAGAATTCGCTTTCGGGATTACTGATCAGTTCACTGTATGCGCCTTGCTCGAGAATAATGCCTCTACGGATGTATACGACGTGATCAAACTGCTTCAAGAAATGGATACTGTTAGTCACAACGATCCTAGCCTTCGTGGCGAGAAGACCTTGGGGACCAATGACATGATCTGTCGACGAAGACACATCATAGGAATCAGCAGGGATAGGTGATGAATTCAGCACAACTCACCGAATACATGGCGCGCGACATGAGAGTCCACAGCAGAAAGCACGTCGTCTAATATAACACTACCACAACGAGCATGGTGAGCATGAGATCCAGACTACAAATGAAGGAATGCTAACAGATCGGCCCTAGCGTATACTGCACGCGCGAGGCCCACTCTCGCGCGCTGTCCACCACTCAACTATGGGAGAATGTGTCAAACATCATGTCTCACCACGCCGTGCTACTGAATCGCTCACGGTAATACCTGTGCCATGGCTCACGGTCAGTCAATGTACAGAAGTCACGCCTGTTTGACGTACCCTTCTCTCCGACTTCTGTCAAATCACCCTTCGGCAGCAGAGCCAGATCCTGCCTGAGTGCGCAGGCTAAGCGTCATTTTAGTCTAGAGAACTTGACTGGCTTGAATTCAATCTAAATCTACTCACCATCTAGCACGAGGTCATAGAATTCTTCGTCAAAAACATGCGAAAAGAGAATATTATCTCTGATGGAAGCGCTCATGATCCTGTTCGAGGATGTTCGGCATGGCGCGGGAAGGAGACATGGTGCACACATACCATGGATCCTGCGGCGCATATGATAACGAACCCGAAAGCTTGACTTCTCCTTCGGTACGCCTCATCTCGCCAATGATCGCTGACAGCAGACTCGTCTAGTTCCCTTCCGTCAGATAAAACGAGTTTAAGCTCAACACATTCCTTACCTTTCCAGCTCCGACACGTCCAAGAATACCTACGAGCTCCCCTTTCCTTACAGTCAGATTAATGTCCTCGAGGATGGGTACAGGAGCGTCCTTGTTCCAGCAGAACTCTCCATTCGTAATTCTCAAGACCTGAGACCACATTTGAGTCATAATTCAGTGTCACTGTCAACATCTCGTACGCACTTCATCACCGAGCTCAAGCTGCACATCGGTCTTCATCTCGCGTGCGTCGGGTTGCAGTTCTTCCGTGGCGAGGAAATCAGAAAGCCGCCTGACTGACACGAGTGATTCAATGATGTTCGAGGTGACTTGACTGACCTACGAGATCACCCAGCAAGTTAGTAGTGGGACGAGTGATGCGCTGAAGGCAAATACAGGATAAAAATCACCATGGCGAGTGGGAAATTGAGTAGCATGAATAGTGAGATAGACGGGAAGATTCTATCGGACGTCAGCGGCGTCTTCGATGTCGCGGACGCGACCGCAAACGAGCTGAAGGCGACTAGAACTGAAGGACATAGCAACTGTCAGAATGGGGAGCTCACACATTTAAATGCACGTACGCGGAACACCAGTCCACATGGACGTGTTCAAGGACTGAAATGTAATCAACACGGTGCATCTCGCAGAGGGTAAGCGTCCAGCACTCACTGCAACAACGGCAATCTTACGGAGCATCCTCAGCTCCTGCTCATTCCGTACCGACAGAATCCAGCGCGTGAACGCGTTTTCCCAAGCATATAACTTGATACTGATCGCAACAAAACTGCCTAAATCCCGCCTGCTCTGTGACATTCGCAAGGCACACACCTCCTGATATTCGCCAACAACTCGCTCATTAGACGCGTTCGGTGGTCCCTATTCTTCATCTGCTTCTCTTGTAACCTCTTCATATACCGCGCGATGAGCGTGTTCAGGGGGATGGAGAACACCATGATCGCAACGCCAACAAACGCTGACCAACCGAGGATGTTGTATAGAGAGATGAAGGCCAGAGTGATCTATGTTAAACAATAAGCAAGCCGCACTCGCGAACGGATTGGTCAAGGCACCTACCTGGAACGGCCCCGAGATAGCGATAAGCCCGTAAGTGCATAGATCTTGTAGACGCGTCGCATCCACCGACATGAGGTTAACAATGTCACCTGACGCTGTGCTACGGCCGTCGTTCGAGAGAGCCAATGCCTTCTGATAGATGGCAGTCACTAGCCCAGCGCGCACACGCATGCCGGTCTCGAAGCAGCGTTGGAAGTACTATGAGAGGTCTTCATAAGCAAAAACAACAGTAACTAAACAGTGCTCGCACCTGATGCAAGATGATGGTCTGTACGATCGACGCCGTGAACATGATGATCACAATCGCAAAGCCTTCTACAGTGCTTGGACGTTCTCTTCCCGAGGAACGCGCGCTTTGATATTCGGAAATGTATGCAAGCAGCCATCGAAGGAGTTGCGGCTGCAGGAAGGCCAAGCAATCTTGTGTGAGCTTGAAGAAGGCAGCGAATGCGTAGGGACCACCATATGCGGTGAAGAGCGAAGTCCACAATCCCTTGCTGTTAGCACCATAGTTAACGTAGATGCGCACTCAGTACTGCAAAGCCTACGCACTGCTTCTTGCGTGTATTCTGCAAACGCCGTCCAAGGTTCGCGGACTCGTCACTTGGAATGAGTGATGGCAGGTCATCCTCGGTGATGTACGTCGATGCACCCTTCTTCATAAGATCCGACATCCATGAGAACGTCCATATGCTGAAGATGTTTGCAGTCAACAGCGGGCTCTCGACGTGCCCCTTCTCGTCGGTTGCCCCGGACGGGCAGTCCTCTGGTGTAAACTCCGTGCCGAGAGACTCCAGCCCGAAGGCTGCGAGCCCAAGAATCGCGACGACGCATTTGAGCGCTAGAACGGGCACGAGCTTTGATGTGGAGAGAAGGATTATCGTGCGGCCCCAAACTACAAGGCTGAGGATGTAGACCGGCCAAAAGAGTAACAGAGGTGTCGAGGATGAGCGCGTGCGAGAGTGATTGAAGTAGGTCAATATGGGTGCCACGAGCAACGCTAGTACCTCGAGGATGTAGGTCTGAACCAGAGCGACAGGCGCGTGCGTGGCTAGCACGAAAACAAAGTTGGCGAAGCTAGTAGCGCACGCGACAGAGAGAAACGCCTACAGGGCGGGGGCTCAGCTTATTCGCGTCACGGTACTGTTACGGTCTCATCAACTCACCAACTTAACCCGCAGCATCCAAATGCTCTTGCGGCTTCTCTGGTGTGCTTCCCATGCCTTGATAGTCCAGCACCTGAATGCGCCCAATAGTATAAAGAACACGAGGATCGTGGAGAGGATGATGCCTTCCTCGAAGCAGAGCGTGAGGTCAAAGGCCCGCTTCTGGGACACAGGTCCCCAGCCTTCGTGGTCACCGCAGCAGCATGCCGGCGACGCCATTGGTAGCGGGACGTGGTAAAAGAGCACGTCGAACACGCCAGCGATGGCGACAATGTCTGGTTTATAAGCTGAGCGCGTACGAGAGGATATCGGCAAGCTTGCTCCTTTTTTGTTGGCGTCATACCCCGGCTCGGGGCTATCTCACTTTTTGGATCTGCACGCCCCGCACCCTGTGGCCCGGGCGTCCATATTTTCCGTGAACATTTGAACGCCGGAGCTACGTATCTAAAGAGGCTACTGGCTTGAAATGTACAGAGAGAACATTTATCGAATTGAACTGCTGCAGAGCTCGCCATCACCAACAACGTTGCTCTACTCTCATCTCGTCGACGGATTGACCGCGGTGTAGCCACCGTCAACGACAATTTCCTGACCATTCGTATAACATCCAGCAGGCGACACAAGGTAAATGACAGTGCCTGCCACCTCCTGAGCCCTGAAGCAAGTATGAGCACCGACACAACCTGAAGAGTCTCATGTACGCACGACCCGGGTCTCTGCAGTGGCTGAGGGACAATACTCTTGCCAATCTTGTCAACCATGTCCGGGGTGATAGTCGGGTACGTCATTTCCGACTCGTAGACACCAGGCGCGACGCTGCATACGCGCACCGGCACTTTCTTGAGTGCCAGCTCCGTTGCGAACATCTTCGTCAAGTGTGCAGTTGCTGCTTTCGTGGTGTTATATGCAAGCTATTTGCATAGAGGTAAATCGCAGAAGTTCTCGCATCGAAAGCTATGACAAAACCCACCTGAACCTGCCCCAGCTTGTTGATTCCACTGATACTGGTAATGTTAACGACACACGAAGTGTAACCAGGCACGTCCTTGCTGCCTTTGGCAAGGAGGCCCAGGAAAGCAGTCGTCATGAAGTAGATGGAGAATGTATTCACGCTGAACACTTCAGACCAGTCTTTGAACGATGCGCTGTCGAACATGGCTCGTCCTAGCGTTTCCGGAGACTTGTGCTCTGGTGCGTTCGTATCGTTGAGGAAAGGCGTAACAGGTCCGGTCTGCCCAGCACTGTACAAAGTCATGCGTACGCCTATCCAGAAACATCACGCACGAGAGGCGACTCACTTGTTCACTAGGATATGCAATCTCCCTACTTTCAAAGCGATGACTTCCTGTCCCGCAGAAATGCTGCTCTTTTCTGTCACATCCATGGGTAATCTACATAAGAACTGTCGACAAAACCAGTCAATCTCGAGTGCGCAGAACCACGCACGGTATAATGGCCCCTTCACCCCGGTGTTCCTTTTCAAACTTCGCTGCAGCCTGTTCCAGGACGTCCTTACGTCGGCCAGTGATGTACACTCTCGCACCATTTGCGGCGAGTCCTTCCGCAATCATCCATCCGATGCCCGTGCCGCCTCCAGTGACGAGAGCGACTCGTCCTTGAAGGTCAAACAGCTTCTCGAGGCGCAACAACTGCGACATCCTGGACGACTGGTATTCGTGCGAAGGTACGGAGGCGATGGTAGTGGCTGCGAAGACGCGATGTGCATGGCATCGACCCGAAGAAAATACATACGGAGACGGCTTTCCTTCTGTTACGAGATGATATATATATAACGTCTGCGGTCGCAGGAGGCGAAGATAGCACGGACCGGGACAAAGTCACGATACGCTGACTAAGCACGACTCGTGCCATCAGCCACTGACGCGTTTGGGTGCCACCAACGCGTTTTACGCGCGTCTGTGCACTTTCGCTTGCCGGTCGACCACCACTGACTAAAACTTTTTTCCATCCTGCATCTTCTAGCCCTGGATGCCTCGAATAGCTCGCTGAGAATCAACAGAAACCAACACTCCGCTGGTCATACGCACATTGGATATCGCCTGTCATCGATTCATCTCTCGCCATCACAGAACACACTGAGCCAGCACTCTTGGTTGCCTTTGCACAATGGATTCAGGCAGGTTGCATGAATTGTGGCTATAGAACGAGCGACCATGGGTCAATGCCTTATGGCTCCCCACATCCACTCGAAGGAACCCAGTTACACATCTTTTCCCGGACTGGCCTTGAAGTCGTCACAGTTTACGAAGAGTGGCCGAAAGGCAGCCCCGCGGCCAGGCGGCTCTGGTCAAAACGAGGCGGACCTGGCTAGCGCCAATGTCGCTTTGGTCTACGTAGCGTCTTACATTTCTAGAATTGGCTTTCTTTTTGAATGCTGGTCTCTCATTTCCCGACGTCTGGTGCTCGCTCGTCGCGATGATGGGTGACTCTGATACCTGCTTATGACAACTCAATCGCAGAATCTGCGCGACTGATGCGGCGAGTCTTGTTACATAAGGAGGATTTCAAGCCAAAGAACACAAGGCAAAGCACAGCACGGCCATTGCAGGACGTGCGTAGGCCCTAAAAAGGCATCATTGATGGGGTCCCCGGTGATCGCCGGTGAATTCCAAAAGAGTGTTCAGCTCGCTCGCCCTCACCACCATAAGAGACCATAAGCTTCAACAGCCTAATCACTTACATTTTATACCCACGATCTCTGCTTTCACGAATTTTGAACGCTTCTTGGCAGACCAGGTGGCCGTCTAGGGCACGGATTGGCGTGGACTGTGTGCAGGAGCGACGTTCTTGAATCAGAAGATCAACCAACCACCTTGCTCTCAGCCTCTGCGATTCGAAGCAACGCCCCGCTGCGCAGGTACGACAGGCCGCTCTGTTCACATTCTGCATCCTTTGCCTGAGCCGCACTACATCATCAGCCTAGAACATGTGTCCTACTCTTCAAGCACTGACGGCCTTCAATGCGGTGGCCACAATTGGACGTATCCCTGACGACATTCTACGAGACATATTCACACTATTGACTTACAGCTCTACGTTCGCTACCAGAAAGATGGAGATATATCGAAGAAGCTGGATCTCCGTGACACATGTGTGCTCGTACTGGCGCAGGCTCGCCTTGAGTTCGCCGGAATTGTGGACCTCAGTGTACGTCACTACCCATACTAGTCCGTTTCTCCTCCACGCCTCTATCCGGAGGGCAAAGCAACTCCCTATACACATAAGTACCAGGGGTCAGGGTTCCGCTTGCTCTCCATATCAGCCTTGCAGAACGCTCAGATACTCGCAGATCTGATATCTGCTCAAGATCGACACGTCACTGACTTCTCTGCCGTTGCCTTGAGTGAGAAAGAATCAATAATATTTATTGCCTGTCTCAAACGACGCGCCTGGGAGCTTCGGAGCTCAACCCTAGGTCAACTTGATACTCAGCGGCTCTCCTTGCGTCATATCATTAGTCCGTCCTCGCTCAGGTTCCGGGAATCTGGCTACTACCTCAACCTATCATCAAGAGCCCTCACTCATCTCTGCATACACGGCATAATCCTGTCATCGCTGGATGATTTACTGATAACTCTGAGTCGTTTCCCTGCTCTCGAAACTCTCGACCTGGAATTCAATATAATTCCCTATGAACCACCGCTGGGAGTGACAGCAGACCTCGCACAGTTGAAGATTCTCAAAATTGCATCATACAGGCATGATTCCGCCATACAGCTCGTGACTCGCCTGTCGTTTCCAGTCACGGCCGCTATCACTCTTTGTTTCTTGATACCGACACAGGCAGAAATCATACATTTCGAGCAATCGGAGTATCTGCAGGAGCTGGCTTTCGGGATTCAAAGCGTTACGCTGGAATTAGAAGGGCGGCAAAGCGAGTGTCGCAGCCTAACACTAGCGTCAACACATCCTTCCCTCAAACTCCAATGGAAGTAGCCATGGGCTCAGTCGCGACGCAGCCAGTCATTCTGGCACACTGGCGCTTCCCCGATTACCCTTCCCAACCTGACAGCCGTTACAATTCTCCTTGGCGAACTATGTCTTGACGAGGAGCAATGGCTTGATGTGCACTGGGCGAGCTGGATTTCTGTCCGCACTTGGAACACATCGTCATCGCTTACGATGGGGAATTCGACGGCGTCATTCATAATTCTCTATGGGCCTGTCTATCGCAGCGGCATCGAGAAGGCTTACCGTTGAGGGCTATCAATTTCTTCCCAATGACACAGCCGATGATGAAGTTTGACGTGCGGCCACTCTGTCCAGCCATCTTGAACTAGTCTCTTGACGCTTGACATGGTATACTAGCTTGGAAAGACCGGAAGACCTTTACGCGGCAGTATGTCAATATATGGTATAGTCAGACGGATAACTGTCAGCTGAATTTGCATGATTTTGCATGTACCCAACTGTAGAAGTCTCAAAACCGAGATACTCCAATTGATTTATAATATTCGAGTCGATCATACACGAGCTTTGAGTGAGTAGATTAATTTGTTAATTGATTGATGGGCGTTGTGGCCATTTCCAATCGTCTAACTTCCTGTTGGACATATGGTCACATGCATGGCGCGTTACGAATCGCGAATCGCGATCGACGCCCTCCCTGTTGGGAGCACGTGCGCAGGAGAGGCTAGGAGAGGCAACATCATCTCGGGAGTCGGACTTAGCTAATGTAAGGGAACCCATGAACTTGCGCTCGTTCCATCACAACGTTCTCAGACCGACGGTGCGATTGAGAACGATTCACCGCCTCAGCCAGTCATCCTTTAAGATCTATCACAGGCCACTCCATTTCTCCACCCGAGTCATGGACGATCCTAGTAAGACGAAGAGTGAGAGCGAGTGGAGGGCCATTCTGTCCCCTGAGCAGGTGTGACAATCGCCCCGATTTGTATTGAAACGTGCTTATAGTCCACGCAGTTTCGTATCCTGCGACAGAAGGGCACTGAGCCTGCAGGCACCGGGAGATATGCGCACTTCAAGGGCGAGGGTGTCTACACCTGCGCCGGCTGTGGCACCCCTTTGTACAAGAGTACTACGAAGTTCGATAGTGGTTGCGGCTGGCCGGCCTTCTTTGACGGTGAGCTTTGTCGTGCACACGCTTGTTTGGGCTCGTGCTGACCGACACGATTGTTAGCCATACCCGGAGCAGTCATCCGTCATGAAGACCGTTCCCTTGGTAGAATTCGCACGGAAATTACGTGTGCAGCATGTGGAGGACATCTCGGCCACGTCTTTCAGGGAGAAGGATTCCAGACACCCAGTACGTAGAATGTCGCTTGCATGATGTGCACCATCGATTAACCCATCATAATCAGCGGATGAACGTCATTGCGTCAACTCCGTCTCATTGAAATTCGCCGAGGATCAGAACCTTTGAACAGCTTGTGCCGTCACCTTGTACACCTTGCAGCACTGTAATTTTACCGCGGATGGCTCAGCGATTGTATCTGTTCCACTTGTCCATCGACGAGAGCTCGGAAAGTTCTTTGCGTGTATGGTGTTGCATGGTGAATTGACCTTCAGTTGATTTAAGAGTATCATAGGTAGACAGCAAAGGCAGACCGCAGGCGTAAGGTAACGTGGAAGTATATGGTCGTGACGATGGCTAAGAGGCAGTGATCCGCAGGAAAGGAGGCACCGGATATACCATCCGAGCACCATCCGAGTGGTATGCAATGTGAGACGTGTATTGTACAGCGAGACCTTTGATCAGAGTCCTTCCATGTTGGCCACGAGATCGTCGAGTTCGGCTTTCGACTCGCGATACTTGGTTTGTGCTTCCTGATTGCGGATAATGTCGGGTCAGTGAGGCCGCCACATCATCACTGTCAGTCTCAACACGCACTTCGTACTTCTTCTCCCATTGATCGCGTTCCTGCTCGAGCCGTTGGACCTGCCGCTCGAAGTGCTCCGCCTTGACATCCACCTGTCTCAGTCTGTACGTAGCACAACGCATCAGACAAGATCGTGACATCGAGCGCTGGGTCTCACTTCTCCATCGCATCCTTCAAATTCTTGTCTGCAGCGTCAAGCTCCTCCTCAAGCAGCTGGATCTTCCGCTGCAGACCCTCGTTAATTGTCTTGCTCTGGTCACCCTCCTCCTGCGCAGCCTTCATTTCGGCGACCTTGCCCTCCGCTTTCTCGAGATCGGCGTCCATCACCGACAGCTTGTGTTGGAGAGATGTGATCTCCTGGTCCTTCTCGAGCAGCACTTGCTCAAGCTTCTTGTTCTTCGCCTCAGCCTCCTCGGCGCGAGCGACCGCGTTGTCGGCCTCAGCGCGAAGGGATTGAAGACGCTAGGGTTTGATTTCAGCGCGTCAATGCGACCGCACAGCAACGATTGAGTGCTGAACGCACCTCCTTGATTCTCTCCATGTTGTCGTGTCGGCAGTTGATGTGGTAAATAGGTAGACGTAGGGGTTGTAGGTCGCCGGCAGTGCTACACGCTGTTCATTGATAAAGTATCAGCCGTGGGAATACTCCCGAAACGAGCAATAGCACGTGGCGATGCCGTTCATGCGTGCGCGCGCTTTGGCCCAGACCATCTGACTCCTTCAGTGAGAGCCACAATATTACTGTCCGCAATATCGCCAACGACGGCGGGGACATTTCCAGCACTGTACGAGCCGCCATCGAGGCCATAGACAATATCGAATACCCGGCATGTCGGCGCCCGTAACCCAGGAGGGTATGTTGAGCAAGCTAATCGCATGTAGTGCTGATCACCCTAAGTGTCATATTGCGCAGAGCTGCCCATCCTTGAGGCCGTCATAAAGTGAAAAGGTTCCTTGGCTCATGGTATAGTCGTGGTCGCTGATTATCGCAACTTCTCAGCATCCGCAACCGACTCACAGCCTTGAAGAAGGACAGAGGAGAGTACATCAAGCCATCCGACGTCAATGCATTATATCAGGCTATCATTCGTCAAGGTTCGCACTCATCTATACTCCTGAGTCCACGCGATGTTGTATCGCTGCAAAGCCCTCGTGGACGATGGATTCTGTTGACTCATGCTACGCCTACAGTGACGCGATTGAATGAAGTTCGAGACGAGAACACGACCTACAACAACCGACTGGACACCACGTTGGCCGATGTATTCAACCTCCTATCTTTGTTCTTCCTGACGATCGGGAGAACGAAGGAATGTCCTGCAACATACAGTCAAATTGCTAGCATGCGGGTGAGTCGTTGCGCCCGCAGTAATCTTTTGTGTCCTCTTCGGTCTGTCTGCTGCATTCCCACCAATGCCGCCAACGCGCATTTGCTGGAGTCTCGAATGTGGCCCATTCTTGAAGTGGTAAGGCAGGGAATGCCATCGCCTTGATGTCTGCCTTGCGTCTTCACTTCGATTTCCAGCTAATTGTACAGTGTCCGGATCTTCTATCCGTCGCGAGAAACGTACCGCCATTCGGAAGCTTCCTTGCCGTAACATCAATTTTTTTGACTGTTGGTGTTCTCTTGGCGCGATCAGGGGCCGAGGATATTCTCCGTGCTATTGGACCTATTAGTCCCCAATAGGACGATCGTCGGCCACGGTCTATATTTTCTCAGTCTGGATCCATCAAGAGACTGGAAAGGCCGCTAAGGTCGGTCTCTCTATGCATGGGAAAGTAGCAGGCTCCGGTTGAAGGACCGAGCGGCGCGTGAGTGGCAAGAGCTTTCACAGACACATTCAGCGATTGCGTACTAGGCTCTTTCTCCATCTCTATCACCAGTGTGCGAGCCCGTGCAGGCTTCCTGGAGTGGTATAAAATGACTGAACTGCTGTTCATGCGGAAGCACTGCGTAGGATTCACATTCCCATTCTGGCGCGCTAATGATGTGCATACACATACCCGGATTCTCCGTCTTCTATGTCCTCATTGCTACTGCGTGCAAATCTAATCACTATGTCTTCCAGCAAATACTAGAGCATATGGATGAGTCAGGAATCTACAACGAGTCCGACCTCGCGCCGTTCCACCGGCGGCTAGCCGAGTTACGGTGCGTGTGCTCTTCGTCTCATTACGTTCGTTGTTCCAGTGGCTCTCAGAGGGGTTGCTTTTTGTCTGGCGTGTGGAGCTGAGCAGACCTGGCAGGTAGGACATCATGCTATGAAGCAACCTCTCAAGAGGCTGCGCGGACACCTTGTAATTAGGGCATCCTACTCCGCACGTCTAACTTAGGATATTGACTGACTTCTTTCATGTAGGGCGATTGTTCGGCATGATGCTGACAGCGGGAGACATCCGGTGGCGATGACCACCCTATTAGAGAGGCAGCTGAACGAATGCGGTAAGTAACCTTCCAAGTCATTGCTGTTGAGGATCCTCTACCCTGGCTTCTCCACGTATCTGGTTAACGTCGTGATCTCGTGATTCTTTATGTGTGTCCTTGTCGATTAATTGCTAACCTTACACGCACAGAGAACGTATTGAGACGCCTGCAGGAGTCACTAGCAGTACTTTCGCCCGAACTTGTACCCATTCATGAACGTCTCGTCAATATCCGACGGCAGTTGGTTGCTTTGGCTGCTAAGGAAACTGCAAGAGAAATAGAGCATGCCAACGCCTTTGTTGTCAAGTCAAACGAGTCTACCCCTATGAAGGTGCCTTCAAGAGAAAGCACACCATTTCCGGAATATGCCGCTAGCATTAATGATACGGCAAGCGATTTGGAGGCGAAGACACCAACGAAGGGCTCAACACCCAAGGCGGAGGTTGCGAAAGAGAAGGAAGGCTCCAGAACCAAGGCAGAATTGAAGGCGATCATGGAGGAACTGCGCAAGATAGATTCGTTGAGTACCCTTTCCAGTTATGATTGCGACGTCAACGTTATTAACCACTCCAACGTTTTCGTATACTCGGCTACACTTTCGCGTGTTCCTCACCGACATTTTCTCTGCGACCTTCCCTGTACCTCCTGCACACGATTGCTGAATACGCGCATTCGTCAATCGCCCTATCAGGAAGCGAGTGGATGGCAAGTTCTTAGGTCCCGGTGGCACGGTGCCAGCATCGCAAGCCATCTGTTCGTCTCTCCTTGAAGAGTGCTTCGAGATTGCACAGGAGATCCGTGCGCAAGATGATTCGAAATATGTAGCCTCGTCTCTCAAGCCGATCTATGACAGGCTCAGCGAGATGCGGCGAGAGCTGGAGCAGCTGGTATGGAACTGCGACCGCTTGAACTTCCATGTTCATACAGCTAACATGTTGGCCTGCAGGTTTTGACTCACCGCTGGAGTCTTCGTGAGACAGACCTCTGGAACTACAGCTTGAGTCTGCAGGAGATCGACAAGATGCGGGTTGATGGCAAGTTCGTCGATGCCGACGGCAACCGTCCGTCGGGGCAATATGTAGGTCCCATCGATTCGTTCTGGCAACGTATACTGACAATACTGGTCAGGTATTGCTTTACCTGCTTCGGCGATGTTATGGCTTGATCTATCGCTTGCTATCGTCGAGTGAACCAGTCTCGGAGGAGTTGATGCCTATCGTAAGCATCGACGACTGTTGCACCAACGAGCTACTCGTTATTAACCACTACCCTTTAGGCGAACAAGCTCTCCACCGTGAAGAAATGTTTGAATGAAGTGTTGAAATACGGGGGTCCTTTCTCTCCACGAGATCTCTATCCTGTGCGTCATCTATCATCACCTGCGCTGTATATACTGCTAGTCGTACTTCAAACGACGATAGTCTTGAAGTTGTCTACGGTTTGACGATGTGTGTGCTAACGGTATCGCACTTCGTTAGTATCAGCTAGCTCTCTATCAGATCGACTCCATGCGAAAAGACGGCAAGTTCGTCGGAGTAGACGGGTCGATTCCCGAGGGACAGGGTATCGTGATGGCTCATCTAAACGAATGCCATGAACTGTTGGAGATGGTATGCTACTGCTACTTATATTTGCTCCCATATCTGACGCTGGATATAGCTAAAAGAAGCCATGGAGGAAGGCGAAGATGAGGTGTACGGAGATGAGGACGAAGACGAAGACGTCTTCGACGACCCGCCGGAGGAGGAAGAAGAGCGGGCGTAGTCTTCTATTCTTATACGGACGATTTTCGCGCTGTTTGGTTTCTGGTGGATTTTCGAGCTTTCTCTTCTGTTGAACAGCGCGACGCTGCACTCTGAATGGTAAACTCCATGCACGGGAGCGCCCTATAAGCCGGGGTTTCTGCGCTCACTCACTGGTCCACTGTTGTATAAGAGTGTCTCAGCAATTTATATTCTGAAATACAAGCTAGGTTTTACAACCATCCTATTTCATTGGCATCATGAAAACAGACGGATGCGTAGTGTGAAAACAGACCATTTTGGACCTCACAGGCAATTAACATTCTATGATGTGAACGACGAGACGTGATCCTCCACAACTTTCCTGATCTTCGCCTCCAGCTCAGGGTTGATCTGGCCAGCCGAGATCTCCTGCAGAAGCGGACCTTGCGCAGAGGTCAAGTGCGAGCGGAACTCGGCCTCCCACTTGGTGATCTTGTCAACAGGGACGGAGTCGAGCTGTGCACATGTATGAATAAGAACAGTTTGTAGACATGAGACGAAGTCGCTTACAAGACCGTTGACACCAGCGTAAATAATGGGGACCTGAATCTCCATGGACAGGGGATGGTACTGGCCTTGTTCTGTGGGCAAATCACTTAGTATTATGTATTCAAATTTGACACGGAGAATACGTACTGAGCAGCTCGGTGAGGCGAGCACCACGGGAGAGCAGGAAACGAGTTGACGCATCCAGATCGGAACCGAACTGCGCGAAAGCAGCGACTTCACGATACTGCGCAAGGTAGAGCTTGAGCGAACCAGCGAACTTCTTCATGATCTTGCTGCATTTATACGAGCAATTGAGTTCACATTACGCTTCCCACAGAAGGAAAACTACGCACGTTTGGGCAGCCGAACCGACACGGGAGACGGACAGACCGACGTTGATGGCGGGACGGACACCACGGAAGAAGAGCTCAGCCTCCAAGAAGATCTGGCCGTCAGTGATCGAGATAACCTGGCATTTCCCGGGTCAGAGATTACGAACTTTGCGGATATAGAGGGAACCGCAATAGACGTACGTTCGTCGGGATGTATGCAGACACATCACCACCCTGGGTTTCAATGATGGGAAGGGCAGTGAGCGATCCTCCGCCGAATTTGTCGTTCATCTTTGCGGCACGCTCAAGGAGACGAGAGTGCAGGTAGAAGACGTCACCGGGGTAGGCCTCACGACCGGGAGGACGACGAAGCAGCAAAGACATCTGACGGTAGGCAACAGCCTGTTTGGACAAGTCATCGTAGATAATGAGGGCTAGAAATTTCCGCGCGCTCATAAGACCTTCGAATAAATTTCATGACCTAGGATCTCACCGTGCTTGCTGTTGTCACGGAACCATTCACCCATGGCGCACCCAGAGAAGGGAGCAAGGTATTGCAGAGGAGCGGCCTCAGACGCAGTAGCAGCGACGATGATCGTGTACTTCATAGCGTCGTTCTCCTCGAGCGTCTTGACGAGCTGTGCTACAGTAGAACGCTTCTGGCCAATGGCGACGTAGACACAATAGAGCTTCTTCTCCTCGTCCTTGCCATCATTCCACCTCTTTTGGTTGAGGATAGTGTCGATCGCGACAGCGGTCTTACCGGTTTGACGGTCACCGATGATCAGCTCACGCTGGCCACGGCCAATGGGCACCATGGCGTCGATGGGCTTAATGCCAGTCATCATGGGCTGGTTGACGGAGCGACGCGGCAAGATACCGGGGGCCTTAAGCGAAGCACGGCGACGTTCCGAGGTGTTGATAGGACCCTTGCCATCGATGGGGTTTCCGAGAGCATCGACGACACGGCCGAGCAACTCGGGACCAACGGGCACGTCGACGATCTGGCCGGTACGCTTGACGGTGTCGCCCTCCCTGATCTGACGATCGTTACCGAAGATGGAGACACCGACGTTGTCGGCCTCCAAGTTCAGGCACATGCCGCGAACGCCCGACGCGAATTCCACCATCTCCTCGGCTATTGAGCAAGGCACGTTCAGCACGCCTTTTCGAGTCGGAAAACGCGTTGACACGCACCCTGGACGTTTCTCAAGCCCCATACGCGTGCAATACCATCACCGACGCCTGTACAATGAGACGCGGTCCAGTTACGGATGAATCTCGTCGCGACGCGTAATCGCAAACTCACTGAGGACACGGCCGGTCTCCTCAACGTCCACGCCCAGGGAGGAGCCAGAAACGCGGGTCTCGAGGACGGAGGACACCTCAGACGCAGCTATAAAACGTGTCATCATGAATGCGATGGAACAGTTGCAGCGAGGCGTGCGTGGTTCGATGGAGGGATCGTGAGACACGCTCCCGACGACATGTTACAGCAGAACATACCAGCCTTCGCCGTTGCATACGAGCGACACATCGCGGGGGCTACGCGGCCGGCGCTCTGAATTTTTGCATGATATTATTCCGGTGAACTCCTGCATACCAGATTCGCTGAAAACGATGCGACATACCCTAGGAGCGGCCAGCGCAGCCGCGCGCATGGAGTTTCTGAGGGCGACTCTGTGCATGAGGGTCGAAGAAAAGTGAAGGGGAGGACGAGGGAATGAAGTCGTTCGTTGACGTGCAGTCGCTATGGGTGAACTCGGAATCCAGATGCCTTCCCTTACGTAACCCGATATTTACACTCCGACTCAGCTCAGCGTGCATTTTTCCCATGCGCCCGGAATCTCCGACCATTCCGCCGCAAGCGTTCCCGACTTTGCCGCCGCTGTCCTTCCCATCGGCCATGGCGAGTCTCTTCAGACGTGCGTGACAATGGATCTCGTCTGCACGACGTTGCACTCAATTATTGCCTCTGCCGCTGCTGCCGCACTTTGTGCAGTTGCACGTCGCGCTCTTCATACAGAAACCGTGACCACCTTGCCGAGCGCATTCTCCCTTCTCCGCTCACAGCCGTCCAAGTACGTCGTCGCGTCCGTCGCAGGCCGCAAGTATCTCCTCGCGCCGAGGGACCTCCTCACCGTCCCTCGTCTCAAAGACGTACGCGTCGGCGACATACTCCAGCTCTCCGAGATTCACGAAGTCGGCTCGCGTGAGTACACCGTGCGCGGCAACCCCGTCCTCCCACCAGAGAAAGTCAAGGTGGAGGCAACTGTGGTCGAGCACACAAAGGGAAAGATGGAGATGATCTTCAAGAAGAAGAGGAGAAAAGGCTACCAGAGAAGAGTCACACACAAGCAGGAATATACACGTCTCAGAATCGGGCCAATCGACATTGTATTGTAGATCAGTAGGACAGCTAACAGACATTCCTCCGAGGCGCCCATGCTCAGCGCGCGTACGCATCAAATCTCGCCCTCCTCAGGAGTCTCTGCACGCGCAGGAGGCTCTTGCTTCGGTGCCTCCTCCACTGATGCTTCGGGAGGCACGCTGTATCTTGCTTTCTATGGCACATTTTTCAGCACATCATCGCGAGACGTGAAAGTATTGTGTACCTTGTCCGGCCTTTCCTCGTACAATCGGTCCTCATATATGGTCCGATCTCTCTTTTCTCGAGGGTCTTCATGGTAGAGAGAAGCACTCCTCTCTCTATCCTCGCGATATTGCGCTAGAGGCGGTGGAGGCGGTCCAGCACCGTCGTCCCACTCTCGGCCTCCATAGGCATCGTAGTCGGCGCGCGAGCCTCGTCTATCTCGCCGCCTATCGTCCCTTTCGTATTCTTTGTGGTGCCGGGACGACCTGTACGCATAGTCCCTGTCCTTCTCCTTCTCTCTTTCCTTCTCGCGTCCAGCATATGCCTTTTCTCTCGGGTAGTCGCGATCGCGTACGTTTGCATAGTCTCTGGATGAGCGACGACCGTGGCTATCATATTCATCGTGGACGCGATGGGTTCGTTTGTCGTGGTGCTCTAATTCCCTGTCCTTCTCTCGATGATCCCGACCGCGTTCCTGTTCGTCCTTGGACGGCTCCTTGCGTTTACGACTCGTTGTGGAGCCGCCGTCCTCAGAAGCTTCTCGTTCGCGTTCCCGCAGGCGTTCCTATCAGTAAATATGAGTCACAAGGAATCTCTTGGCGTGAGTCAAACGTGCCTTCTGTCGTTTGACAAACTTGGCGTGAGCGGCTCTCCTGCCTTCCTCTTCTTCAATCGCTTTGAACTCAGGCAAATCTTGCATGAACTGAACAGCCTGGAAAACAGAATATAAGCGCATTATAACAAAAGCACTACTAGTAATATATACCTCTTCATATGACAGGTTGAGATCCAGAGGCTCAGGGAGCTTCTTAAGGGCATAGCGAAAGTCGTCCTGCAGGTGGCGCTGCTTTCTCTCCGCACGACGTTTCTCGTCCGCCTGCTGCTTGACAGCTTGTAGATATAGCTAGAACCGCATTCAATGAGACGACAATATAATGGCACGCGTCTTGGATCTACTCACCGTATTGTATGCTTCCTTGAGATCCGCTTGCGATAGCTTGCGCATAGCATCATCCTCCTCCGCCTTCATGACTACCATGAATGCTTCCTCCGTCGTCTCGGGACCGATCTTGAATAGCTTCACACCGCCATCCGTAGCTTCCTGGCCTTCGGCCTTCTCGCCCTCGGGCTTGGCCTGCTGTAGCTCCAGGTTCCGATTGTGGCGCCGCATTGCACCCTCGACGGTGTCGATCTTCGCATCGAGCTGCTGATCGAATTCGTCTATGACATCCCAAAATAGCTCAAGAGGATTGGAGCCCGGGTTGCCGAGCATGTTGAGGTAGCGCGAGTCTTCCGAGAAGACGGGATAGACCTCCTTCCACTTGGTGCGGGCCTTGATTTGGCCGGACTTGACTAGGCTCTGAAGGAGCTCCTACGTTGGTTAAGACAGTTTGATATATCACATCGAACAATAGAAGCAGACGGTGAGGAGGATTGAGACGCACCCTGAACGCCTCTCGCGCCTTGCGCTCCTTGCGAGTCTTCTCCACCTGCGCACGCCGCATTTGCTCTTCGAACTCACGCTCACGCACACGGCTGTAGTCCTCGAATGCAAGCAGTATGTCCAGTGTGGGCAGCTTCTGCAACTCTGGGTCATCTTTCCACTCGTCTGAATCAAGCACCATTTGGTGAGCCTGGCGCCAGCGCGTGGTCACGTCCACATCAAGCCGTTTGTACAACGCGACAATCTTCGAGACACTGCGAGCACGGGATGCACGGCTCTCTTGCTATGAAATCATGTAAATGATATGAGCATGGAAGAGCCCGTCTGAAGTCATTCCAATCATGACGGTGATGGTCACGCACCACTTCGCGCTGCTTCAGCTCATTGACGTATTCTTCGAAGATCAGCCTTCGCTCGGCCTCAAATTTCGCCTGCTGCCAGATAGGATGCTGTGCAAATAGTCTATCTGCGGTAGCGAATGTAGTGTAGTGGAACACGTTTGGATTGCCCTTTAGCATGTTTCGAATGGCAGGACGCAACTTAGACAAGCGAGCATCGCGCTCCTCCTGCTCCTTAGCACGTAAAGCGTCCGTATACTGTTGGGAGCCACCCAATTGTTAGTCGCTATCAGATGTTGTGCGTCACAGCGGTATATGCGTACCTTTTGCCAACAGGCCTTCTTTTCGGCGAGCGTGTTCAACGCTTTGTAAAGTGGATCAGTAATGCAGGCACGCATCGTCTGATCCCAAGTCCAGTTCGCATCCACACCAGCCTTGCGTAAAAGATGAGTAAACGCCTTCTCTCCTTCCTCGACTGTCGCAAACCCATTGTGAGGAATGACGGGATCATCAGGCATGTTGGGGCGCGGAGGCAATACGCTGGTCGGCGCGAACGGTAGGGCGCCCGTGTGCATGCCAACAGCTAGCTCGCCAATGTGTCCGTTCGGATGCGTCTGAGAACCGGGGGCGGATAAGGATTGGTCAGTCCCTCCCAGAGCAGCAGGTGCACCTTGCATTGGGGTCCCGAGGTTCCCTGCCGACGTGAAGGCCGGTGCTCTGGAGTGATGATCAAGAACGTTAGCATTCGAGTTGTACAGCTGAACGATGGTACTAACACCAAAGCATTGTTCGGCTGTTGAGCCGCCTTGCCTTCCTTCTCTACCTTCTCCAGGAGCAGGATGAGTTCGTCGGGCATATCCCACTTAGACTCCTTCGTCTCGGTCTGTCGAGGATTGTCATAAGTGAGAGCAGCATCACAATGCATCCAGACACACGTTGTAGTAATATTTCCTCCCTCCTGAGAAGTATTCCTTCCATTTCGTCTGATTCAGCGCGCGCTACGAAGTGGTTGTCAATTGCGTCCATGCTGTGGCAATTCTAACCTGGTTACCTCAAATGGAGTCTTGAGATCTGTAGATTACAGCTTCAATACAGTATACGAAAACGTATAAAAACAACACACCATCGGGCTTCTCCCAAACACTCTCCCTGGTGCCTGTATTGAACCAGTAAGTACGTCCCTCCGGATTTCTGTGCTCAGTCTTCGGAACGTCAACATTGGTCATCACAATGCACAGTACGTTACGTACCCAGACGTTCATGGCGAAAGCCTCTCAATTAAATCGGCAAATCTTGCAGCAGTGGGAACACCAGAGATTGTCGATATGCTGAGCCGAGCCGAGCGCGAAAAGCAAGTGTCGTGAAGCAGTACTAGTGCGAAATGCCTATTGGAGTGGATTTCCCACGCATTAGGTGGCCCGAGTTCATCTCCGCATATGGAAACCAACATCATGTTGAACCTGTTCAAGTGGCCTGCTTGATTCACAAATGAACCCTATGTATGTTGTGTCAAATATCTCTCTCACCGGAGTGATCATCTTCACTCAAAAGCTGTATAACTTTGGCTGGAGCAAGATGAAGAGCGCAGGCGACCTACTCTTATCTCGCACTTCACTACGACTTTGTAAGAGGCTCATAAAGATTCTGTTTGACGTTCTGCAGTGAAAATCACTTGTAAGATATTGCGCTTCGCTTCTTCCTCTCATGCATCACTCGCGTTCTTTAATCTCTGTCGACATCTTAAGCGCAATCTCATGGTTGGGATATCCAAATTTTGGGCCCTGGTATCGTACGTAGATGACATGTTCTTCCAAAATAGCATGACGATTGGAGGTGAGTTGCCCTGCGTTCTTGTTGTGCTTGAAGTAGCTCCAGTCTTTCTCGAGGAAGTTATGATCGCAAGATCTTGGACAGATGGTCACGAATTCAATTCTAGCTGTACGGTCTGAACCATAACGGCTATCAGCCGCATCCGTGAACACTCGACATGCTTCACTCAGCCGCCTCCCTCTTTCCATTGTTCTTACCATCAAGCAGTCTCGCCTCGCAAGGTCAATTGCAAGATATCTTCGCAAGTTTCCCTGCTCGCTAGACAAAGATGGCTTTCGCAAGTCGCACTTCCAGCCCCGTCCCCCCTTCTCTGCTTCGTGCCGGTTCCTCGGTACAGAAGGCTCCCATTGTCGAGCATTCCTTCATCCGACTCTCTGGTCGGAAACTAACAGACAACGCCGCTATCGCGTGCAAGGTACGTTCGGCGCGCCTCTCATCTCATAAGTGCTGATGCTCATCGCTTCGCAGAATGGACTCACCAGTACACCTCGCCCCAGCCCCAGGCCGACCAGTGTTGTCTACAAGACAGCGTCGGTTCCCAAGGAGAATGTTCCGTCGTATGCTCGTATGACGAAGACCGCCTCTGCTCGTTCTCTTCCTGCAGTTGCCTCAAAGGCTTCTGCTACTTCGAAACGCTCGCTTGACACGCCGTCAGTGAGTGTTCGTCGTCCCGCCGTCCCCTCTCCTGCGCAGTCCCCACGCGATACGATCCATCGCAACTCCTCGAATTGCACGGCTGCTCGTCCTCCCATCCGTCGAGGCCCGGTTACCCAAGCCCCAACGGTCATTTGTGCTCCGGTCGTTCCCCGTCCCGCATTGTCCAAGAATGTAGCGACTCATCTGACGCCTTCTCTCCCTGTCAAACGCGATTCTGCCGCTCAGAAGGACATTAAAGTGGAAATTGTCACGAAGAACGTGCGGGCACGCGTGGAAATTACTACAACCGTGCGTGAAGGTGCAGAGGCCGCGGCTTCGTGCACCTTCAAGCCAGTCTATGATAATATTGCCGTAAAGGTCCTTGGCGAAGTTTCTAGAGACTTGTGAGTTATCTCCTCTTCTGTGTCTTTCCCACCAGTTGAATTGCGATGCTCTTTGAGGAACATGGCCCCTACCACTGCGCCTCTTCCGCTTATTGTCGGTGAGGCAGCAGCGAACAACCGCACATCGGCTCTTCCCATGCAGCCGGAGCAATGCTGGTGGAGTACGGAACTTCTTGCTCAGGGCTTTGACGTCCCCAGCCGTACCGTGGGCGGATCGCCCAAGCGTTCCGTTACCTTTCCTCAAGAGAAGCAAGTTGATTCAATAGCACTGCAAGTACCTTGGTACGTAGCACTATTTTTTCCGACAATGAGTTCTGCTCATGTAAATCCAGCACTGCTCCTGAATCTCGTCCCACTCCTGACGGAGAATTTGATGAAGACCTTGCCGCCTTGCAGTGAGTCAATTAACGACGTGATCTGGCTCTCCATCTGGATGACCATCCATTCTAGGCGAATGTTCTCGCGCACCGCGTGCTTCGACGACCAAGATGACGATGACGATGACGACTATGATGATGAACCCGATGCATCTTCTACAAGTCTCTACGATCAAGAGTCTCTTCCTTTCCCGAAAGAGCGATCTCGATATGTCGTTGCGAAGACTCTGCAGCCGGACGCTCTGGTCGATGCGTCGCCCATCGTCGGCACGTGCGACGGATTCTCCTGCGCAGTGGAGTTCTGGCAGGAGGAACATATCGCAGACGTTGTGACATATGTAGCGGGGCCTGTGCTATCAACACAGCCCTCCAACACAGAGAACGAATGCGAAGATGACCTTCGCGTTTTCGGGTGAGTGCGTTCCGGAGCATTCAACTCAATTTTCACTGACATACTATCATTGTTCAGTCGCCTCTTCGCAACCACTTTCGACGACGGCGACGACGACGACGGCAACTTTGACGATAACGAAGATATCGACCACATACATGGTGCCGTAGATGCACCAACTAGTCACGATGCTATTCCACCTAGCTTCAGCTGGGTCAACGCTGTCTTCGCGCCTTGGCGCGCCGGTCCTATAGAGATTCTCGAGATTGACAATGAGCTTGATGCAGGGCGTATCCTTATGGGCGCCTTCCCAAGCGATTCCCTTCGCCTGGCTCCTCGCGCCAAACACGTATCACGAGATTGCGAAGTCAGGATAGATGACTTCATCCCATTCTCCTCCTCGCGATACACTCTGGAACTCGTGGATGATTCTCTGATTCAGCAGGGTAGACAACGCATAGATGTTAACAACAGGATGGGCAACTCCTATGGCGACGACGAGGACGACGACACGGACAAGGACAACAGTAAACACATTCCTCCTCTCGCTGCGTTCAAGAAAGGCAAGGGAAAAGCAGAGAAACTTGATGCATGCGATCTGGAGGAGCTCTCCTCCTATGAGGTGATAGAGCCAGAAGAATTCACAGCAGTATGCAACACATCTAAGGCCTTTGAATTGGCAGAGATTTCTCTGTCGTACGGCATGGTATGTTCCTGGAAGCTCACTTTTCCACCGTGCTCATGTCTTTTTTCCCCTCCAGGAAGCGGCCGAATTTCTCGAGGGCGACTCCCGAGGATTCATGGTTATCGCCAGTGTAGGCTATCACAGCTCACAAGGCTTCCGTTCCCCCGTTATTGCCCCTACCCTGGGTTCTCGTTTACTCTCGTTGTTTACCAAAAGGAACAGCGGCGCCACTGCTACTGTAAGTGCATGTGTCTTCGCCATTCCGATATGGACTGACTCAACTGTCGAGCAGCCGCGAAACGTTACCCGCACTCCTCCTCAACATCAACCAGCCGAGACAATAGCCTCTCAAGCAGCGATCGACGTCCCAGACTCTAAGAGGTCTGCTATCATCAAGCAGTCGACACGTATTCCTCTCCCCACACACACTCCGCGGGGATTCTGGTCTCGTCTATTTAAGAGATCATCACGACCCTCGTCCGTGTCCGACAGATCATGAGCAACAGCAAGGTGCAACAGGATATGTCAGCCAAGATTGTTTCCTCCGCTTGAAGACCTGCCCGCACGATCATCCATTTCTCCCCTCTCCTTTTCTCCATCGTACTAAAACGGCTGTTCAACGTCCATTTCCACTTATTCCAAGCCTCATCTCCTCTTTCACATTTCAATACCATCACAATGCGGACTTGGAAGCAGTATTTCATCGCAACAATCGTGATCTGCTCTATCTGGCCCGCCCTAGCAGCTGGCGATGTCACAAACGATTCTCATCCTCAAGGTCCTCTGTATGGCCCAAGTCTGCAATGCAACATCTACGCGACCCCATACGCAGCGGAAAAGCTCTCTTCCGGTAATGACACCTGAATGGCATCCTAAACATATATGCATCGCCGCCTATGTCGAAGATCCTTTGCAATCTGGTCGCTGATATCCTTTGAAAGCGACTCATTCTACGCGCAATCAATGCTTGTCTACGTGCGGGCTATCTCCTGCTTCACGCCGATCTTTCATCTGCACATTCTTTGCATGGTTCTGTCTCTCGTCAACTTATCATCTGCATATTGGGGGGCCGAGAAGGTTTCAAAATCGCCTCCGCTAATCCCCTTCGAATACTCGAACGCTCTGGTCTCGCATTATTAAACATACGTCTGGGTCTGCAATCCTGAAATCCTGCTGGATACTCTTCATTATCACAACACGCGGGCCCACCTACTCTAGAACTCCATGTCCTGATGCTCATCAATATCGCTCGAAACGCTGCGCCACTCTGCTTACTAGTATCTCGTGCTCTGGCAACGTTCGATGACAAAGGTTTCAGTCCTATCGCAATCTTCTTCTGGATGCTCCATCGCCATGCGCTCTCCAGCTTGTCACGTCTTGGACATTTATTCTTTGATGCTATTTTGTTGTCTTGACCTACTGCCATGTCTTGGTCGTCTACATCCACGTGTCCGTGTTCTTTGCTCTCAGGTCTGTTAAATGCTGCATATGTCTCATCGCTTGCCTTCTGGACGTTGTGCTATGGGTATGACGTCTCATGTTGTTCTATCTACGAAGAGTCTCGCAGTGATGTGTCCTATCTGAGCAGTGAGTGAGTAACGGCCATGAACCGTTCGACGAATGACAGATTATTGCATGAAATATCGCTTTGCACGGCTCGTGCCGATCGCTTACTAGCAGCTGCTTTATATTAGTGTATGTCTGCAATGTTGGCATCCCATGTTATGTTGTAATTGTCGTTTCACAAGGAAATCATCTCGGACAGAAAGCGACTAGTGGAGTTGGACAACGAATAGGCCGATAGGACAGTGCAGCAGTGTAAAGCTCTCTATGATGCCTTTCGTCTCCCATGGGCCTGGCATACTGCACACTCAGTCTCAATGTCAGAACAATGCTGTGAATCTCATGAACTAAAGTGTCAAACTTCTTGCCAACGTAACGGAGGCGGAACCTACGGCAGATTATATATGAATGCAGCAATCATTCAGACATAAACCCATTGTGTTAGGAACATACCGAAGAAAAGCCAACGCCGCAGCATGCAGGAACGCTGGCAAGAAGAGTGAATGAGCGGGCGTCAGTATACACACCGTCTTTCTGAGTCTGATTCAATTTCTGAGTCGACGACCGTATCAACATGGCACTACTGAAAGCCAGGTACGCGGCAGCCAGGACTACAGCTGGCGAAGCATACTATCCGCTTTCACGACCACACACTGGGTCGGACCGGAACTTATAGGATTGTCGGCCATACTCTTAGTGTCAGGCACATCCCAAGGTTTTGACAAGAACGAAAACGAGCGCAAGACAGCTCTCGAATGTCGTGCAGGATTGAGGGCTTTCTCTGCACAATGAGCCATTCTAGCAGGATTGTGTTCCCATTCTTGATCGCCGTGCAATTACAAGTGTATGCAAACGTCGCTTCCGTAGCAGCTTGGCCGGTCTTAACTTGCGGTGCCTGCGTCCGCGTGTAGAATCCTTTCGTGGCGTGGTGCATACACAGACCGAAAGAACCTGCCGTATGCTATTGTCAATTTGTGTCAGGGTTGCAAAAGAATGTCGTCGATTCATGATGGCATGAAATTGACTTCTATTGCGATGCAAGTAACTGCACAGGTCGCATACCCCACGAGTTATGTTCATTGCCATAAAGATATATCGCATACCGACCTCATGCCAAGATGCAAATCGTATTGCTGGTGGCACAAATATAGCTCAACGATGCCTGTGAAAAGGATACTGCCCTGTTGTTTTCGTTCAGCTCGTACACTAATTCTGTCATTGCCTACGTTACGATTATTCTTACAGCAGAGTCGACACTTTCTTCGGCAGCTCTTCCTCATCCTCTGCGACAAATCAACCCTCGCTTGACGCGAGAGCGATCATGCTAAACTCCATGCTCGCGGTCTGGGACATATAATTGTTCTTCACGAAAGTCGCCACATCCTGCGCGGCGCAGCAAAGTAATTTTGGAAGCCTTCATGCCATATGGCTTGCACAACTCACCTCTAGCAAATTCTTCGACAAGCCCCTGTCTATCGGACCCGCCCTGCGCCCATCGAGCTCAATGAGATGGAGCGGATGAGGCCATTCGGTGACCGAGCGGGGAGGATTCGGCGCCTGCACAAAGCAGGTGAAGTGCAGGTCCACTTTCGCCTCGGCTGAGGGAACGGCAGTCTGCCCTGACGACGCGGCTTCTGCGTGTATGTTAGCGAAGAGGGGTGTCGTCTCGAGAAGCTTTGCGCGTTCCTCGGGTGTCTTGTCTATCACGGCGATGATGTCGGCATGATTATCTGGTGGAAAATATGATATGCGTACCTCGGCACTGGTCGATGAATAAAGCAAGGGGACTGTCAGGAACGAATGTAGCGTGCGACTAAGGTGACTATGAGTATATGCAGCACACGAGCTTAGAAGCATGGAGGCAGACCCACATTCGCCAATGCATGAAGCAGGCCAATGGTCCCACAGGCGTTGCTGATCTTCGCAACAAGGAACCAGAGTCAGACCACTACAGTGTTTCGACTGTATGACTGGCTCACCGTCTGCTTGATGTAGAACACGGTGGGGTCGATCGGATGCTGGCCCTCTAGCTTGATACGCTCGTCTTCTTGCTTCGCCCGTGCCTCGATGGCATCTGTGATGGGGAACAGTAGAATCACGGCGTCGACAGGCTGCGGCACCATTGCCAACAGCTGGATTTCCCGCATTCACCACGTTACGGTGAGATCCATTAACGTCTGAACTTGCGCATAGATTCGCGAGTTGCCACATACCTCAGGATCGAGTCCATAGACATCCACAAACCGGTCCTGTTGAAGGACTAATCCGGCCTTCTCAGCCCACTACAGCGTTCCACGCCAAGAGTAATTACTTGAATTCTTCGCAAGGAGACGTTTAATAACAAGAGTCCTACCTGGTTCAGGACCTATGACCGAAGTAAGATCAGCGGCGCCGTCGTCGAGAGCAGGCACGCCACGAACGTCAGGATTGCTCTCAAGAGGAATCCAGCGGCTCGATGTCTCAGACATGTTAATGATGTAGAGTCTCGAAGAAAGCGAGTGACTGGCTTGATTTGCTGACGATGAAGGGGCGCTCGCGAAGAGGATGGTTACGGTGACGGACTGAGTTGATATTGACTTGTGGCTGGGGCTGATCACGAACTCGGCGGGCACTACCTCACGGCTGAGCGTACAAGAGGTTCGAGATGCTACTTTGCTACATTACTTGTCCTTCTACAATTGCATTATGCTAAGGGTTTGCGTACAATACAGGTAGCCTTCTATATCCTACATTAAATCCTTAGTGATATCCTGTGCACACAGTCAGTCCATCATTGCTTCTTGGTCTCCTTCGCCTGTTCCGGTTTACTCTCCACCTTCTGCGCATCCTCCTGGTAGTTCTCAACTTTCATGTCGTTCAGGCCGAGCTCCTCGTTCTGCTCCCAGGTACGATCGTACATCTCGATCTTCATGTTCGGGTCGGGGTCCGGCGCATACAGGTTCTGCATGTACGAGTTCGCGAGCGGGTCGTCGAGGATGACCGTGAATGGCCGCTCGGCGCTCTTGACCTGTTGTAATGCGTGTCAGAGGATGGAAGACTCGTTAGACAGCAAACAAACACACCTCCTTCAGTTTCTTGAGGAAGTTCTCGAACGTGCCTTCGTCCATGTGCGAATCACTTGCGGCGATAACTTTCTCCGCGAGCTCGTCATAGATCTGGTCGAGGATACCCTCGAGCGTGGTAAACCGTCCGCCAAGTGTGCCCTGCTGGAGCACAAGGTCGATCTCAGGGATCTCCATACCGCAAGACTCACTCTGCATGCCCAGGTCAGTCCGGTCCAGTGCCTACCTATCATCATAACAAAGGCGTACCTTGAGAATGTCTCGGCTGAGATCCTCCTTGTCTTTCACCTTCAGTGTGATCCGCTTGCCTTGCGGCGAGATAGCTGATCCCGACTTGACCTCATTGTCACGGTATCCGCAAAACTCGCAGTTCGTCGACATGATGATAATGTCCTACAACGCAGCATCAGCATAACGAGGAGAGGGTTTCACCGCCGGGAAGCTCACCTTGAAGTACGGAATGTTCACCTTCTTCATGAGCGTGTTAATATGGTGCCCGCAGCTGGAACACGTCCCAGGGAAGACGAAGATCTCCTCATTCTGGCCCTCCGGCCCAACGACCTTCGGTCCCTCTTCTTCTCCATTCGCCTGACCCTCCTGTGGTGCTCCCTCAGCGGCAGGCTTCTCCGCCTCATCTGGCGCAATCAAGCCAAGGTCGATGTTCTGCTGGCGCGTGCGGCGGTACGTGCGCATGTTCCACTTCGGGTCCGCCATGCTGCCCACAAATTCTAGGAAGGAGTTGCCCGTGGGATCGTCCACGATGATGGTGAACGGGCACATCGGCGCATTCTTCTCGGACGCCTTACGCGGCTGCGCGTTCCCGTTTTCATCTTCCTCGTCCTCGTCATCTGCCAGGATTCCTTTGAGGCCGTCGATGATCGTCTGGATCTTGTTGTACGTGGCTTCGTTATCGACACGCCGCAAAGGTTGGTCGGCGCTGAGATCAGCGACGACATCACGGAGGAGACCTTCGATCGTGGTCAATTGTCCGCGTCCCGGCGGGAGGGTGAGCTCGAACTCGGGTATTGTAACAGTGCAGGTGGACGACTTGACAATTTGACGGTTGAGATCATCTCTTGACCGGACACGTACTGTATACGCAGCGCCCTCCGCTAGCACATGCAGTTTAGCATGGACTCATCTGATCAGCTAATTAATAGTACTCACGTCGAATTGTGCTTGCGGCTTGTACCTCATTATTTGAAAACCCACAATGCTCACATCGAAAAGACATTACAATCACTTCACGGAAGAAGGGGATTGTTGTCAAAAGCAGTCTCGTAACACCCTGAGGAATAAAGTGAACATCTGATACCCAGATAGAGCCGTAGGTTAGACGAACCTGCTCGCCGCACTTCATGCATAACGACTCGATCTCCTGCACGGGTCTCTCTTCGTCGTCTGCGGTCTGCGCCGACGCTGTCACCTGCTCCTTTTCTGGGACTTTCTGCGTTTCATCGGCCACTGATCCGATGGACGGGAAGAGTTGAGTCGGATTTGACATGCTTTAGCGGATTATAGGAATGGTATATGCGTGTAGATCCTTTTTCTTTGAGTTAGTGGTATATGAGGCGAATATATATGACGAAATAAACTTGTGCGAGGTGAGTCTCGAAGCTCCTCGCTTTTGATCCGTCACGTGGGACGCATCAAATTCAGGGCTTAAGGCGCGTCGCGTGGCGGACGCGTTCCGTTCACTCTGACCACCATCCTCGCGTTCCACCTGCTCTCATCCAACGCGTCCCATGCTCCCGAGTGGCTCGTCTCCAGCCAACGCGAGCGGCAGCACGTCGAACGACGCTCGCCCACTGTTTGCCCATTCGCATTCCCCGCACCAGGGTGGCTTCACCGTGCCAGGCGTGACCAACTACAATCCATCCGGATCACCAAGCCTGCGCCACAGCGCCCTGGGCAGCGGCATGAACGTACCATTTGGCTCCTCGTTGAACGACAGCTTGGGCCAATCCAGGAGTCACTACCAAACAGGTTATTTGATGGTATAGTGCCTCAATCATCGCCCAAACATCACTTACTAACGACCTTGTTGATAGTCCGTCCAACCGAACAATGTACTATGCATGTACATCGTTTATTATGAATTATGCTGACTTGATCCAGGCATCACCGCAAGGTGGTTCGCGCTCCGAAGAAGCGCCGATCGTCCAGACAAAAGCAAAGTTGAATCACGTCTTTGCCGGTAGCGCAGCGTCCGACTTTGGCATGGACTCCATGTTTGAGAGTTCTCGGTATGTTTAACATCGTCACTACTGTGTAGATGATTCTGACGTCGAATGCAGGCGCAGACAGAGACAGCCCTTAGCCGACGAAGACGCGCCCCCAACCAACTCCGTCAACGACATCATCAATGAAGTCTCTTCTGATACTGCCCGCTACCCCTCACTACGGGTACGATGACACTCCACTGCTCTGCATATTCCCTTGCTGACCCTACATAGAATTCAACGCTGGAATCCTCCACAAACCGCGCATCGCTGTACCGGTCCTCGAACCCCTCAACGCCAAAACCGTCAACCCCTGCGGCCCCCGCTGCGCCCGAGCCGCTCTATGTTGATGTCTTTGGCTACCCACCGGACAAATATAGTGTCACAGCGGAGTACTTCCGCTCGTTCGGCCAGACGACGGTGCCATACCGGGATGCAAACATCTCGAACTGCTTTCGCATTGGGTATACGAACCCCGGAGATGCCATGCGCGCGGTGCGCAAGAACGGCGAAGTCCTTTCGGGCTCTTGGATGGTTGGCGTGAAGTGGACTGTACGTACCCTGTGACTGTGCGTCTGCTTATACGAACTCACGGTGTTTCGTAGGACCCCGCGCAAGCAGAAGCGGTACTCGGACCCAACATTGTACGAGGAGTCTTGCAAACACCCGAAATGGCTACCACAGCGCCGGAAACTGCTCCAGCGGTCTCAACGTCTACCGCACAAGAGGCTGCACCACCAGCAGGCGCACAAGGTCCAGCAACGCCGGCGACCCCCACACCTACGTTTGGGAACCCCGTCCGCCTTGCGCCCGCCGCCTCCGCATTCCGCAAGCCAGGGACGGGCCCGAGCACAACTGCGACGCCGCAAAGAGTGTTCCCCACCGGCGGCTTGTTTGGAGCGTCCACTGGCCCTGGAAGTGCGCAAGCGTCGCCGAGTAAAGGCGTATTAGAGCAGGTGTCGGATTTGATTTTTGGGTGGTGATACTAGAGGATTCTTGGAAGTCCGGTGTTGCAACTTGCTCGTAGCTCTTTAAGAGGATCATGATGTCTTGTGTATGCTGGACGAAAGGGACGTTTACTCGTGATGACTAATGGGAGTGGGCACGTACTGAAATGACAATCTCCCACCTCGCCACCTTGCAAATTTCCTGCAACGGTGTAGCCTCAGTTCATCCGGAAAAAAATGTGCGCTTGCGTTTGCCCAACATGGTTTATTTACCGTGTTATTGAGAACGTTGATGATCTGATAGATATACGAATGTTCATTCATTTTGCGATCAAGTCGTTGCAACTTCATGTGGCGCTTTGACTGTCCTCCGCAGGAGTCCGCAGGGCATTGAACTTTGTCGCTGCAACTCAGATCTCAATGCATTAACTGCTTCTTGTATCACTCAGCCGCGTCTACAATGGGAAGACATTCAATGACCGTGGGTCACCATCAGGAGCTAGCGTCTCACCCTAAATATACCATGATTGACTGATTGTATAGATTCTCTTCCACATCGTTCTGTCCTCATTCTAGCACGGTCCCAGGCTCAAGGGCAACATCATGGATCCCTTGACTGCAGAAGAAGTGGTTTCTGCCGATGTCATATCCTCTTTGAAGCTCTCGGAGGATGGCTCGCGCGTGGTATATTGCGTCAGCCCTCATTACAAGACGGGAGACAACTCGGTTTCCGCCCTCTGGATTGCAGACACCTCCAAGGATAACAGTGCGCGGAAGCTCACATCCGGAGCAGCACACGATCACTCTCCCTGCTTCCATCCCCGATTGTCAGAGATCTATTTCCTCTCTGATCGAGCCAAGGCGGGAGATGCATCGCACATCTACAAGCTTGCGGGCGATGCTACGATGGAGTCAGAGCCTGAGCGGGTCGGCGCTCTCCATGTCGAACAATCGGTGTTATCTTTTTCGATCTGTTCTGATGGGAAGTACATCGCGTTCATCGGCCCACGGCACCATGAGACTCATGAAGCCAATGACAAGCCTGTTGGTGAAATATGGAGGAAGAATGCTAACTTTGACGGCTTGTTCCTGCTTGATCTGCAAGACCCCAAGAAACCGTAAGCTTGACGGAGTGCTCCGACGAATCTCCCTACAGACTGACCATTTGCTCTTCAGCATCCGATCACTATTACCCAGTGGTATACATGTCTTTGCCTTTTCGTGGAGTGCTGGTAGCACTTCTATCGTCTATCGCTCGACGCCTCATGCAGATGCCGAGAGCATGAGCCGAGATCCGACGACCGAAGCAGTGGTTTCAATCATGGAGGCCGAGTCCAACATTCACCATGTTTACCAGCACGTCCGAATGCCAGCGAGTGCAACGGTATGGAGAGAGAGGGGAGACCTCGTGTTCCTTCAAAATGCAACGCAGTCTGTCTACATTTCCGCATTTTCGCTCTGGACGCGGTCATTAGACGAGCCAGACCCCAAGCGACTTGCGTACGGAGAGGCAGATGAGGCACTTAATATTTTAAAGCTAGGTGGAGACCATTACGCTGTCACTGTGGCCGCGGGTTTGCAAACCAGGATCGATGTCTTCGACTCTGTGCACTCCAGCTTCACCGCGTACGAGACGTCAGACGGTCTCTCGGATCTCGACATAAAGCGCGTCCAGGAAAGTCGTTACGCATTCGCAGTACTTCGCAGCTCCGCTGTCGCTGGGGAGCCTCCGGAGATTTGGTTCGCTGAGACAGAGATTGGCAAGCGCGGCCTCGTCAGCAGAAAGCTGAGCTCGCATAACAGCTGGCTCTTTCCGGACAGAGCACCGATCAGCCGGGCCTTCTATTGGCAAAGCTCTGACGGAGAACGAGTCGAGGGTGTGATCTCTCATCCGAGAGGCGTGGAGGCGAGGAATTTGCCTACCGTTGTCGTGCCGCATGGAGGGCCCACTACGTAAGCACTGATGAGTGATATACTCTGGCATGTCTGACAGTTAGCATGTTTGCTCTGCAGACGCGATACGCTGGAATTATCATTCCGTGAGTCCCTTTCTTTTGGTGATGGCACGGAGACTGAGCTGGCGGCTCAACAGAGGACTGGAGCTGGCGTCACTTCTTGGCCTCTCATGGATACTTGGTGCTGTCTCCCAACTACCGTGGTAGTAAGTATGTCCCGCTGTATTGTAAACACCCTCTCATGGGCATTGCAGGTATTGGCCGAGGCGACGCCTTCGAAAAGCCAGCCAATGGAAAGGTCGGCACCCTGGACTGGGAAGACATCCGAACGATGATCGAGGAAGGGATCTCTCAAGGCATGGTTGACGCCAGTAGAGTCGGCATTGCGGGTTTCAGCCAGGGCGGATACCTCGCTGCGTGGGGATGCACTCGTCCCAACAGTATATTCAAGACGGCTGTCATAGGCGCAGGCGTAGCAGATTGGGGCATGTTGGCAGCCACGTCTGACCTGCCCGACATAGTGGTATGCAACTGATCGCTCTTTATGGCTGATACCGTATATTAACGGCATTTCAGGCAGCTCTGGGCGGCGGTGCCCCTTGGACGCCTGGCGAACCGACGTACCTTCGAGGAAGCCCAATTAGGGATTGCAGGAACGTACGGATCCCTCTGCTTCTGTTTCACGGTAAAGACGACACACGCATCCCTGTAACGCAGTCGATTGCGTTCTTGCGAGGAGTCGAACGAGAAGCGATCGGTTGCCCAAAGCCGGAGCTCGTGATATACCCAGGGGAGGAGCATACCTTTCGGGGGCGGCGAAATGCAGAGGATGTTTTGAAACGGCTGTTGCATCATCTTGACACGTTTCTTTAGTGATTCACGTCAATTTGATCAAGTGGCTGAGGCGATATTCTTGGCTGGTCATGAAAATTTACCAATATCGTGTATCATTTTGCAAATAGGACAGTCACACGTAACGGGAAGCGATATATGTATGTGGCTCCTTGCCACTAGGAGGCTCAAGCCGTTATCGACTGCACGCTTCCAGTCTCCCCCGCAACAAGCTCTTTTACCCTCGTGATGGAGGAGTAGTCCTCCGTGCCCAAGCTTGCCTTGTAGCTTTCGGGGCCCTGTTGGAAAGGGGGAGGGGTATATCAGTTAGTGAGTCTTCCTTTCATCGAATATGTGCGACATCATTTGCCTACTTTGAAGTTGTTGATTCTTTGATATTTGTTCCTCCTTAAGAGCCACTCCTTCGCTGTGACACCCGGCCAGAAACGCGCTCGCGCGTTCGGAGCCGAAGCGACGGTGTTTGCAATAAGGGGACTCTCCTCAATGAGCGGGCATAGCTCTATGGAGTCGTTCGCACGAGTGAAGAACACAAGAGAACAGCGCTCGTAGCTTGCTTGCTCTTTCGGAGGGGCACTGTTCACGGGTTCCAAAGAACCGGAAAGGCGTGATAAGGTGAATGCCTGGCTGGCTCGCCGCGCTAACGTTTGAACCACTCACATGACACGATGCACGTTCGAGCGCAAAATTCCACCACTGAAGATGTGCAAGGAGTCACCAATGTTGCAAATCGCATGCCCAGGCAGTGGCTACATCGTCGATATCAGCACTAATGCAGACCGCACGATGTCAAGACAGACCTTGACATATTGCCACTTGTCCGTACAGGGTGCAAGCACCTGCAATCCTCCGAGCCGGTTGTGTAAGAACGACTGAAAGCAACAATGAGTGAATACTCCGTAAATTAATGCTGCGACGGATTCACTCACGAGAGATCCGAAGTCCGTATGTGCCGAAAGCAGGGCCTTATCTTCATCAATTGTATCTTTGCCCTGGGGAGGCGTCTTGATCACCCTAGCCACGCACCCGCTCTGCTCCTCGTCTTTGTGCAGTCTCGCGAGTGTTCCTTTTGGAAGGCCCAGCTTGGCATTGAGCACCTCGAGCAGTGTAGCATTGATCTCAAGCGATTTGCGCACGAATGGGATGATGGTGGCATCCATGCGTACATTGACGGTACGCGGATACGTGCGATGGACGATCTTCGGAAATGCGAGGGCGTCGTCCTTGGACACATTGATGAACTCCGTAGCATCGACATTTCCCTTTTCGTCAATCGCATTCACTCCTGCTGCTTTGTACCTAAGGGGAAGACCTCTAGCATGAATCAGTTTTAACAATTGGCTTGACTGACCCGAATGATATCCCTTCGTCACCTTGCTCAAATTGCATCTTCTCGTCGAGTGGCAGTGCCATCGTCTCTGCTCCCATCTCGAACATGGCGTCTACCTCTTCATCTGCACCATGGTTTTTCAGACTATAGTAATGGGACTGGCTTGAACATGATTGTTTCTCATTCGTGTGTGACATACTTACTACCAAAAACCAAGTTGTGTCGCTGCCTTCCAGAGCTTATCCACTTCATTCTCGTCACCCGCTTGAATGAGCTGATAGTCGACAACGAGCAGAGGATGTGTGGGCACATCTTCAGGGAACGGAGGTATCTTGTCAATTCCCGGCATTCTTTGCGAGGGAGTGACACTGTCTGTGAGCCTTTGAGTGCGTTGATAGCCACGTGAGTGGAGCACTAGAGTCCTCCGACGCTTGTTATATGAGTATCTGGCGAGCTGTTATCTTTATCTCACTGTGGAGCTTCTTGCCCACGGACAGAGTTTCGTTGTATGACTAACGGCATTCCGGGGAGGCGACGGCACCCTCAATAACTTGTTGGGACTCGAGTGGCTTCGCTGTGAGAATTGCTGGGAACTAAGGAGCTTCGCAAGTAGCGTGACCGTCAGCTGAGAGACAAATCAATCCGAAGCAGTGATATTAATTACCTGAGAGACGTGTACGTTCAATCGTGATTTAGACGGTTAACACTGGTTCTCTCAGCTCGACCATGACTATTGAAAGCTGGTGAGGCCATAACGAATGCGATTGCCTTTTACAGCATCGAGTGCAGGATCCCGGGTATACCCGAGCCACGGATCTCTTGTTAATTCTTGCGACTTGTAGGTCTCTTTACTCGACCTGGAAGCTGCCTCGGTTGGACTACGCTCGTCCTCTTGAACTATATTTCTCGTGTATAAAAATCTTTACTCATGGGTCAAGCCGCATCTCAGCCCGTCGCATCGGCACCTGCCTCTTGCCCCGTTCACCACTCGCCGCCAGCGACCACCGTGTCCACCTCTGCCGCCCAATGTCCCATCCAACATGACCAAATCGTCTCGTCCACACCCTCTTCATCCGCCCCAGCACAATGCCCGATAATTCACGAACCGGACACGCTGAACCCGCTGAACCAAATGCCCACTCTTTCCCAGGCACCCGTGGCAAACCAAGCCATCGCGCTGCCCACCTCTCGTTCCACATCCTCTATCCCGCGTGATGACTCGACCAGGTGGGACTACCCATCGCCACAGCAGTTCTACAATGCGCTGGTACGCAAAGGCTGGGAGACGCCGGAGGAGCACGTTGAGACGATGGTGCAAATCCACAATTTCTTAAATGAGCAGGCGTGGCAAGAGATACTCAAGTGGGAACGGAAGGAAAACTCGTGAGTTCTTACGCAACATTGTGGCACAAGTTGTATCGTGTCCTCACGAGACATCAGAACGGCAGATCTGCAGTTGACCAGGTTCAAAGGGCGACCTGGCGAGTTATCGCCCAAGGCACGTTTCTGGTTGTTCGCGGGTTGGCTATTACCCTCAAGGTTCAAGTACGTTTGTTACAGACATGAAGGATAGCGCGAACTCTGACGCGCTATGTGTAGCACCGAGCCGCCGTTTGACCGCCATGATTGGATCGTCCGGCGAAGAACTACGGGTGAGGAGGTGCGGTATGTTATCGATTACTACTCTGCGCCTCCAGAGCCCGACGGCTCGCCTGTGTTCTCCTTGGACGTTCGACCGGCCCTCGACAGCGTCGGCAGTATCAGACAGAGACTCATGGCTGCCACGGAAGACGTCTGGCCTTCACTGAAGGAAAACAACCAGACTGCGCGAGATGCCTGACAAGGCAGTACTCTGTCCCTCCCATCCACTCAGCGACCCCACTTTCTCCCTCTCCACGCTGCTGCTAGAATGTGATGATCTGCGATGGCCGCAACTTGGAGTAGAGCACATCAAAGTTACTGTACACCATCTGCGCCGCGGGTCCGTCAGGCCGGAGCCGCGGCGCTTTCTCTAATGCATTAGTTGCTACCCATGGATCTATGATCATGAATGACAATGATGATAAATTACTTGGCGCGCGCGTCGTGAGTGGGGCGTGTTCTGGTATGTCTGTCGGATCAGCCCGCCGCCGGAATCTGTAGATTAGCAGGACAGATGTTTTGGTCGTGCGATGACGGATTATAGGTATGCACGTGCGGATCGTCGGCCCATCTATTATAAAGAGCTGGTCGGTTAAACGGCCACGAATGCCTTGAGCAACAGGACACACCGTGACAAATTTCCAGCCGCCTGTGAGCTCGTTGTCAAGCTCCTCCTCTACCCGCGTGATCACTGCAAAATAGTGACATTGTTCCACCCTATCCTCCGCACCGACGACAATCTCGCCCGTTTTTGCATTCCGAAACAGCATCAACTCTTGCGTCGCAAACGTCACGACGAACGCGGGAATATTCTCCTCAAGCATTTCCCCTTTTGCGATCTGGAATGGGGCACGCGTCAATGAAAAGCCTGTAGACAGCGATCCGTGACGCACCTCCACTGATCGGATGTCGAGGATTTTGCTGTCGCTGACTAACCCCTGGCGAAGGTATACTTCCATAGTTGCCCACAGAACGTTGTATGTCTGCGTGAGGAGTCAGGCAACGGAGTGCTTGAAGGCTGTCTGACACTAACCGCTTCTGAACACCACGCCTTCAGCGCCTCCTGGTCTGCGCTCAGGAACGCGTCCACGATCTCCGGTATGATATACGCCCGCAGCTCACGTTCAAAGCTCTCCAAGGTGAACGTTGGATCCATCATCTTTATGCACCGCTGCACCCGCGCCTGCTCCGTCTCCTCGAACCAGCCGCCAATTGTGTCCGTAACAGTGCGCATTCCAACAATGACCGGATTCTCCGACTCCTCGTAGGTCAGTTTCAACGACGCTAGTGACCGCAAAACCGGGTTCGTCTCCTTCAGCTTCTCCCATGCTTCTCGCCGCGGCGAGTCCTTGTGCAGCACTATCGCAGAGCCAGCTCTGTGAAAAAATTAACAATAATTCTTGTGATTTCATTCATTCGCAAACACGAACTCGGGATCGGCCTTGACAACATGGGTCATGCTGTTCCTCCCTGCCTTTGCCAGACGCATCTGCCGCCGTTTCCGCCGAAGCTCTTTTTCTTCATAGCCAGCATGCTTCGCGCTCCCGCTATCGTCCAGAGCATCAACCACCGTCTCAGACAATGTTTTATACGCGGCAGTATTGCGTATTGGCTCTGTGGTCGAGGCGATTTTGGATGACACAGCTGCAGACGCGCGAGAGATCTACTAACGTCGTGAGAAACGTAAATGAGACATCTAAACCGTTCGTACCGCACGCATCAGGTCGCTTTCCTCCATTGTCCTCAGCGCCTCAGACACGGCATCACCGACCTTGACCCCCGTCTTGCGCAGTTCCTCCGCCGCCGCTCGTAGCCGCGGGTTGTCCCTGATGCTGGCTGCCAACTAAGAAAGCTGTCATGCACGGCCATTTCAGACAATGAACGCGAAGTAGTACCAAAGCGCGCTCGTAGGCTGCCCGCGCCTTCTTCATGGTTTCTGAGTCTTTCACGGAATCCTTCAGCTGAGTGACATCACCGGTCAACTGCTTCTTGCTGTCGGCCCATTCCCGGTTTTTCCTCAGCTCTTCCTGAAGAACCTCGACAAAGATCTTGAAGGGGGACCTTGGCTGCTCATTTTGGCGACGCGACGAGGAGTGAAAGGAAGCGGATGAGGAGACAGCAGGGCGAATGCGGAACGAAGTCGGTCTTAGAGCATTTCGGCTGTAGAGTAGTGCTCGGATTTGAGCGGGTGCCGCAGAGGTCAGAACAACACGTCGAAGATGGCGAGGCAGCATTGATCCCGCAAGCGAAGGAACGACTAGGCAGCAGGAAAGAGTGGATGAGGATGCAGGCCGATTCGGACGAGCGTCCGGTAGAGCGGGCGCTTATGAAAACTATGGGTCACGTGCAGCTAAGCCGATCGCGCTGATGGGATTGAGCGCTTCGGTGTTGTGACAAAGTTGTGGCCTCTCAGTCCGAGGTAAGCTGCTCACCGCAGGACGTCTTCTGTGACACAAAGGCCTCTGAATATACCTTTTCATCATGCAGAAAATGAGAACGACATATTTACGCAAACAGATCACACAGATACACGCATGGCTTCCTCCCCATAACTTAATGCTCGAGACCATGGTCATGTCGTGAAAGCTAAAACGATGTGAAGTGCAGTATACCATCAGAACGAGTCAATCCACGGAACTGTGTCAACGTGTAGAGTGCGCTGAAAGCGACCGTGTAGTCTTTACTCTAGGGTTTTGGCGCTTGCGCACTTCTACCTGGCCAACAATATTGTTTAGCGGTATGAGAGCTGCCGGAAGCGCTCCATCGAAGGTGACATCTAGGAGAGCCAACCTTCGCGCACCCAGTCGCTGCCTTGCGAGCACCGATACTACCAGGTTACTCCATATGTGGATGTCGACGTCTCCGACGAGGGAGACAATGAGATGCGTGAGGTTTGGACAGACGACCTTGCCGTCATTGCCATTCTCCGCGAGAACGGAAAAAATGGTGGCTGGAACAATATGGTGCACGGTCCGGAAATCGATCTCTAGCATGTCGATAGTTGGAAAAAGTTTGAGTACGTTGAGCCATGTCTCTTCACGAACGTAAAAGCCGTATGTTTGGAGTTTCAGCGACTGCAACGCAGGCAAGTCAATGGTTGATAGCACGACATTGTCAATTGCAACGTCTCCACCATCGTCAACATCCCACTCCCATTTCACCGTGTACAGCCCGTCGAGCGCCCCGAGCGTGATATGTCGATACGTATGGGAAGAAACGAATTGGAGAAACGCTTTGTCGATACCTGATGTGATTTCTGCGATTGAGGGAGAACACTGACGGATGTCAATCTGCGTGGTGGCTCCTTCACTGTACCGGAGCTGCAAATCGACTGACGTGGTTACGGGAAAGGACAGACAAGCCAGGATCTTCAGAACGTCATCTGGATTCTGAGCAGATCCCAGTGCAAGCTTCCGCAGGTTTTGTAGGTTGATACACTGTTGCTGTGAGACAGTCCCACTGTCCTCAACGCGAAGAGCTCCGCGTAGATCTAGGCATAGGATCTCTATGGATGGCGAGTTCCGTATAGACCATAACAGGTCCTCGAGAGAGGGGGCTACCTGATCGGATAATTCCAACTCAACCAGGTTTTGATAGGACACCCACGGCATAGACACACTGCATATGAGAACCTCTCGCAGCATTGGCATCCATCCCGTGAATATAGCAGGATTGGAGGTGTAACTGGCTGCGGACAGGGATAGTTGTCGCAGATTTGGCGCAGGAGAAGTGAATGGTGCGAGCACGGACTTCATGTCATCCGATAGGAACGAAACGACATGAAATGCTTTGAAACGGCTGCTGTGATCGGACAGAACACGCGCCATGCGTATAATGTCCTCTGTTGAAGACCAAACACTCGAAGGTCCCTGCATCTTGACGAACAGGGGAGCGTCCCTTGACCGTTCGAGGAACTCCCGCAGCATGGCAACGCTTGAATGTACATCGAGGTGGAGGACGGACCACAGCATTGGAGATGCGAGGGAGAGACTGCGCCAATCCCGGCATACATGAGAGACAGGGATGCAATTTATGCTACCGTTGAGGTTATGATTTCGTCCAGCGCCTTCAGCGTGAGCGACGAGATCGAAAATGTCATGCAGGAGATCGGCTGGGATGCGTGCGATGGGTGGCATAGCGATGAGTGAAGAGATCGTGTCTGAGGAAACAGGGTCGTGATGAGCACCAGATATACAGTTAACTATTGCGCAGGAGGATTCGCCACACAACGCAGGCGATGTTGTGCCCGAGTCTTTAAGTCAGACGATGAGGAATGTAAGCGCGCGCGATCGGGTGGGCAGCCCATTTGATGGGCCGACGCACGTGATCGCTCCGCGCAGCGTGACGGCGCTTAGAACGCGTTGCCCAGCTTCTCCGTGCGGTACGCGAGCTTTGTGCACTCTGCACAGCGGCCAGCACTAGGACACAACGTTTCACCATCCATTGCATCACGGATATCTGCTCCGACGAAGGCTTTGTTTGTGTTCACTTCATTCTTTGAGTATGCAGTGAGGCGTTGGAACCCACCGCGACTGGAATTTGGAAGAACGAATGGTGTTATACTGGCACCGAATGCGACCGTGACGCACCCGAAGCGGCGTTATGAATGCGAGAATAGCTGTGGTTCCCGAAACGCTGGCATGTATTGACTACTGAGTACTGATCGTTGCGCGCTTCGCCCCAGTGGTCATAGTACGGCTCGGCTACCGTAGGCGCTAGATATAGATGTCCTAGTACTATATCGCCTGCGCGATCACGGACTTCGGATGCAATGTTACGTTCCTCCTCGTCCCACGAATCAGCATCACCGGTAGCTACAGATAGCTACCCGTGCGCCTCCCTCTTCCAGCGACCTTCCTGTTGGTCGCGTCCTATCGAGCTGTCTCACCAACTGGCAGCTGGATTCCAAAACCGGCCATCCATTGCAACTTGATAGGCCGTTCATGGTCGAAAACGCAAGACTTCACGACGCGCGTGGAGAAGTTAGCTACGACCTTCCGAGCTTCAATGGCTGTAGGCGGTAGACCCTGGTCACCTCTTAGCGCTTTGGCTTGGACGATGCTCCAGCGAAGCTCTTGGCACCGCCCAAGCCAAAGCGAGCGAAGAAGCACGGGATGTTCCATCCGTTCAGACTCAGCTTGTACAACTGCCAGGCGCTGAACAGAGGTTTTGTGGCTTGCGACCAGCAAGCACTCCGTGAAGCCGTCCCTCGCGCAGATATAAATGCCCTGCAACCTGCTCTCCATGACGCTCATTCTGGAGAATAGCTGCTGTCCAGAAGTATATCCCATCCGACATCGCTCTCCCCATGTCCGACTACTATGTGTCCATGGCTCATGATGCCTCTCGACTGACCGTGTCGACCGTATACCATCTTTGAATGAGCTTGGCACCTTGCTACCTTATTTTCTACTGCAAGACTGTGATACTTCGGGTGTCTCTACACTGTCTTTTGGTCCACAGCTCGCGCATACCTCCGAGCTTCCTGTAGTGAATACCTTCACACCGCAGCTCGATGAAGATTGGGCCTCAAGCCTTCGTTACACAGACAAGAGTATGGACATCAACAATCGGTTGATGCTACCTTCCAGGTATGTCGTTTCCTGTCCCAAATGCCTGGACACGAAACGCTAGCGTCCATGGACAGTGAACCACTGAATACGCGGGAAATAATTCACTGACGGCCTTATACAGCATGCGTGACGCCGTATACGACACGAAGGAACCTTCCACCATCGACCCCGCGCTCTTGAGTATGCCTTGCGGCAGAACGGCCCTGTCGGCTCCGCCGGCTACCGCATTCCCTTCTTTGATCACTCCCGCTAGCATGTCACCTCCACTCGACATTCCATTTCCTTCGGAACACGCCATGGGAACGTTATATATGACCAACCATGTTCATGCCAATACCTATGATCGAGAGCGTGCGATTAACTCCGATGCCACAAACAGTGACGAAGGATCCATTCTCTTTCCTGATCCCTCGCCTGCAGCTCGATACCGTCCTCTCACCACCAATCTTCCCATCCGTACTCGTAAGAGTAAAACCGCGGAAGTTACGGGACGTTACGAGTGTCAATCCCGCAACAAGAACGCTGAGATCCCGGACGAGCTCATTTTCCTCGCTCTGCAGGATCCCTCTCGTGGGTGCCCGGTTAACGAGTGCGCGTACGTCCCCACTGCCATTGGCAAACGAGGGTCAGGACAGGCATCTAATCTGCTGAGGCATATCGAGTCTCATCGTTCGAAGCAGTGGGTGTGTTGTGGGCTGCCGCTCAACGTCGCGATCGAGAAGGGTCTTCGGCAGGAGGGCGATCTGCCAAACTTCTACTACGGAGGACAGCCGATGGTCGGAGGCTGTAAGCATTACCTTAGCAGGCAAGATTCGCTCGTTCGCCACCTGGAAGGCAAGGGTCGCGATTGTCTCACGGATGTTTTGATTGTGGAGAGAATCAACAAGGAGCAGCGCGCCAGTTGGCGAGAGCTGTTGCGACAGTATGGCAAGTAATTCAATTCGACAACTCCGTATTTTATCACGGACGTTATCCCTCCCTCTTTATTAGGTCACTGATGTCTGCTGTATCTTGTACTATTATATGGATGTGTCGTTTTCCACTTTACTGGCTACCTGATCTAACCACCGTTCCAATTCTCTCGTATAACATGACTATACAACTAGGAATCATTGTTGACTGGTCATTATATGTTGTATCGGGAAGCAGATTGTTCGTCTCAGGATTATACTCGCTCAATAGACCTTGCACTTATTGTGAAAAATCTTGGACTACACTCTTCGGCTTCTCGCAGATTGTTATTCGTCAAAGCAGGCTTTTTTTCTCCCGATAAAACGCGTACCGCCGTTCAAGTTGAGCGCTGGCCGATCTTCTTTTAGAAAAGAAGCACGGATGCACCATTGTCTATGAATAATGATTGAAGGCGAAACACCCGGAGGTCTAGACACTGAAATATTCTCAGTGTATCTTGAACCCCATGTTTCATTCGGATGTAGATCGAGGCGATGTCTGCCTTAGCATTTCCAAACACGTGCTGGATACTTCCGTTGTCGGCATATCCCACATTCCAATTTCTCCAACATCTTCATTCTCTCTTTCGAGCTCTCGATGAGCATTCCGCGAGCGAGTCCATCTATGATCATTACCAAATGATGATGATGCGCGACTCGATCGCCCTCGCCTGTGCAAGGTACTAAACTGTACTACATACAATTGAAGCAGACACGATGCGATCAGATCGCATCGTGTCCGTGCGACGATCGAGTTATGATCGGTAACTTGATCTCTAGCCGGAGCTCAAGCAAATGAAGAGACCGGCATCAAAATTCTTTGATCGAGCCAATCTGCATGTAATCCACTAAATACCGCTTGCGGCCTAGTGTTATTGTCCTTTTACTGTCAATATATATTTACTACTGGAATGATATACGGGCAGTGCCGTCTCAACGTCGAAGACCCTGAACGCTACTCAAGGTGATGAGGAAATATCTGCGGGGCCTGATGAGTCACTAAAGCGCGAAATGACACCGAACCGTACTAACTGCACGATCTCTTAATGGGAAACCAAAGTAGATTAGCGGATGATCGCACAGAAATGAACGACATACATTCTCAACTTCAAAGGAAATTTCAGAGCCTCCAACACTGCCTCAGGTCATACCACAGTGACCAAGGACTTCTGCCTCATCGCATAGGCCGAATATCGCTGCATGCGTATGATTGGTAGAAGCCATCGTGATTTGGAAAGTCTCTCCGTCAACTTCTCCCTTTCACGCATCGAGACTCTTTCAATCAGTGCCCTAGAGATGTCCCTTGAGTGTTAGAGTGCGAAAGAAGTTGATGACGCCGAGAACGATGCATACATACCATCGCCTACGGGACCCTCAATTTCTCCATAAAAGCTACGATCAGAGCATTCACTTCCATTGGCCGCTCAAAATGTGGCGAATGGCCGACCCTTTCCAAAAGATGGACCTCTACGTTGTCATAAATCTCCTTCGCCTGCGCGATAACGACTTCCGGGATGCAATGTTCGTCCTCAGTGCCATGGATCAGCATCACCGGCCACCCATGAGCCTCCCTCTTCCAGCGACCTTCCTGTTGTTCGCGTCCCGTCGAGAGCTGTCTCACCACTGGCGGCTGGATTCCAAAACCGGCCATCCATTGCAACTTGATAGGCCATGGAAGGAGCCGTTCGTGGTCGAAAATGCAAGATTCTACGAAACGCGAGGCGAAGCGGGCTGCGACGTTCCCGTCGGAGGACGTAACGTATGACATGAATGGCATCCAAGAACTGGGGATTGTCACGGTGCAAAGGGACAGCGAAAGTGTGGGTCCTCCACAATAGATCACGCCAGAGAGGTATTCCGGTCCGAGATACTCCGCAATGTCAACAGCGATGGCCGCTGTCACGAGAGGCGCGATGAGTTTTCTCTGTCCTTATTGCTGGAGCAACGCCACCACTGACCACCAATGCTCCTGCGGCTATTTTAGGCTTGTGCGAGCTCATGATGTGCGCCACTCACCATCCGAACAACACAGGCTTGATGACCCCAAATGCCTCGCATACAGCCTTGAAATCTTCCGCATGCTGTTTGGATGCATAATCCGCCAGTTCAAGAGGCATGCCACTCCTTCCATGTCCCCGCATTTCGTAGCGCACCACGAACACCTTCTCAATCAGTCTCTCGTCTGCCACCTGCTTGTCAAATCCCAATGCGGTACCGGCGAGTCCATGTATAAGGACGAGTGCCGGGTTGGTGGGCGAGCCAGTGGCATCGGCCCAGATGGGAGTCCTGTCAGAGGATTGAACAATGACTTCGCGTGTTATGGGCTTGGACATCGTGAAACAAGGAGAGATGAGGACGGTTCTTTGCTCGAGATGTATGGATGTGCGCGGATAGACTGCTTCCCAGGACCGCGATGGCGTGTGAGCTGCAATCCCAGGGGATACCGTGAAGGCACCACATGAAGCGTCTCTTTCTGACAACTTCACCAAGCGTTGCCACATGAATAAAAGTCATCGACATTGAGGTCGATGATGCGCAATTCTGCTGGATATGACTTTGGCATTTCCAAAGTCAAGGCCATCTGCAGAAATGCTCCAGCCGTGGGCGTAAAACACCTTTTGCCGCAGACGCGTCAACCAGCGCGGAGAAGAAAGGAGCTCAAGACGCCTGATAAAGAGGACCAATCCGGTAAGAGAGGAGGAGGAGGTGTTCAAGTCCCCAAGTTACTGTCAACTACTAAGGCTAGTAGACTAGTAGAGCCGCGAATATTGAGAGCGCCCGAACTTGAAGACGCAGCTTCCCGATTGGGCGGTCAGCGGGAGGCGGGAGGCGCTCTAAGCGCGCATGCCAGCAACTCTTGTCCCAAGCTTCAGTGCTCTGATAAAAATCACAAGTATTCCCACTGCCCTTCCCATCTTCCTGAAATCTGCAATCAATTTCATTTAACTCATTTACCAGGATGGAAACCCGTAATTGCATCGGCAATGCAAGCAATATAAAAATTTGAAGCCACCTCGTAACAGTGCCTGGCACAGGCATCTGATGCTACGAGTTTGGCCTTCCCGGTGGGCTATGAGGTTTTGTTCATTTCCTCCCTGCTGTGAGTCTCACTTTGGAATCTGTATCTACAGCCTTGTCTCCGAGTCAGATGAACGTACTCGGGCCTTGGACGACGTACACGGTCTTCCTCTTTGACCGATTGAGATTTTGAAGACATCATCTACTCATGCACAACAGCACGACCTGCACAAGGCTTCGTCTTTGTTTGACTCCGAGTCCCATCATGGCCAGAGAGAGCAAACATCGTAATGGGAGTATTCCTCTGTGCAAAACGGCTACATCGCCACCGTTGTCGCTACTTGAGTTATTTTGCCATAATCCTCTGTCCCAAGGTGGTCGCGGTAACTCTCAACGCCCTATCGAGGCCATGATCAGCAAAACAGACCGACACGACGTGCCGCTTTCGAAACAGGCTCACATGATAATTCGCCGTCCGCAAGTTGCGCAAGCGACGCACAAGCCATTCGCCTGCCGTACCCCTGTCCTCTTGTTGACTTTCCAGTCCGACTTGCCCCGTGGCCACCGCAGCCGCTACCACTGGGCTCTCAGCGGAGAGCGGCCGCAGGACGACGCTGTCGTGTGGACGGGTGAAGAAGGAGAGTGAGTAGCGCTCGTATGCGCTCTGGGCCTTGGGTGGCGCGCTGATCAAGACGCAGGCTGTCACATTAGCTCGAATGAAAGTTGTCCGAGGCACTGTACTTACACGACACGATGCATGTTAAACCGGATCAGCCCACCACTGAATATGTTGAGCGCATCTCCGACATTGCAGATTGCATGGTCCGGAAGAGGCTGTCAAGTCATCAAGTCAGAATTCGATGAAGAAGACCATCCAATAACGATGCTAACGTACCCTGACGTACAGCCAATTTTCCGTGCCGGGTGCGAGAACCTGCAACCCGCCCAAGCGATTGTGCAAAAATGACTATGGTTCGGATTCAATGCAGATCTTGTCTTCGTGCAACAAAGGATCGATGCTCACCAAGGAGCCAAAGTCGGTGTGGGCGCCAAGCAAGGCTTGCTCCTCTAAGACCTCCGGTGCACCTTCTTTCGAAGGCGTCCTGATCACCCTGGCAACGCATCCGCTGCGTTCCTCTGTCTTGTGCAGTGCTTCAATCACACCTGGTGCCATCCCCAGCTTCGCACCTAATACGCCAAGGAGCGTATGGTTCACGACCAGCGATTTCTGCACGAATGGTATTATGATGCTCGGAAAAGCGTCCGCGACGAGCGGCGGATAGGTACGGTGAACCGGCGTCGGGTAAGCCAGTACGTCGTCCTTGGCGATATCGAGGAACTCAGTGGCGTCGAGGGTTCCGTGCTCATCGGCAGTGTGGTACCCAGCTGCTTTGTAGCTGAGGGGATATAGTAATGAACAGCGTGTCAGCCGGGAATGAGAAACACTGACCCAAATTGCATCCCATCGTCTCCCTCCTCATACTGCATCTTCTCCTCCAGCGGCAGACCCATGAATGCTTTCCCGAGATCGAACAGTGCGTTCATTTCATCTTCCACGCCGTGATTCTTCAAGCTGAGATGACGATATGAGACCAATCGCACCGACCTCCAGTGGCGCAGGAAGAGACACGCACTACCAGAAACCTAGCTGGGTAGCCGCGTTCCACAGCTTATCGCGTTCCGTCTCGTCGCCGGCCCTGATACGCGCATAGTCTACGACCGGCAGAGGATGGGTGGGTACGTCGTCCGGGAACGGTGGCAGAGCGTCGTTGGCGGTGCTAGCCATTGCCGCGCACTACCAGGCTACCAGGTAGGGCTGCGGGAGAAGAACAACAGAAGATGGATAATAGTCGTGTGGGAGCAGCATCGTGTGCTTCGCCTTCTTCGCCTTCTTCGCATGGCATGGCAGATAACAAACCTTAAAGATCCTAATTCTAGGAGGTGTCTTCCCTGGTTAGTACCCTCCCACTATCGATCTAATCTCAGATCTCAGCGAGCGCTCAGCGCTCAGCTCTTACAAAGTCAGCTCATCTGAAATCAGTTTCGACGCAAGATATGAGAGCTCAAAACGTATGCGTTATATTGCAGTCAGATTGAATCCTATCAAGCTTGAGTAATCATTTGAGACTTATATATCCACAAATAGAGGAACATGAATCACTGCAAAGAAAGTACGCATTCCTATGTCGAAAAGGTGTGAAAAGTCGTCGATTCCTTTGATTTTCTCCTTCTGCGGACATTTTGTTCTGAGTGAACACACGCAGTCTGGTGCAGATTAATGCCCCAAAAAGTGCGGAACAAGTCCTCGGACAGAACGTGCGAGTTGTGGAACATCACCATCGTCAAGCAGTGACGTTGTCCTGACCTATTAAACTTGTGCGATAGTCACAATGACTTTGTTTCCATGCGGCTCTGAGTGTGCCGGGAATGTGAGGGTGGCTGCTGTGTATGCGCGTCCGACTTGTGCGGGGGTGGCGAATGTGTGTGTGAAGACGGCTGTGAAGGTCGCGACTGTACCGAGCGAAAGACTGCGAAGAGTTACGCAGCTCGAGCGCAACGTGCCACGTGATACCCCGACGACGGAGCCGCTGAGGACGAGAGCACGTCCGCATCCTCCTCATATCTCGCCAAAGACTATAGCGGTACACGGGCTTCCGGCTTTTCCGGGGCCCTCACATTAATTAAAGCAGAAGTCGAGCACATCGGCTAGTGTACGAGGAAAAGAAAGGGACAGAAAAGAACAGAGAGAAGAAAAGCAACGGTACAATTACATGAACACAGGAGAAAATGGGAGAGGAGGGAGGGTGAGCGAAAGAAAAGAATAAATGTGCGTTTGCTGCTGCGAGACGTAGTGTACTGGCAGGGCGGATGGATTCTCGCAGTCGCGGCACAAACGCTATGGCTGAGCAATGGTGAGTCAGAGCGGGGCTCTGAGGGCAAGACGCTAGCGGGTACTCACCTGAAGGGAGGAAGAGCGGGGCTCTGCGTTACTCCTTGCTGCACAGGGCTTATGAGTATGCTAGCTGTGGCCCCTATGCCATGGCGAAGCCAGGCTCGGCATGAGCGTAAGGCGTGGCTATTTCTGTCCCTTCAAGGACTTCCGCTGGGCCGCGCCAACGTCCTTGAACAGACGACCAGCCTATGCGCTCATGCTAGAGTACGGCGGCGATGCCGCCCTGTCATGCGGTGAGCGGGGCTCGATTAGGCGCAGAGGCCTTTGAAAAACCTCCTTACCTGCGGAACCCGGTTTTACCCCGATCCTCATGAGCTTGATCCTCATGAGCTTGAGCGACTGCGCGGGCGTCATGAGCGGTGCAGTCCACGTGCCGGCGACAGCGCCTGCCTTGAACGGCGAAGCCGAATCCATTGACGCGACCCACTTCTCCTCGGGCTCTTCCTGGAGCGAGCACTTCAGCGGCGATGCGCTGCGTGCGTGCGACCAGCACGGCGAGGGAGGGACGAGCGGATAGTCGCAGTTGATCTGGAACACAAACATGGCCGGCTCCTCGCAGGGGGGCCGACATCGATACCGACGGGCGCTGCAGCGGAGCGGATTCCGGCGTTGTGCATCGCGAAGAGGTCAAGGCGGAAGGATCCCATCATCTTGCGCATCGTCATGGGCGCATGCGTTGTGCAGAGTGGCATGTCGGAGATGTTCTCGAGCCCTGCGTGCAGCGCGTTCGGCTACGGCAAGCTCGAAGATGAACGAGCCCTCGAAGCCCTCCTCCTTCAGCTGCGACGCGGGCGAGAGGGGTTCACACCCCAGCGAGGGTGAAAGGGCGCGTGGAGGTGCGCCGGAGAGGGGTGTCGCGCGCCCAAGGGTGGGAGAGTGCAGATGTGTGTGATCGGAAGGACGACGAGGGCCGCACGGCATCGGAGAGCGCACTGCACTGCGCGGAGCGGAGTCGGGGTACTCGTGCGGGTCGGATAGCTCGAGTAGGGGACATGCCACTCATGGAGAGGGAGAGATATGGGCTGGACGGGCTGGGCTGTCACTGGCTCGGGCTCTTGGAAAGGTAGGACGATACACACTGTTCACGTAGGGCTGATCGATCTGGGAGGACGAGATGCTGCCCATGAAATTTAAACGTGAGAGGGAATGATGATCGATGATGGTCCAGACGTCCAATGGTAAAGCCGGCCGGTCATATCCCGGGATAGGAACCCTTGTGTCGCGCAATTGAAACGATCGGACACCGATCATAGCATATTTTGTGGCTTGCCATCACCAGCCATTTCCCATTCAACCGCTCCGCGAAGTTGTTCCCCGCGCACATATAAACCCTGTAATCTGTCTGTCATGATGCTCACTCTGCAGGGCATCTGGTGTCCGGAAGTATATCCCATCCGATATCGCTCTCCCCATGTCCTACAACGACGCGTCTGTGGCTCATGATGCCTCCTCCTCGACTTACTGTTTCGACCATATACTCTCCTTAAATGAGCCTAGACCGTCGCTATGGGACACTCTACTGCAGGGCCATGGAGTCCTAGATGTCTACACCGCGCCTTTGGGTATACCTCTCGCGTCTACCTCCGAGCCTTCAAGTTATGCAGTGGATATATCCATACCACAGCTCGACGAAGGCTGGGCTTCAAACCTTTCTTATGAAGAAGCGAGCATGGACGACAACACTTGGTTAATGCCGCATTCCTAGTATGTCTCTTGTTCCAAATGCTTGGGATACGAGATGCTAACCTCCACGGCCAGTCATATGCCGAGCGTGCCAGAGGCAGTTCCGTCACTGACCACCTTACGCGGCATACATGACGCTGTATGCTACACGAAGGAGCCTTCCACCATTAATCCCATGCTCTTGAGCATTCCTAGCGGCAAAATCGTCCAATTGGCTTCGCCGACTACGGCATTCGCTTCCTGCGTCCCTTCCGGGAGCATTTCACCCCCAATCGATAGTAAAGTTCCATCGGACCATGCCATAGGAACGTTATATGCGACCGACCATACTGATGCCAATACCTATGATCGAGAGCGTGCGCTTAAATCCGATGCCACAAACAGTGACGAAGGATCCAATCGGACCAATTCCTTTCCCGAGCCCTCACACGCCGCCGGATACCGTCCTCTCACCACCAATCTTCCATTCGTACTCGTAAGAGTAAAACCGCGAGTATAATGGGACGCTACGAGTGTCAATCCCGCAACAAGAATGCTGAGATCCCGGAAGAGCTCATCGTCTTCGCTCTGCAGGATCCCTCTCGTGGGTGCCCGGTTGACGGGTGCGCGTATGTTCCCACTGCCATTGGCAAGCGAGGCTCAGGACAGGCATCCAATATGCTGAGGCATATCGAGTCTCATCGTCCGAAGCAGTGGGTGTGTTGTGGGCTGCCGCTCAATGTCGCAATCGAAAAAGGTCTTCGGAAGGAGGATGCTCCGCCAAACTTCTTCTACGGAGGACAGCCGATGATCGGAGGCTGTGTGCATTACCTTAGCAGGAAAGATTCGCTCGTTCGCCACCTGAAAGGCAAGGGTCGCGACTGTCTTACGGATATATCTATTGTGGAGGAGCACATCAAAGAGCGGCGCGCTAGTTTGTGAAGCCTGCTGCAACAGTATGGTAAGCAATTCGACAACTCCGTTATTGTTCCATGGACGTTATTTTTTCTCCTTCGTATGTCATCGATGCTTTGTGTCTCTTGTTCGCTCTATGCATGTCTCATTTTTACTTACACCGACTACCTGACCTATCCACCGTTCCGATTCTCATGACTGTACTATTAGAAGCCATAGCAGTGACTGATCTGTCGAAACCAGATTGTTTGTCTCAAAATCAGCTCGTTGAGTGCTTGTTGCGACCAATCTTGGATGACACTCTTCGGGCGTTGCGCTTTCCCACTGCTGTCCGAAATTTTGGTGCATCAAAGCAATTTGTTTTTACTATGAACCAGGTATCATTGGACCGGGGACTCGGTCCGGACACTCAAACATTCCCTGCCAGTAAAACCACCTGTTCTATGTGGATATTGATCGATGCGAAGTCCGCCTCACTACGCAAACGAGGTGAGTAATCAAGCTTTGTGGTGCCGTCCGTTGCAAGAAGCACTCTCTCCAATTACATCGTACGTCGCGAAGGCCTAGGTGCGCTTTCCTTTCGATCGGTCAAACACACATCACCATCATCGGAACGCGACGGCCGGCTTAGCCCCGCAGAGTGTGCAGAGGCACCTCCCTCACCCACTGAGTTACAGAGCGTGTATTTGGCTTCCGAGACCGCATACCTTATGCATGAGTCCTCCAATATATGAGCAGTTAATTGCTTGCCAGGGAAATGACGAAGACTAAGGAATGTCATCGCACACCTTGGCTTGTTAAGCGATGCCAACGAATTTGATATCGGCCACAAATTGCGCCACGAAGGTGTGCCACAAAAATATGTCAGATCATAGTACCCGTCATCAGATTTTGCTATTATACGAACATTGGCTGCGTGTGAAAGGTAAACCTTTGACGGTGGAAGGACCGCGATGCACGACGCCTACGATACGATGTGATATCACAGGCAATCAGTGAATATGGGACGAGCCGTATCAGAACAGAGGCTATGCTTTCGTTCATAGCGCGCAGCCATACAACGACATCTGAGCCTTCCTAAGACGCATGGACTAGCACTTCAGCACGAAAGTCCTCTTCGAGAGTTTGCTTACTACGTGAAGCCAGCAACCGCAACCGAGATGCCATTTGGGGCATCAGATCGGCAGCCCGTGGCGAGCGTGGGTGGTTGATTTGTGCTTGTGGGCGTCCGTGCAAACAGACGGGTGTCCCACGCATTGTTGTTATCGTCTTCCTCCATGATCTCGCCTCGTCCTGTGCCCTGCAATATGGACTGCACATCCACTCGCCTGATCGACTGAAGTTCGTCCTTGGAGGACTTGTGAGCTCCTTACCGCGCATCACGGAATTGCTTCGTTGATTATCTGCTTGAGCTTCTGATAGGGTTCGTGTCGATTCTTTTTCCTTCGCAGTTGCGATGATACATCGACGGATACGATGGAGTGGTGATGGCGATCTCAATCACGGTTGCCACTCAATCATCCATTGAGTACGGCTTTTGATGAGCCACTCTCTCTGAGGCCATCAAAAGGAGACGTCGTGATCTTTTGTCCTACTGAACAAGCTGTATGTCGTCCACTTTCATCTCTGGCTAGGATCTATGCTGATAATAGTTCAGGTCAAGAGGTTGTCCCTTGGACGGCAATCCACCGAAATCATTCAGTTTTCACGCACAGCGATTCTATGGCAAGTAAAGGTGAGTCAAAATAGTCTTGAACCTTGCGCCGCAGTGTGCGAAGACGACGAAATGCGCAGACTCGAGGGCGAGGTGGTAGGGGGATGAGGTGGGCGCTAAGCGTGGGATGTTCAGCCACTAGCGCGTCTAAGCACGTGGTGGAATGTGAAGGAGGTTCTTGGACACCGGATTTGATCTCCCACGCCGAAGCGCATTCACCTCATTATCGGCCTTGTGCCATAGCATCCAGCTCCCCGCCATCCCGTACCCCGTCCGCATATATAAAGCCCTCCAATTCTCGCCATGGTCCTCACAACGCAGCGCATTCGCGTCCCCGCAACCGACCTCCTCCTCCATGAGCTCCTCCGTACTCTGCGACGCGGCCTACATGGACTACATTCTCCCTTCTTCACCTGACATGGACCGTCCATGCACTCCCCCACAGGAGTCTATCTCGTTTGACTTCGCGTCAATGTCCATCTGTGACATTCAAGACGACCGCTTCTCCTTCCTCGACACCCTCTTCGCACCCATGCCGGAGGAACACGCCACCTCTGTCTCATCCTATGATGAAGCATGCTCGGACTTTGCGAAGTCGAGTGTCCCTCTCAGCTTCGATTATATCACGGACAACGACAACCTTTTGGCACCATACTCGTCGTACGTGTATCCTTTTGACGATGCGGAACGACTATATTGACATGCTACATATCATCAGCGTGTATCCACCTACGACACCTCCAGAGTTATACTCTAGCCCGTCATACGTCGCATCGGAGCTGTTCACACCTCCGCCTTCTGGCTGCATCTCGCCCGAGATGCTATTCGTCTCTCACCCTCCACCGCCGATCCAGCAAGACGCCTTGGATCTCGCGTTCGAAGAGTTATGTCGGTCGCCGTGTTCGGCACCTGAACCCGACTTGCCTGCTTCCATCTTCAGCACCGACTCACTTGCGTCTTTCCCTGGCTTGCCTTCAGCTGTGCTCGCCTCCGATTCGTTTGCCCTCGCCCCTGCATATCCCTCTCCCGTCTCGAGTGATGAGGAAGTCATAGCTCCCTCTCTCCGTTCAAGGAAGCACCGCTACAGTCCATACACTGTCCATCCTCGCACACGCGCATCCTCTAAATCACCCTCTCTTCCACCCTCCGCGCGCCCCCGCCGCAAGGCAATTCCGCGCAACGAACAAGCCGTCATTTCCCAAGACGTGTTCGACGATGCGCTCCTCCACCCCACGCGCGGCTGCCCTGCCCCCGGGTGCGACTACGTCCCCGCCACCGGACGCGTGCCCGACCTCCGCCGGCACATGAACACGCACCGCGGATATGTCGGCCAAGGCATGTGGGTGTGCTGCGGCCTGCCCGTGAGCGTCGCGCTCGAGCGAGAGCTGTGGGAGGACGGCGCATCGACGGTGTATATGTATAATGGGCTTGAGATGGTCGGCGGGTGCATGTTCTCGTTCAGCCGTCGGGATGCGCTCGTGCGCCATTTGAATAAGGGTGATTGTGTCGGCAGCGCGGATATGGTGAAGAGCTTGTGCTGGGTTTGACTCTTGCATTCGATGGTATATTCATTACAATGGTGAGTTCGCCTATCTTGGTTATGATGCATCGCGTGCAATTACTGACTGGCTTAATCACGCAGTGCAAAATCAATGGAATCTGCTTTACTATCTGTCATATCTCGACGCTTTGGAGCGTGCTTCGCGTTGTACACTAGTTTCGAGTCTGGATGCTCCGGCAGCATATCACGTTCACAATTAGGATCTTTTGTACTATACCCAAAAACTTTGCAATGGAAAGGTTTCGAATTGTCGAAGGATACCTAACGTGATTGACCTCATATCGAGTGGGTCTCCGTACAGGAACGTCGCGTGAAATTCGTTTGTACGTGAAGCTCAACCCCATCATCCTCAGCAGTATGCAATCATGACATTGAGTACCTAGATCTGAGCTGGATTCGTATGAAAGTTTGAACGTGTTCGCAGGTCCCGAAGCTCGGAGGACCTGCTCATTTTGCGTGAAACCAAATGATCGCAAACATCATGAGATACCAGACTCCGTGAAAGAGCAATCAATAAACAGTTGGGAGAGGAGGCTCGCCTGTACAATCAAGGCAAGAGAGGGGCAACCTAGCCATCAGTTCGTTCTAACTTACCTCAAACGTGAACAGCTTATGGGAGAGCGAGACTCCGCGACAATCATTGCTTACTGAACATTGCTTGCTTGATGGTGACTTGATTCCTGATCCCCGAACAGAACCGAGGGTTTACACGTCGCATGATATAGAACATGCTCTGACCCAATCTATCTACCTCCCGACTCCAACTTCCAAGGCACGCAGGAAGGAACTAGAAAAGCATAGTTGCAGCGACGGCATAGATCCACTCTGAGCGGTGAATGCATCAGCTCGCCAACACGTCTTGGAACTCACGTGGGGGCTCTACATCTAATACGATGTTCGGACAACCGAGGAAGTCTCCGACAAGGTTTGCATCCGGTTTCACGTAGTCAAATCGTAGATGTATGTGCCATTCACAAAGTGCGAAGCTAAGCCTACACAACGTCGCTCCGGTCAGATACTCGGCGGAGAGACTGCTGCTTCTACCTCTTCTGGCAGAACGGTATATCCGCCCCATTCAGATGAACGAGAACAGCGAGTCCACGAAGAACCGAGAGCGAGGACAGGATGATGACGATACGGAAGACGAATATCAGGAAAAGTGATATGGTCGTCCATACGCCGTCAGTGCAGTCTGCACCATCGTCAGTGATCAAAATCGATATGAGGTCAGTAACGAACCGACGGAGTCTCGCCGACGGATCCGATCTGATGTCCTGCCAGAGGAAGCGAAGGAATGAAGACCGCTCAGCTGTGACAGTGGCTGTGCGCGATGACGCAATTGGAGTGGTTTGCCCTTGTGCAGCTGGGCGAGGATACGTTGCTGTAGCATCAGCATTCACTGTTTCTGATCGCGAATCCGACGTTGGGGCAGTATTGGGGACAGCAGGCGCGGCTGGAGCGGGGATTGTGGAGGGAGAGGGATGCGCAGGAGACGGCGTGACATCCTCTGGCCATTGTATCTGACCGGTCAATACAGCAAGTTACTGCATGCGAGGTCAGAAATCCGAGCCATGCAGAAGAAAGTGGCACCGATGTACTGCTTTCTGGATGAGTAGCATGCATGCCAGCCCAGCTGTGCGAGAACGGCAAGCGACGGCCTACGATCCAGCAGGATTACCGAAGTGATATGCTGTCAACAGCTCAGACTCAAATGCGTATTCTTCAAGCGTAGATGCCTCATCCCAATAAATGAGATGGCATCGATGAGGCTTTGAGAGAGGAAGATATAGCGATAGAGCCGGGAAAGGACCGCCGTGAAACTGGTCGGCACGACTTCACGTTGAAGAACTAGGAATGAGATGTAGACGATAGTCGCGGGACGAGTGACATGTAGACAATGTTCGTCAGCATATCTGGTTCCGTAGTCAGTCGCATTCTGGCGTAATTTACGAGAGACACGAAGGCATTCACCAGGAGCATTGTGGCTCCGTCCTGCTCGTACTGTAGATCGAGTGACAGGTGGTCTAGGTTTGTACGCAAGGCGAAAGACGTACCAAGACGAAGTTGGTAGTATACCGTCCAGCCAAGCCAAATAGTTAGGCACTTGATTGTTTAGAGTTGACAGTGCCTTGTAGCAATGAAACCGAGCTTTTATCCGCTCTCCCCGGTTGTTGATGAGCATGAATATCTAGTAGGAAGCTGAAAAAGAGAATGGTGGAACGGAACTTCGGGTCCGGCGAGGCGAAAGGTCTCATTGGCATCGTCGCGGATCTCAAGAGCCCCTTAACATACATGAAAGTAAAATAGAGGGACCCCGAAGGAGGACAACGACCGATTGCTTACTAAGCGGAATGAGACACGCCACTGTCGCACTGCACTGCGTCTCGCTCGTCGCTCATGTTGAGTAGAATCTGCAGGTAAAAAAGATAAAAAGATGTGGGTGAGAAGCAGAGTGATGCAGACAGAAACAGGAAAATTTGAGAACAGAACGCCAGCGAGGCGAATGTAAGTACAGTATATCTACGATCCAGACTCCTCCGGCAATGCCCGAGATGGCAAGCACTCGCCGTAAACACCGTGACTCTCCCACAGCCAAGGCTCATCGAGAACAACTAGGACGGTGTGGAAAGGTGAGCATAACACAATTTTAGAGATTTAGTGTCTTTCAGTAATTATATGAGCACGTAATTGACAGTGCAAGAAACAATTCAAATGTGCAGAAGCTCATCAATGCAATGAACAGTTCATTTCGATTGACGGTCTAAGTATGCATTTCGCTCGATGTCCGACGATTGCCGCGAAAAATATTCGCCACCTTGACCAGACCGTAAGACAGGCCGACGACGCAAGCTGAGAGAACGATGATTCCGAGGTTGTCGATTATCTCCTCCGCTTAGTGCAAGATGCACGGAACCGTATTCCGAAGTCACCCACACGACAAGCAGGAGAGTCCGACCGACAACGAAGCTCAATGTGTCACATTTTGAACGAGGAGGTGCGTTGGCTTCGATTATGATCATTCTGCTGGCATCGAGCGAGTTCATGGGACACGTCATCCCGTCGACCTCGAATGGGCGCGATTCGGGCTGAATTCGTGGATACATATTACGGTGGCCATTTCGAGTGCAGTAGCATTTCGGTAACCAAGGTCTATGACTGCCGCTAGATGGGAGACGGGGTGTTTCGCGAGTATGTCATTCTGCCGGTGAGTGGCATTCGTACGCTCTCCCCAAATCTGACATTGCAGGCGACGGCCAGCTCTCTCCTAAATGTCGGTGCAGTGGGAAGACATTACGGTGGTCGTATTTACATTAAGGGAGTGAACAGGTTGGTAACAATTCAGCTGGGTTCCTGCTAATCTCGCATATTAAACACAGACCATGTTCGTCCAGATCGAACCAAAATACGCCAAGCTGCCTCAAATCCGTCAGCAGATCCCGCGAATTGGGAAGGAGCGCACCCGAGTGACGGTCAGATTGATGAGCATGAATGAAGATCGCGCCAGCCATCTGCTCGCAGCGAACCAATCTTAGCGTCAGTCGGCCCGGTGTCTACTGTCACCGGGGTATTACACAATCCGTAGCCACGGCGACTGATCATCGACCACGCTAGTGAATCGCAAGGTGGTGTGCATGCGTCAAAGCCATGAAGAAGGTCCGCTGATGGTACGATCAAGGATCAACGACAGCCACTGGTGTCGTGGGGCCCTTCGTGATCTGTAGGTGGTGGCAGTGTTGAAACGAACCGCTACAATGTCATAGCTCATAGAGCGGTCATTCTCGTGGCACGTTGAGTCAAGAACGACGGCTACCCGAGTCCCATAGGCCGTCCATTAGCCCTTGTAAGGGGGGCTGTCATGGTGCATGTTTACGCCATTGACCCCATATTCGTTCAAGTCATGCGCTTGGATACATTGAGTCTACGGCGCTAAAAAGACGGGCATTCCCTGCCAATCGCTACTAGCAGCTAGTAGCTTCCTTACAACAGTCGAAGTTTAACAATCGGAAGTTACGTGAATTTCTGGAACTTAGGAAGACTTAGTTCAGCCCCAGGTTCGCTTTCTCTACGTGCTGATTGTCCATCCCAAAGCTGGAACATCTTGGTAAGTGTTCCATCGAGCCATCTGCTGATAATGTTAACCAGAGCAGTATCAGCTACGTGCAAATCGTTTAAACTGATATACGAGTCGGCGAGAAAAACAGACTCGCTCAGAAGAGACATTAAGATCGTCGAGGACCGGAGCGTCATCAAGTCAAGCGACCGTGTGGTGCAACCAGTTTCGCAGCCGGAAAATACATCTCACCCAATTTTAGCTGTCCTGTATTCCATGCGTTCATCATCTCTATCGCTATGTGACCCTCGCTCATCTCACCGACACTTGTTCACCCGCTTCATCGCCGCAGGGTGCAAGACTGCTTTTATACCCTCCAGCAGTTCCAGGCTGAAGTTCCGGCCTGGCCCAACGTCTACTGCAAATGCTCCAGGGACCAGAGGATTAAATGCCTCCAGAATCATGAAGTGCTCGCCTAGAGTCGGCTTGCACATCTCTCAGCTCGTCCACACCTGCAATTTGGCTCAATATTTTGTACACTACACGGCCGCAAAGCGAGTATTCACACCGCTGTAAACATTTAACTAATTGTCTGCATTCGCTCATTTTTGTTTTAGCATATATCTGTTTCCCATAAGCTGCAAATTCTCGGTCCACCGTTTTATCCTCGTCCCAGAGGTCTATCAGTTCGCCCCAAGTGCAGAAGGCCGGATGTCAGACGCGAAGTAGTAGGTTATGAACACCTGGAAAGATCTTGCACGACAGGAAGCTCTGCAGTACTGCGACCTCTCGACTGCAATCCGCGTTGGAATTGTCATACGATCCTGTGCCATGAAGTCGAATTGGATTGGGAAAGCGAAGCTCCAGCATAATATGTACCAGATAACTCTAGCCCGCAGACGAGCTACGCATATGTTCAACGCTTCGGTAAACCTACAAGTACGTGTTTTACAGCCAATACGCAAAAGAAATTCAGTGCTCTCATCTACCTCTACGTTACTCCTCCTCTTACTCCTCCTCGTCTGAATCAGACATAGTGCAATCAGAGTGGCTATGGGAGCCACTGGCCGTAGCACCAGCCGTGCCTAGACAGTTCCTGCATCGCTCCGGGCATAAATTCATGACAAGTGACTGGTCAGGGAGCGTCCTGCAGCGCGCGTTAGAACGTCGACCAGGACTGTCAGCATCTTCCTACAGACCATTCCTCCGTACACTCGTTCGTGCAGTCGTGCTCGTCAACATTGTGAAACCTGCTCCGCCGGCATGTCACCCGATTGCAGTCGACCTGTACACAATATTCTGGTCAGTCGTGAAATAACATATGCACGACGAACAGGCCGTCCGCACAAAATTACGGCGATCCAGGAGTTGGTGGCCGCAGCCATACTCGGTGTAAGCGAGCAGGTAGTAGCACATGTCGGGGATAGAGCGCGAGATGATGGAGTCAGGCAAAGATGGCAAGGTAGATATACAGCGGTATGCGTACATGAGAGAAGGGGAAAAGATCTGCGACTTTGATCGCGCCGGTCCATGACCCCGACTAGGAACGAGAAAATGGTAGCCCATTAGCACGAAGAAAGCTTGCATTGAGACATGCGATTGTCTGTGCCTTCCTATGCGGCATCTATTAAGTCGCCCAGCGGACCCCTCTTCTTTTGCAAACGTGATAGAGACAGTGGGACAGTCATCGGGAAAATTGGCCGCTGGGTGAAATGATGCAGATCACTCCCCGCTCGAGCCGGGGTCCGGTATACTGGCTCTGGAAGGAAACAATGAGCGGCATGGAACTTCGTCCTCCGGGAGACAGATGAGGCGCGCAAGGGTGATTGGCAATGCACTGCAATAGTGAACATGTCTAACTTAAATACTAAGCTAACGTATATCCTCAAATCCTGTGTAATCAGATCATCTTCGGGCACCGCGCCGACGTCCATGAAGGCAGTAAGGCATATTTGCCGGAGGCAGAGAGAACATCCCGCCGGCTTGGCACATACTACAGCACTCACAAGACACCAATTATAGAAATGCCCCGCATAGAGAAGTGCATGTAACATCCATCGTAACCTTTGAATGAAGTCCGGTATGGGGGATCCGAGCGATGGGAACTGAGTTATATGAAGAGCAACCCGAATACCTTGAACGTACGTGTGCGGCCCCGCAGATCACCGGCCAGATAGTCCAGGAAAGTGTAAGTCTCCGTTCGACAACTTGATAACACAGTCGGCAGAGGCTTTTGGCCATCACTTCCAATCGGACGCCTGTTGCCTGAGATATTCCCAATTTCCCTTTAGTCGCAGGCGCAGGCCTCACGCATCTGGCAAGATGTTGAAAACAGCAGGAGGTTTCGCGGGTCTGAGTATGCTGGGCTGGGAGACACGGGAGCAGGCGGTGGTACGCGGATCATAGATATGAACTGACTGGTGATCATTCTTCTGACAGGCTCGCTGCGTCGCGCGTAGATCATCTTCCTGCATTTGGACCTTGGGCGAAAGACCCTGCTGAATCTCCTGACTCGTGGAGCAGCCGGCTTCGTCTCAACTATGTCTCGCCTCTTTCTCTTTGCTCTCATGTGCCTGACTCAGCCATGTTTGCTCTCGAATTCTAGATAATCGACCATGACATACAACGATATCGCGGGTCTCAGTCATGGCCACCGAATAGCGACTAGTAAGACTTCAGAGTTTCAACAACACTCACCCATCACATGTCGGCTGAGGCGATACACCTGAAATTCGCTAGAATAAATCGAGGTAATTCATGATAGCAGTACGATTGCTTAGCTTAACGGAGGTCATCCTCGCATCGCAGACCGCTCAGTAACGTAGAGACGTCTATACCAATTGTGAAAGGCAGGCTGTAATTTGCCTCACCTTTCACCCGTTAGGCCCGGATTCCGCGCCTATTTCGTCATTCCGTACGCTAAGCACTTCAATCAATTGAATAACACTCCTCGTTGGTGGAGAGTGAGCCATGAGAATGCGTTGCGCGATGTTTAATGTCGGTGATACATCCGGCGAAGCACAGACGGAATATATCCGCTGCCTACAGGCTGTGTGCTCAACGAAGGCGTTGGAGACCTTGTGTGGTGAGTGTCTTAACGAAAACAGCCGTCTAGGGAGACCACCTTCCGAGCGTCAAAGACCCCATCGATGCGCCGACATGACACATAGATAAACTCTTGGATAGCATCTTAATCGGATACAATGTGCACATTTGAGGACGCTCCACCAGCCAATTGGAGATGACGGTCCGGAAAGTTGACAGCATAGAAAGGAACCAGCGAATAACGATTGTGTCGCCCGGTTGGAAGTACGCTTGCTGGAACGCGCACAGGTCTGACCGCTCATGAGGCAAGATCGTCCTGTACAATATCAAGAACAGAATCAGGATGCCATGAGGTGTCGCGGGATAGAGCAATGAGGAAGAGGACAGGACAATCTAGTGACCATTCCCAACCATGATATAGTTGGGCATTAATATACCGATGGACCTCTGGCACATGATAGAGCCATCCACGTGGGTGACAGGCAAAGGGTTTACCAGCATTGTTCAGTTGCGGATGAATATGCGCCAGGAAAGCCTAGTTGAACATTGATTAGACTAGCAGGGGGCATTTGAGTAGGTAATGATATGCTGGAGGTCGTCATTGCTGAGTTGAACTCCATCGTAGGCATAGCAGACTGTAGAGAGTAGTCCGTTGAAAATGTCACCACATGAAGACGATGAGGTAATATACCCAGATAAATGGTGAGTACGCGAGCAGAAGTGTAAGGCCAACAATGTTGAGCTAGAATTCTAGAGTAAACATGGCTGAGTCAGGCACATGAGAGCAAAGAGAAAGAGGCGAGACATAGTTGAGACGAAGCCGGCTGCTCCACGAGTCAGGAGACTCAGCAAAGTCTTTCGCCCAAGGTCCAAATGCAGGAAGATGATCTACGCGCGACGCAGCGAGCCTGTCAGAAGAATGATCACCAGTCAGTTCATATCTATGATCCGCGCACCACCGCCTGCTCCCATGTCTCCCAGCCCAGCATATTACGCGCGAAACCTCCTCCTGTTTTCAATATCTTGAGGCCTGCGCCTGCGACCGAAGGGAAATTGGGAATATCTCAGGCAATAGGCATCCGATTGGAAGATGAAAGCAGCTTCCAAGGCCGATGATGAAGCTAGATACCGCGCAAACCTACGGGGGTGCGATAGTCTATCGCAGAATCTGCTTATGAACGAAACGGAGTGACGGTCCGAGGCGTGCGTCTGCGGGGCTGTGCGCGAGCGGAAGAAGTGTGAATGCGACTTCTCCCACGCGCGAGGGAGGTGGGAAGATACTGAGGTTGAATCTACGGGATGGCGATGGGACGAACGTGCGATTGCGGTGTCGCCGTTGACGATGAGCTAAACCCGAAGTCAGGATGATGGGAGAAAAAGGAGAACGCGCAGCCATAGCATGACTGGTCGGTATGATTTTTCAGAATGCCTCTAAGCGCTTCAAGCCGGTTCGCCGTGTTCGCGGAAGAAAATGGCACAAATCAGGAAAATCCCGCCGCGTAATGCGACTATGTACATCAATATTGCTCTTACTGTCTTCACTTCCAACGATGGGAGAGTACGACGATGGACTGCCAATTAATTCTGATTTACTTGAACCGCAATCACTTGATATTTCCTGTATTGCTACCCGCTGCGTCGATGGGAGCGTGGTGATCGCACGAGCACGAAGTTGAGCGTAGGTGCGTCGTGACCCATGTCGTCTGACACGTTGAAGACGTCTGCCACGAAAAGAAGCAGCACAGGCATATCCTCCGAGTCCTTCGTGCCGGCACCGAAGCGAGCTGGGCCGCACTGGATCATGCACCACCTCCGAACATGTACGTTCGTTCGCACAGCACGGCACGTCCTCAGTGCTCAGGTCCTGGACCCAGAAGCCCGTCCGCCCGGTAGTAGCTGCGATGCGCTGCGCCGGACCCTTGGGCCGCACGTCGGGCGATGGATGTCGCTTGCTTGGGGCGAGTGCCTCATATGTCACGGACTGTGTGAGACCTGCGCTGTAAGTGCCATTGCAGCAGCTACCCGCTAGGCTGGACTCTGGAGCAGGAGCCATCTGAACATAACGCACCTTCGAATGCCCATTCAGCGAGGAACGACGATTCACCTCGAGCCGTGGAGGGCCTGCGCGAATTACTATGTGCACTCACGCGAGTCTCTGCGCTTGCAGGCGTTCCAGCTCATACGCACTGCGGTGCCCTTGTTGAGAGTTGTACGGAAGTAGGACGCGGACTTGTAGTTCTGTGCGTGCTTTGCTTACATAATCACGTAGCCGGACATGCATGTCCGACGATTGTCACCTCAGCGCTTGGTTACAGCAGTGACCCGCATCAATATATCGAGGCCCAGGTGAGTTAGTAAAGGATTCTGTATTTGGCTTTTATTTATATATCGTAGACGTCCACTCTATTCCGTGTTGAAGAAGTATTTTGCATAGCACTCGCATCAATATACCGAGGCTGAGACATTCGTTTTATTCCGTGTCTCACAGCCTCGTGGATTTTCGCCTTGGCAAAAGCCATTCCCCATCGGGAAGACCTGCGGCAGCACCAGCCTAGTATCATCGGTCCAAAATTGGCTTGCGCGTTAGAAGAGATTTACAGGGCAACCTTACGCTTGTCGCCGCTGACGAAATATGCTGCTAGCCGCTTGAAGATGCAGACAAGGGACCGCAATAAACCAGAGCGGATCGCCAGTGACCAACCCACTGGGGGCCGTCGCCCAGGCAATCGGCTGCCCTATCTCTCTCCTGCAAAACAAATTTCCGAGATCGCGTCCAGATGCTCCAAGATGCCCTGTCCACACCGATGATCTTCCAGATCGCGGAGATGGCGAACTCCGGCCCTTTATCAAAAACCGCAGCCACGATCTCGCTCCAATGCATCCGGGACAAATCCTTCTTCTGGACTGCTGACGACTCTACAAATCCCGAACCTAGAAATTGTTGGGATTATCTGTACCTATTCTCAGGCTGGTCCTTACTCAATGCTCTTATCGCGACCCCAATGACGAGTCGTCTGTGCTTCCAATCAAGCTTGCATCACTGGCAACGAGAAGGGAAACAGACGTCGTGAGAAGTGTGTGTGTCTGGCCTTTCTCGTGTTGACACCTCCCCTTCCACTCGAAACAGTTACTTCTTGTCCATCCGTCCTGCCTCGCTTGTCACGGATTTTCCATCTACTTTCCTGCCGGATCATAGCCGCCGACGGTCACGCACGCCTGTTGGCAACGTCTGGCCCAGACCCTCTCGTTGGAAGCCGGCATTCATCAGCTGTGCCAGACTCGCTCGCTTGTTTGCTTTCGCTGGAGAAGATCAAACTGGACGCGGCCCACAGCCGTATTGCTACACACGCTCGGGCATTGCGGGCAGGAAGGACAGCAGCACTTCAAAATCAAGACATTCACCCAACCCGTGCACAGGCGCATTGCTCGACTTGTGAACAGGCCTGCACAACAGTCGGTCGCCGGATGCTATTATGAATCACTCTGGAGACCGTTGGTTCGTCCCTTTCGGCTTTTCGCGCCAAACACGGGGCAAGCGAGAGGAGGAGTAATAAGGAAGAAGAAAAAGGATGACGAAGGATGAGCTCAGACACTGTGCACACCTCCGAAGTATCGACCTGCCACTTTGATACTGCACTCTCGAGTCTCTTCACGTCCCTCAACTCTTCTGTTGTCTCGGGATCCTTCGTTTGGCGCACGTGCACCATGCGATCGAGTGAATCACACTCATTGCAGTGACTCCTCTGATTGTCTGCGGGGCACCAAATGCTCGAGGCACAGCTCGCATCTTCCGCCGCCATCCCGCTTTTCGCTTATCATGGCGTGTTGAGACATCACAGCCATGAGCCGAAACGGCAACTGGAACTGGGACCTGCACATGAAGACAGTGCCTCGAGACAGATATTCTCTCAACCAGCAAAAGCACGAGCTAAACGCGAAATTCAATGGCAAAATATAATCTCGACGCTCATCGCGTAGCGCACAATCCGCATTGGCTCTACTCGTGTACTAAACGCCATGGACGCATATGTTCGACCTGCCACGCCCTTATCGCATGCGTTAACTTCGGTTTACCTTAAAGGTGTTGCTGCTGCCTGATCAGGACGCTCTTCTCACCCGCCGACGCACCCCAGGCAATGCTAGGCCATCTGCAGAGTCTGCGAGTGCAGATGGCACTACTCGACAGCTGCGCATGATACGAGGCCTTGAGATCCTCATTTGATGACCCTTGTCGTATCCCAGCACGTATCCTATATATTCCGATTTCTGCACGGTTCAAATGACTCACGGTGCGCCTGTCCCATGTTCCCCTAATGATGCATCTAGGACTCTGTTGCAACAACGTACTCAAAGACGATCTATCCCCAGCAGGCCGACTTAATCTCGAAGACCGGTGCATGCTCATGAAGGCGCAAATTTTGCATTTACGCAATGTTTCGGCGTTATAATTGCCACACGCAACCCTTCGGCTTTATGGATATCCGTTACGGATGTATTCTCATGGAGCTTTGCTTCGGTTCCCAGTCCAGACATGCGTGAAATGAGTGGATGCAATAACCCGCTCGACAATGCGCATACAAGCAAAATTTATCCAACACATATCAATGTCGCGGAGAGCGCATTGCCAGAGCAGCAGCCAAGTTCTCAACATTTGAACGCACCGCCATCAAGCATCAGATTCCCAGATGGTCATCTTATATTAGCAGCTGAGACAATGTACGCACATGTGCTTACAAAGATCGCGCAACATCGAGCATCTCGGCGCCATCCAATCTTCCATTCTGTTGCAGTCAGCTTCATGATGCTCATGACGTTATGGGATGACGGTACGCTACATATAGTATGGCATCCTTGGACTAGCGCATCTCTATCCACAGCCCAGCAGTGTTGCAGGAAGATATCGATGACACGGTCTACGATGTGATCAAATCCTGGAGCTTAAAAACATAAAATACGCATAGTCACGTACGCCTTGCATGGTAGGAAGCGCTGGAACATTGCCAATTTTTTGACGCGAGCAGGGAACCACTCGCCTTGGCTCCAGTAGCCGACTTCGTGTCCGCAGACTTGGGAAACGACTGTCAGAGTCGCCTGGGATGGAAGCTCTAGAATGTGTTCTCCAACCGCTTGGGCCCCGAGTAATTCTGTTCCTCCATAGATCTTGGCAGCACGTATCGCAAGCGGCATCTAATTCGGACGAGCCTTGCAAGCATGGCTGAAGAAGGGATTCAGAGTCATGTGGTGCTGGCAGGTCAGATCTGTACTTGTATGTGCCTGCTGTCACGTTGAAGAAAACGTGTAGGACACCCTCACAGACTCCAACTGAGCAACGTACTCATCTGACATTCTCACGCTTAGATGCATGTGCCGTGAGACCGTGTCGACCGTTCACGAGGGCGGCGCGACAGCATCAGCGACCTTCACGGAGCGATGTCAACTTAGGCGCACGAGTGCCACCGTCGTGGTGGCACTCGTGGGACCATTGTGGCGCACAGGGGCCGCAGGGTTCATCTTAGATGAGACAATTTTCTGCTCTGGCTCTGCAGGTTGCTGTTTATATGGCTGACCCTGGCCGGTCCACTCTCCAGAACTATTAATCGATTTTTGGAATTCTTTTTAGTGCTGCTCAAAGCGAGGACGCCCACGACAAGGCCGCTTACCACATCGTGCGGCATTCAACTATTTGACATTGATAGTGTTCAATGACCGGGCGCTTAGAATCATGGCGTTTCGATAACATCATTGCTCATCGCAATCTGTTATGGCGTTGCACTGCCAGAGATAGCTCAATTCCTCATTCTCGAAAGTGCGTTATCATTGCTGATGCGTCGTTCGTATGCTCTGATTTGGCGAAGCAGGTGCCCGGAAAGATTAGCGGAAAACCATCTGTAGTCACACTCACAACCTAGAGCGTCGATGAAAGGCGTTAGCAGATAGGCAGCGCAGCAACGGACTCGTGGCGTGATAGATTGTCAGCTGATGAACTCAGCCAGCTGTGTTGACGTACTTCATCATGATACTGACAGATACGCCAGCGTCTACCTCGAAAATCGCACGCCTGAACGTATTTAATGGAGGAAGCACAGTCATAGAATGAGGTTCCTAACCCTTCCCCAGATATAAACGCCCGTCGAGAGTCGATCGTTTTGCCATGGGAAATGTCCCTCTCATACCTGCAGAGCTTGCGACCATCTGCATAGAAAGCTTTTTCCACGGCATCTTCTTCACTCTCTCCGTAGTCTCCTTCTATCTCTTGTTTCGTCGCCAGAAGGATCTGGGAGCATATGGAGGCCGGAAGCAGTCAGATTCCACATCGCGGACTCGGAAGTCAATCAGGATTTTTTTGCTCGCCGCCGTACTTATATTCCTCTCTAATACCGTGGTCAGTTCTGTTGTCATCATGGGTTGGCTATCGTCTGACCAGAGTCACTGATAGCATTGGATCGTGGCCATCACGCGACTGTTCAAAGCCTTTGTATACTATAAAGGCGGCAGTGCACCGTCGGACTTTTACGCCGATGTGTCACAACCAACGGAACTCATTCAAACTTCCGCGCTTGCCTTTACAGCCACGATCAACGATGCTATGATTGTGGGTTCGTATCATCTAACGCCTTTTGATATGACTGACATCCTGTGGTCGTAGATATGCCGCCTCTGGATCGTGTGGGCGTTCAACAAGGAGGTAGTCATATTTCCTCTATGTACACTTGTCGGCTTAACTGGTGAGGGGAACTACTCACGAGCTAATGAGCGAGAACTGACGGCAAAATATAGTGTGCGGTATTGGATCTATTTACCAAATATCGAAGACCCATATCGGCGAAGACGTCTTCATCTCTGCTTTGGGCCGCTGGCTGACTAGTGGCGCGGTATTAACACTCTGGTATGGACCATCAGTGGTTCTTTCGAAGTCGTCACACTGAATAAATTCTGAAACGGGACAGCACCAATGTATATTGCACAAGTACGTTTCGAAATAGGAACCGATGATGTTTGTCAAGAACGATCCATAATGAATGCTTTCAGCTATGATCGCCTGGCGTATTTGGAGAATCAACTCGGCTGTCTCAGGCCATAGACGTGGCAGTCTGGCGGTACGGCATCATTAAACATTGTGGTTTCCTCCTAACACTTCTACGCACTCAGTCTGTCATGGCTATAATTGTCGAAAGCGCTGCGCTCTACACGTAAGGTCAACATTTCTATGGTGCTTTATAATCTAAATATATGCGTAGAATATGGACCATCTTCTTCATGGTCGCCTACTTGGCTCGATCCAACTTGCAGTTCGTGACCAGCGAAACGTGGGTCTTCGTCGCCGGCATATCCTTCATGCTCATCAACGTACGCGTCGGCATGGGATGGGCCCAGAACGGAACGACCACAATCTCGACATTTGAAGCCGCTTCCGACACGTCAGCTAGCGGTGATCAATCATTTGCGATGAAGCCTTTGGCGGTCACTATCACGTCCACTGTGCACAGAGATCATGAGTTTGACGATGCTCCCGTCAAGTCGTTCTCTCATGAATCTTCCACCTTCATGTCGGATGCTTGACAACGCAATTTTGGACATTGCCTTAGTTAGTGTCTCACTATGCATGATGCCACTGTTCTCATGCTTCACCTGAATTTCGATGCTTGTAAACATGCTGCTGACCGTCTCACATTCAGCCAAACTATGTTACATTATTGACATTGTATAGGCCAACAAAATGGATCACTGCATCCCTCACAACGAATGAAAGTGCAGTACATAAGACAACAGTATATAACGCGAGCAAATAGTTCGACACCGCGCGAGCTTCAACCATGATAGGAGTTTCAGTGTTCTAAGTGAACATCTCCGTACCTCGGTCCTACAGATGTCTGCGCACCTAGCCTGGTTATACCGGACATTAGTTCGTACGTGTCAAAGGGCAAATCACATAAAGATATTGTGAACGGGAGATATGAACAGGCTATATGATACTACGATATTATACGATATGAGAGACAGCGAGAGAGGAAAAACCGGAGATGAGACGAGAAACGGGACGCATAAATAGACCATTACAAACAAAAGACGTAAAAAGGCATCACTGCGGTATCACGGTATTTAAGACGATCCAGACTGAAGAAGAGATAGACAAGAAGAGCATAGAAAAAACATGTAAAACTCTAGACGTCTGATCTAGAACATGGTGATGAGAACGTATGTGGGCATACAAGGGATGAATGACTTACAGCAGCAGAAAAAGACGAATATTATGACGAACAGAAAGACGCGCATCATATGAAGACAATTGGAAATAAGACAGTGACAAAGGCAGGAGAGGGCGACCAGAGAGCTCAGGGCAGGTGATGGACGGACAACAGCAAAACACGAAGGGCAATGATGAACGACAGGAAGACGACGGGGACAAGATGACGAGGAGCGAGAGCAGACGACGTGATAAGTGAACGACGTATAGGCTATACGTCGTTCTCTTGTCACGCCGTCTTGAGCGATGGAGAACGGGCAGAGATCCAAAGAAGGTCACAAGCACTTGGAGCTCTGACGACGAACAATGACTGTACAGGCCGGCGCGCATGAACACCATGGAAGAGGCCAGAGAAAGCAGCAGTCACGAGCTCAAGCTGGTGGTACCACGTTGACGGAATGAGGGCCAGCTGAGACGGAAGGGCACAGAGAATGACGTCCAAAAATGCGAGACTAGAATCTCGAGGGTAGAGGGCGGAACGAGAGGCTGAGACATCGAGGAGGAGTTGCCCGAGATCATAGAAGACGAATCAGAAGAAGACGACGCCGAACAGGTCATGATGCAAGAACCCGCAGAGCCAGACAGACTCGAGGTGTGATGAACAACAGCACCAGAGGCAAGAGACTCCTCTTGAGAGGCACTTGCAGATTGACGACTCCCAAATAAACGCTGCCAGAAGGTCGGCTGTAAGGCTCCAACATTTCTATCTATTTACTATGTTACATAGTTTTAACTGTTTACTATATCTGTTTATTAACAGTTGGGCCTGTACATAGTAAATAGATGTATATATATAGTATAAATAGTTTTATGATGATATAGGGTTATTGAGTGCACAATTGCTAGATTTGACAGCACAACAGTGAGCCAATTAAAAGTCATAGTGTTCAACAGAAGTCATTATTGACAGTTTATCATCATGTAGGTTCATGAACATGAGTTTCTTGTCATTTCTTGTATGACATAAGATTTTCTGGTCATTCCTGGTGCAAGTGTTGACATTGAATGCTTGTTTTCTGCTCACTGTCATGTGCTACAGGTCCTTAAAGGCCTCAACAATCACAAAGGCTGCTCACAGTTGAGTAAAACTCCAACAAAAGATGGGACCAAAAAAAAACTATATAAACTTTATATAAATTGTTTATATGACATATAGATAACTATCTACTATATACTATTTATTTACACCTCAGCAGTGTAAATAGTATAAATAGTTGGAGCCTTAGTCGGCTGCGAGGGCGTCAATAAGGAGGTCGACGTTGGGCCTGAGGCACAAGACCAGATGTTGCAGTCGCTGAGGTGTTGAAAGAAGCGAAAGATGTCTGACAAGTTCGGCTGGGCCGGGCGGTGCCTGACGGCGCGTTTAAAGACATAGCGATGGACAACTGAGACTCCTCAACTTCAACAGAATTTGTCCCTCCTTACACTGCAGTGATCTTCGGCACATGCTCTGTGTATGTGAGTCTGACTGCAGCTTCGTCGTTTCCTCCTCCGATAACTGCGCTTTGACGAGCTCACAGGCCCGGATTGAAATCCCCCATTTTCAAACAACCAAAAGCGCTAATACGAGCGGCACGTATTGTAAGGACACGTGAAAGGTATGAAACGTAGACCATAGCGCATGGCTCGAGCCTTTGCATCGAGCAGTGAGCACTTCAGTGTGCAAACACTCTGTAACGTCGGGAGGTTGAGCTCCTATATATACTATGTATATATTTATATGTATATGTATATTTTCGCATACGACTGGTTGACGTTGTATTGGAACTATCGAAAGGCATAAGCAGACTGATTGAATTGGGCGCTCATCGCGGCAGGATGCAACATTGCGAACGGACAACTCAAACCATAGAACGGTTGTGATGGTCCTTGAAACCGCTGGAGGTACTGTCTGAAGGAGCGAAGACCATGTCAGCCTTCTGTGAAGTATAGTTAGCGACGATGTCATGCAGAAGATATATGTAGTGGTCTGACCAGTGCATCTCCTGTACATATCTCCTACGTAACATCCACATGGAACGCATCGCTTGGGATGGCGCCGTCGTTGCGCTTTGAATCCGACCCGGATAAAATCGTGTTACTAGCAGCATTGAAAGTAGACATGGAGATAACGTCTCCGGATTGCATCATCCTGGCCCGATTGTTGAAGTTGATAAGCAGGGTGTTTGCATACCTAACAACCACAGTGAACTTTTATCCTGCATAAGAATTAACGACGCACAACTTTGAGAGCATCAGCACTCTGAGTAACATGTTAATAGGAATAACAAAGATCCAACGACGGACGCACGGGCACATATGGAGGAATGTGTTCTGAAGGTTCTTGATTGAGACGTGGCAGGATTGCAGGAAAAGAACGGACACACCGGCTTCACGGTAAAGAGGATTAAGTCGATTGTAGCGACAGTTGCTGAGGAGCGAGTGAGCAAACTCATCACGAGTCAGTGATCGCTCAACTGACCAGTCAAGGAGCCAGTCTCCACGACCAAAGTGATGAGTCGATTGACCATGGCGTCGGAGTGCTTCACGCCACTCTTGGATCGTGACAGCTGATCGAGCAACGGAAATCAACGACCTTGACAGGAAGCAGGTAAGACTGACTAACTAGGTATGTCATGGCGACAGCAATGACTATATCCGTAAATGCGCTTCCAGCAAGCCATGCCTAATATCGTTTCTGAGTCAGTCGGACGTTCATCTACATCGGCGTGGAATAGTTCGCACATCAATGTAAGGCGTGACTTGTCCTTCATCGGCGGCAGAGGGCAATAGTTTCAGCTGCTTGCGATAGATTAATCGCAGTTTGATTTACTTCAGTTCACGGACCTTCACACCGCTGGCGATGGCAGCCGACATCTGTCTGAATGCAACCTGGAGAAACTCCATAAGAATGCAAAAGAAGAAACAGAATATTGCATATGATAACTATTCCCGCAACCAGCACATGAGCTCTTGACAGCATGTAGATGCGCCACGCAAAAAAACTTTGAACCCCCGCTGATAACACGCCGCACATGACAGGGACACTGAACCAGCCATTGTAGAAAGTGGCCAGGGCCTTGATGTTACCATAGCCATACACCCAATTATGAAATGCATCAGCTGTAATGAGACCGGTTTGGACTATTTCGTAGGCCAACACGGCGTAGACTGGAACAAAAGACGTCTGGTCTGTGTCAAAACGCATGGTGCTGCATGCGTACCAAAGCATTTCATAGCGAAGCGATCTCGAGGAAAGCAGATGTAATAGATGTCTGCGTCAGGTAATCAGCCATGCTCATGGTTACATGCAACGTTCTGCTCTTACAGACTTGCACGATGAGCATGCCTAGCAGAGCCCAATTAAAGAACATCCCCAAGATCTAGAAAGCAGTCAGTGCTGCATGAAACAATCGTGCACTATAGTCTGTGACTTACCTCGGGGCCCGCCCTACAATGGGATCCTGCATCAGGAAAGTCGCTCAACTTGAAGGGAGAGGCTCTAAGAGCACATACAATAGAGTGTCCTCAGTAGCCATCACTGAACACAGGGCACGAACGATCCTTGATTTTCACTTGGGCCGATGGTCTGTGAGGAAGGACAGAAGAAATGTCATGATTTAAGCAATCACGAAGATGGCCAGTGTGGGACAGCAGGTGATATTGAGCAGAGCCGTCCATGTGAGTTGCTGATGCCTCGACCAAGCCTGCTGTTCGGAATGGAGAGGATACGCTCAGACGAGAGATGTCCACGGTGGCTTCGTGATGTTCTCACCAGGGGTTCAAGATTACTATCGCCGGCAAAAGAAGCGAGGAAAGAATGTTGTATCGTCGATAATCGGAGGCTTTTTGGCCCGTTTCAGGGGCTAACATGCCATAATTCCGATCAAACTTACATGGAGTCCGGCCATCCTTCTGATCACTGCCAGGTGAAACAGAACAATCCGGGCAGCAACATCCAGGTCTCAGCCCGACATCACCGTGCGAACTCGCATGGCAGAATACGATCGCATTGCGCCGATGCCACATGTTTTACGAGCAGATGTGGCGCAGATAGTGGCGCATCTCGGACTTGCTTATTTGCCTTCAATTCGCACTCGAGAAGCGCCGCGTGGCCGCGGCTGGGTCCCTTGCTCGAGGTATGTTCATTGGTTATCACGGGCAACGTGCACAACCGGGTGGCGAGAATACTGGGGACAATAACATTGGAACACCTGTCTCGAGCAGCAGACGAGGAAGCACGCAATGAAGCACCTTCAAATGCGGCAATACGTACCTTGAAAAGACATCTCCATGCCACTGCAAGCCGTGTGATGGGATCAGACTCTGCGAGGTTCCGGCCACGGAGCCAGATCTGGTCAACGTCGATCTTCTTAAATCCGGCAAACATCTGGATATTACGATCAATCCAGATGACCTACATGATCCTGTTGCACAATTATTCGTTGGTGAAGATATAAACATGGATCACTTTGCTTGTACCGCTGGTCCGGGGAAAGATCAGCGGGCGTGTAACATCGCATCGGATGGATTTGCAGCGGCTCGCTTCTTCCACTACACCATCCAAACGATCATAGAAACTCTTTTCGGAGTGGAGGTGTTACCGTTTGGGCGTATCAAGCAAAAGATCGGTATTTTCGGATTCATGAACACATATTTTGGGACGGTGGAAAGTCAAGGCCATGGAACATTACACTTGCATATGTTGATATGGTTGAAGAACTCGCCATCATCGGACGAAATGTCAAGACTGCTTCTCAGCGAAGAATTCCGAGGGAAAATGATAGCATTTATCAAAGCAAACTTCAGGGCGCACGTTGATGGATTGTCATCAGCGGAGGCGATGCAGCAGTTTCCATCAGAAGCAGATGTTGCTTACTGTCGACCTTCTAATCACGATGCAGATGATTACTGGGAGCAAGTGGCGAGTTTAGAGAAACGAGTGGTAAGAACGAAACAGCTTCACACCTGCACACGAGGTTGTTTGCGCACCAATCGATACAGTGTTCTGAAATGCAAATGTCGTGCACCTTGGACGCTATCGCAAGTTGACATGGTTGACGAGAAAGGACAGTGGCAGCCTAAGCGAATGTATGGATATCTCAATGGTTACATCCCAGCAATCACTGTCAATTGTCGATGCAACAATGATGGCAAGTTACTCACCAATTGCGAGGAGACGAACAACATCACATTTTATGTCACGGGTTACACTGCTAAGAAACAGGGCCGTTCGTACAATACCTCCGCGTTGTTAGCGAAAGGCCTCATATATCATTACGAGGATGAGACGTACATCCATCAGATCCAAGAACAGACGTGCATGCTGTTGTTCCGTTCGGTGAACATTCTTAATCGTCAGCAGGAGATGCCAGCCCCTATGATTTTCTCTTATTTGATGGGATGGGGAGATGTCGTCAAATCACATCACTACATCACAGTTTACTGGACGTCTTTTGCAGAAGTGCTTTTGAATGCATATCCTGCATTGCATCGGAATGGCAGATGAGCAACAATGTCATCGTAAATTACGATAATGCACCCATCTATCTTGAGGTGCAGAGACCGTAGAATTAGCAGTGACCATGCTGAAGTGCAGACCAACACAGACATGTCATCGCTGGAGGTAACCGAGGTAGGCTATCATATATAGACGAAAAGTGTTTGCAATTGTTAATGATGTCCAAGGACGGCACGTTATTGATTGAAGCGAACTCACATGGCAGTCTTGTTACACAAACACAGATCACGGACTATCAACTATGAGGAGTCGAACTGGAAAGCTACAATGTTATGGAGATGTTCATGGATACATATGAGCAGCCGAAAAGTGGACGTTCAGAACAAGAACACGCACATATGGGTGATGTAGCCTTTAACGATGAAGAATATGAACGCACGTCAAGATACAGACATGAAGGCATCAGATACCTGCCTAGTCATCCAAAGGCATCCGATGCAGTTCGCATCATTAGGAGAAGAGGACACAACACCATACCGGATTTTGTTGGCCAATATTTTCCTCGACGAGATGACCCAGACAAGTACAAGTTCTACTGCGCATCAATGCTCCTCCTGTTCAAGCCTTGGCATGAGGTTGGAGATCTGAAAGAAAGCTTTCCGACATGGCAGGAAGCACTGTCACAGTTTACTCAGTGTGCATACAGTGCGACACTTGCTCATATCACAAATGTGGAACATTACCATAAGTGCAAGAATGCCGCAGAGGTGGAGAAACGAGACGAGCACGAGATGGATGCACTGACTTCCGTGCAGTTATCGGCGGCTTTGGACAAAAACGACATGGAGGAGGGGGTGAATGTCGCAGGTGACGAGGAATCCGAAATCACTGAAGAGATGATTGAACAAGCTCAGAACTCTCAAACCCGGCTTAGCGACATTGTACATGGGTGCATCGCCGTCGAGATAGCAGAATCGGTGGGTTTGTTCACGACGTTCCCTTCCATTCAAAGACCATCAGCAAGAACGGCAACAGAAATTGATTTGGTCCATTTGCATGAATGGAAGCAGGCAATATCGCGACAAGCGGTGTTCATCCAAAATAGTGCATCACAAGCCGAGGAAGATCCACGGCATCATCAATCAGAGTTACAAGGATCAGTACACCCTTTAACGTCAATTGTGACATCATCTCCCGCTGATGTTCTGATACGTGAAGAGATCAGTGAAGAAGGTGTTAACTCTGATCGATGCACATATGCTGCTTGACGATCAGAGACGAGCATTTGAAATCGTATCATGGCATATTGCACAGACGCTCGCAGGGTGGCAGCCACATCAACTGCTCATGCTGATGCTCGGAGAAGGTGGGACGGAAAAATCCAAAGTCATACAAACCATCTCCGAGCAGTTCAATGCCTGCCAGGCAGGTACGAGACTGATGAAAGCAGCATACACTGGCATTGCTGTGTCTTTGATAGGAGGGAAAACTACGCACACTGCAGGGGATATCTCTCAGAATGGAGGACTGGTGTCGGGAGATAGCAGGCGAAAACTCATGGAGATGTGGCGAAATGTCGATTACTTGATAATCAACGAATGCTCCATGATATCCCGTGCTTTCCTGGCTAAGCTATCGAGACACATATCAATCATGAAGACAGGAACAGAAGATGGAGATCAATCATTCGGAGGAGTAAATGTTATACTATGTGGAGACTTCCATCAATTTCCACCTGTGGTGCAGAAGGGAAGCGCGGCGTTGTATTATGAAGCAGACATGACGGCGGGAGACACAGTAGATGACTGTCTGGGTTGACGCATATTCGAGGCTTTCGACATCGTAGTGCTTTTGGAGGAGCAGGTGCATGTAACGGATTCAGTATGGATGCAATTCCTTCACCGTTTGAGACATGGACAAGTACGCAGCGAGGATATGAAGATGCTGAAGGATCTGATCATTACAAGTTCCAGCTGTCCACCCACAGATTTTGACTCACCAGAGTGGGGTGAAGCTGCTTTGGTCACACCTCGCCATTCGGTTCGCACACAGTGGAATGACGCTGTAACAAAAAAGCATTGCGAACGCAATGGCGTCCAGCTTTTCATATGTCCTGCGGAAGACCATACAAATGGCAGACCTTTGACGTCAAGAGAACGGCTGGTGATGGCCAGTAAAAGGACTAAACGTAAAGGACAGAAGGAGAAGGGAGGTTTGCCAGATGAAGTCAAAATAGCGTTAGGAATGAAAGTCATGGTTACCGTCAACGTGCAGACAGAGCTTGATGTCACAAACGGCACGAGAGGCGAGATTGTTGACATCATCCTGCATCCAGATGAACCACCGATATCAAACTCGTCGGTGGTGAGATTGCAAAGATCGCCGGCGTTCGTTTTAGTAAAGCTCGGGAGGACGCGCATGTCAAGTCTTGAAGACTTACAAGATGGCGTAATTCCAATCGAACCGATGTCAAAAACCGTTCACATCGAAGTGCCAGTCCAAACATCAAATGGTAGAAAGATCCTACGCAAAAAGGTTAACCACTGACAGATTCCGATGACCGCAGCGTATGCGTTCACAGACTACCATTCTCAAGGACAGACGATCACGTACGTTATCGTAGACATAACCACGTCACCTGGAGGGAGGATGTCACTATTCAACCTTTACGTCGCTCTCTCACGCAGTTCAGGACGTGAAACGATATGCATCCTGCGTGACTTCGACGAGATGACATTCTTTCAGCCTATCGATGAGATGTTGATGAAGGAGGACGGACGGCAGGAGGAGCTGAACGTGAAAACGAAAGGCTGGTGGGAACAGATGGAAAATGGAATGAATGACAATGGTGGAAACTGATGTACGTGAAAACGAAAGGCTGGTGGGAACAGATGGAAAATGGAATGAACGACAACGGTGGAAACTGATGTACGAGTTGTGGTTTTCGGGAAGAAAAGCAAGCTAACAAAAGTGAAAGGTATGTGTAATCGCAGGGAATGAGACATCACCAACGGCGCCGAGGCACAATGTGCGGAAGGAGATAAGGCATGAGTCGGGAGACATTGAGGAAGCAGCAGTGCGAAAGATGCAGTTAAAAGAGCAGTAACCGGGCACGTTGTCAGAGACAACAAGACGTAATAAATGGTAGAATCCGGATGAGACAGCAGCTACATATACAGTATACAGCAAGAAGTAAGCGACGAGAGCGAAGGCGACGCCACCGTAGGCGAACAGAGACCTGAGAGTAGACAAACATGTCCTCCGGGTTTCAGGGTCAGATCCACGCTTAGACATGCTATCCATCTTGAAAGGTCCAGTTGATATAAATAAATGAGGTATGCAAACAGAGCACCGGTAAAAAGAATGAGACATCACCGACGGCGCATGTCGAATGAGGCACAACGCCGTGGAGGGAGGTGAGGCATGACTCGGAAGGTGTTAAGGAACCAGCACTGTGAAAGATGCCATTGACAGAGCAGTAATAGGGCACGTCATTAGAGACAGCACGAACGTAATAGACGGTAAAATCTGGACGAGACAGCAGCTTAGTACAGACTAGCTACAGACAGCAGGAGGTAAGCAGGGAGTGCAGAGGCGACGTCATCGTAGTCACGTGAATGTTCCCACCCCTGCACAATTTTTGTCCACGGCCATGGAGAATGCAGCCTTGCTCTGGCGAGCAAGGGATGCTATGCTCAGTATCCTGGATAGGTCTCAGGATAACACGTACACAAAAATACAATGAGCCCATCAGAAAGTAGTAGTATGCTGGCAACTTTTCCATGGGATACTTCCGCAGATGCAATACATCTGAAGAACATGCTTGTCGGTCGGCATCTCATTCTTCCTAAATATGTATACACTGCACCTTAAGTTCTGATTCTGGAAGCGGCTATATTGTACTACGTCGCAGGATATGTTGAATTTGGGATAATCTATCTTGCACAGAAGGTAGTTTCTGCATGCCTGTCTCTTTTCAAGCCGATGTGATGGAGAAGCATTCATCAGCGTTGGTTGAAGTAATCAAAGGTTTGAAATACTCTTCCCTAATTAAGGCCGTCCGCTGGTACACCACATGCCGCATGTATCAAGACACCTAGTAATGAGGAGAAAGAGAACATTTCATGAAGAGAGCCGACTCCTTGACAGTTGATAATGTTGAACACCGTGTGAAGCATGATCATCACGCAGTTGTACGTCCATACAATACGTCACGCGAGGGCCCTGAGAAACCTTGGAATATGCCTCCATTTGCGAAGGTGGTTTTGTGTGCTAGTAGTGCCTCGAAGGTCAGAAACGCTGTAATCACAAACTGATTCTCTTTCCGGGATCAATTTTCTGAAATAGAACACCGCCAGATCTCGTAAATAGGTACTTGGTCATATGATCATCTTTCTTTCCCCATTCTCACTCTGAAAGCTGAAAGTGCATGTCGATTCAGTTCTATTGGAGGAGCAATGATTTCGAATCGACCGATCGAAATTGAATCCTGCATGTGAAGTTCTCGGGATGCCTAGAAACGTTCAAATATCAGATACGTGTCCCTTCCATGCAAGGACAGTCAACATACGAGGTGTGCTTGGCAGTAAAAGCTAAGAGAGGGCTGTACTCTAGGCCAGCCTCATCCAGAGGCTTCAGGATGTCGAATACTGCGAGTGTACGCGCTATGAATGTGAAAGCCACGCAGTTTGCCAAATGAACACCCAGACAATGACTAGGATGCAATGATGAGGCTCTAAACACTGTAAAGACCGTCATGTTGGTCGTACCGTCTGCCAAGGCCGAAGGTGATGTCCTGTGGATCCATCTGAGGTTGAGTGCCTGCAGTAAGGCTCCAACTATTTATACTATTTACACTCCTGAGGTGTAAATAAACAGTATATAGTAAATAGTTGTCTATATGTCATATAAACAGTTTATATGAAGTTTATATAGTTTTTTTGGTCTTATCTTTTGATGGAGTTCTACTCAACTGTGAGCAGCCTCTGTGATTGTTGAGGCCTTTAAGGAGCTGTGTGCATAAGCATGCACATGACAGTGAGCAGAAAATAAATATTCAATGTCAACACTTGCACCAGGAATGACAAGAAAATCTCATGTCATACAAGAAACTTATGTTCATGAGCCTATATGATGATCAACTGTCAGTGATTGCTTCTGTCGAACACTATGACTTTTAATTGGCTCACTGTTATGCTGTCAAATCTAGCAATTGTGCACTCAATAGCCTTAAATCATCATAAAACTATTTATACTATATACATACATCTATTTACTATGTACAGGCCCAACTGTAAATAAACAGATATAGTGAACAGTTAAAACTATGTAACATAGTATATAGATAGAAATGTTGGAGCCTTAGCCTGCAGCAGTTGCGAAACGTTCTGGATCAAAATGTTCAGGCTGGGGATATATCTCTGGATCACGAGTGATAGCCCTGACTAACAGTTTATGAGATGGCCTACTTTAAGAAAGTAACGAAACATACCAGGCGTTTGCGATTATGTAGGAGTTCTTAGGAATGTGAAATCCACGATACACATCATCAGTCAATGTGGTACGAGGAATAAGCGGCACAATCGGATTGATACGATGGAGCTCTTTGATGAGATATCCCACGTAGGGTAAGTATTCTTCATCAGACGGAGAAGGGAGGCGAGTGGGTCCTATAACTGCATCGATTTCCGCTTGCGCTTTCTTCTGAATCTCCGGATAGCATGCCATCACTAAGAAAAACGTAGTCATCAGGGATGCAGTCTGTATGATGAGTCAATTGCACATATTGTGAGCTCGCTAGACGGATCGCGACCCACAGTGTCTGTACCACCTACCGAAGTCATGATGAGTCGATGAGGATGAGTTCAGCTCGTGAAAAGGATATTTACCAGCATAGATGCTAGCTGCGACATGCTTGATGATGTCCTGAGCTTCCGCATTCGAGGAATCAGAGGCTTTCCCTGGAAGCCCCTCCATTGCTTTCGACGTGAATGAAGGGATGGCATGACCTTTCGCCTAATTCATCCATCAGCAGACGTCGAGATTCATGGTTTCTCAACACACACCACATTACGTTTGACCATTGCGAAAGGCGCATCCGTAAATTCTTCGCATTTCAGACAAGCCTGTTGAGCCCATTGTTTGAATTGAGCACCAGGCATCCATGAAGGAATGTGGCGGACTGAAGCAAAACAATCAGCGGCTTTGAGCTCTAAGCTATGATATTCAAAGTAGATACTCACGCCAATGCAGCGAATCTACCAGCCATCTACCTGGCTCTAGTGAATCTCTGGTGATTCGAGCGAGCTCATCTGCTAGCGCCACGAAATGGTCATTCTCATCTTCTACCTGATATCCATATGCAATCCGCAGAGCCACAGCCCCAATGTTTCTATAGAGGTCATCATGGCACGTCCACTATTGGAGAACTGAAGGCATACCTTCTGACATGACTCCTGAAGACTTCTGGAGTTGTCGAAAGTGCTTGTAAGAAGGTTATCGACTCCAAATCAATGGAGTCCCAGTAATCGGCTATTGCCCGGTGATTAAGCGCGTTGTGCATGTACTTCTTGTATGTGCGATATCGCTCTCCGTAAGGAATGAGAGTGAACGAATTCCTCCGACCAACGAGATCTGCAGCCATGACAGTTTGAGGCCTAGTGTTATATATCGACCCTCGTTTATCATAAAGCTCTATTGCGGCTCCAGCTGAGTTCAGGACGATATATTTCCGGCCGACAATATTCATGTACACCATGTCTCCTGGATAGCTTGGATTGAATGCAATGACCTCAATAATCCATGATAGTCGGGAATACCATAAAGCAGTCTCCATTTTGTAAACTCCTCACAATGGCGGTGCGCGGGGAGATGAAAGAGATTGCCGACCAACGGTAACGGCTTTGGACCTGTCGACAGCTGAACAGGAGGATTTAAACAACAGCAAGAGGAACACGTACCAGGTGGTAGAGGTGAGGTATGACGACCAGCCATCATACGGTATACGTATAGCACCGCAGTGCTGAGAAGAACCACACACACGACGGCGAGCATAGTGACCTAGCACAGGACATGAGAGTTATGTGAACCCATGTACGGAATTTTATACCGATAATGCGAGTGCATGACAGTTACGGTTGATTATGCTGACAACCTTACAATCCTGGTAATCGAGGTGGAAAACTGTAGTACCGTCCCGAACTAGACTATTTGGAGCGGCGCGGCGACGCATGATGGTTTTGGAGATTCTGAGAGATCGAACTTCAGAATACAATACGGAATTGAAGGATGGTGTTCTTCGGGGATAGTTACGATGCAGGAGGCCGCACACGCCGCAACATCACGACTCCATATGCTGTGGCAGATGACTCGTGTCGCTCGTCCAAGACATCCATCAGAAGCGTCGTGACGACGCTTCTTATGGATGCCGTCTCAATGATCTGATACGAGCTCAGGGGATGGCGGTTGTGAGACATTGGTGTATTTCTGTTGTATCTTCTGCACTTTGGCGCAGGCTGAGTATTATCTATCCTAGTCCCGTATGTTACCAAGCGCTCTGGCCGCCGGTGAAGCCTAGGACATGACCACAAGACGGACCTCAGTGTCACTGACAGCATGTTGCTGGAATTTCAAACGGTTCCATGAGAACGGGAGTCGCCACGCAAATGTCACGGTAAACTGGGCATTCTAAAGGACTCGTGAATAACATCTGAATCAGCGTTGGCATAATATCTGTAGAGTGCGCACCTCCATAGCGGCCACGTATGCAACTAGCACCACGCCGAGTTCACCCGGCGCCGAGCCGATGGTTGCTGTTCAGACCCGACGCCACCGACCCAAAACGTCGCATACGAATGGAGTCCTATTAAAAATCACAAATGGCTTCTAGTCCATAGGAAGCAGCCATTATGAAGGGCCGCGCCTCGCCAAGACGTGATGAAAAACTTGCTGAACAAACGAACGCGGCACAAATTTCCAATGCTCAAGCGCTCGAGTTGAAGCGCTACTTTGCGGACCATAAACTTTTGATATTGCAGGATGAGCGGGCTCATCCATAGTTATGGACTCCATCACACCCCAAAACTCAGGTTGTTTGAACGGCTTTACGAGAATTTACTATCAACTGCTCGAACATCTCGTCGCAATAGTCGCTCCGTGGCTTCATCAGAAAAATGTAACTTTTCTTTTTGTCTTCTTCTGGTACCTTGTCTCAAACAAAAAGTCAGGAAAGGCAATAATGTAGAAGAAAATACGAGAATCGCCACGAATCGTCTAATTCCTCACTTTTTCGTGTCCTTTTGCTTCCTTCACGACACTGATTTGCCCAGAAAGCAGCTTTCAAGTCCAGTTAAGGAACTTCATGGGAATTCCATCTTGGACATTTCTCATCATCGTCGGAGTATGTCTGACGTTCTTCATGACCGATTTGGGCATTTCATCCCATATCAAGGCCCCATGAGGCTAATACTTTTTCAAGTTCTGTGTGCAGCGCCGCGGTGCTTCCCCTATGGTTCCGAGTCTGTATTCTTCTTCTGATATCCCTTAGGGCCGTATTTTCTCTCACCTACCATAATAGATAATGATCCGTCAACATATGATTTTACTTCGGTCAGTTTTGCATCGCCGGGTGTCTCGCGACATCATCTGTCATCAAGCAGCTTCGTGATACTGAGATGGAGCGTTCTCGGTCTAAAATGGAAGACGATGAGAGCGGGACGTGCTGGAGTCCCGTTTTCCGTCTCTCCAGCGACCTTTTTCGACCGTTCTCAGATTAGATAAGTTAAGACTCGACTCTTATTCGCCGTCAACCTTCAATAATCCTTCGTTCATCTGGAAACCCAACCATGGAGAGCAGACTGTCTCAAGTCGCCGATATCAGTGGAAAGCGTTTCGACTTCGTCATTGTCGGTGAGATGGAAGGGCCTCGTTGCACACCTGGAAAATACTCACAGTCATCGTGTTTTCAGGTGGTGGGGTAGGAAGTTTCTCTCTCAGACATCAGCGACCGCGGCATTCATCCTCCGTTTCCAGACGTCGGGCCTAACCCTTGCGAATCGCCTTAGCGAGAATCCTAACGTTGCGGTCGTCGTTCTTGAAGCTGGAAAGGCCCATATCGATGACCTTCGCATTCGTGAGCTCATTTGCAGTGTATAACGTTGCTAATAATGTGACCATTGTGCTCAGTGAGTCCTAATGGTTGGCTGCAACAAATCATGCAACCCGAGTATGACTGGAAATTTTCTACTGTCCCTCAAGGTCATGCTGCAAACTCAGCCCTTGTTTGGAGTCGGTGAGTACTGAGCATGCGTGCGTTTATTTGCAATATTACGTATGTAAATGTATTATATAGGGGCAAGGGTCTTGGCGGTAGTTCTGCACTGAACCTGATGCTGTGGACTAGGCCGCAGCGCGAGGACATTGACGGTCGGTTGTGTTCAATTCCATCGTACGGGACTCACTAAAATATCTCTAGCCATCGAACGACTCGGCAACCCTGGTTGGAACTGGGACCGCTTCCACGAATACTCCAAGAAGAGCGAGAAGTTAGCCTTTGTTTTGACACCTAGGCTACAGCTGATTTAAGTGGCGTAGATTTGTACCGGTGGTGGCCGCTTCACCTAGTGAATATAAAGATTTGATTGAGGAGAAGTCTGTGGGATCGAATGGTCAATATATTCGCTCCCCTCCATCTTCCTTATCTCAATGTAGAAAACCTCAGGCCCTATTCCAATCTCCTTTGTTCCCACTAGCTCTGGTGCCGAGGCTCCCTACCAGAAGGTAATTCAGTCCTCATATAACAACAGTCATTTGACATTCTGACGCATGCTGCAGAGTCTTGCAAAGCATGGTGTTCAACTTTCTCATGATTCTGTAAGTTTCCCGTATATGTCCACGTATCAAGCTGTTTCATGACTTGGTTGCGACGGCTATGACATTCGCTACAGCTGAGTGGAGAGGTAAGCGCATCGCGATCGAGGGGATAAGCAGCCTGATGAGACAAATAGACGACGGGAACATGGAAATCTCTGTCCGTTGTAGATCCCGAGACAGGAAATAGGAGCTATGCTTCCAATGTAAGCTATACAACCATTAGCTCCATTGACGCGGAACTTACAGTACACATGCATATAGGCATACCTGCTCCCTGTCATCGATCGCCCGAACCTGAAAGTCCTCACTGAAGCCTATGTCACAAAGATCGTCACCTTGAGGGATGGCGGCGAGTTGAATGCCAGCGGGATTGAGTTTGAATGCAATGGACGCACATATACAGTGTATGCTGGTAAAGAAGTCATCTTGTCTGCCGGGTAGGTCTTCCCATGTTGTCGCGCATATCGCCCTATAATGTTCTCGGCAGTGCCATCAAAACCCCGACCATCCTTGAATTGAGCGGTATCGGTGACCCTGCTATCCTGGAGCCCCTTGGCATAGTTGTCCAGAAGGATCTTCCGGCCGTTGGGGCGAACGTCAGAGACAAGCTTTATACCAGGATTGTATTAGGTATATTGATTGATCATTCTCTCAGCCATGGTAACTGAAACATCTCCAGAAATGCAAGATGGCATCGTGAGCAGCAACCTGCTCAAGGATCCAAACTTTCAAGAGAAGTTGCGCAGTTCCCAGTAGGCTTCTAGTTTCGTCTCGTTCCTTGTAGTCGCTCACAATTGCTCATATAGCCCCAACTTGAAGGGGCCATTCACCTTGGCGATGACTGGTGTCACCTTCCTTCCTGTCCAGGCATTCTCGGAGAACGCGAATGCGATAATTGAACGATGCGCTGAGAAGATTTCTGCAGACGCCTCAGCGTACCCTCCTGGTGTGAAGGAGCAACTTGATATACAGCTCGATCTCCTCAAAGATGAAGCGGTTCCGGATACTGAACTCCTTGTTACGCCGTTCTCCTTTGCACCACCCAGTGCGTTTCGCTTGTTGTCCGTGGCAATTTATATCTCACATTGCTCTCAGTTCAGGGAAGGCCGTACATTATTCTTGCTGTATGCGTCAGTCACCCTTTCTCCCGAGGCAGCATTGTCAGTGCCCATAATTATTCCTCGATGGCCACAGTAATTTATTTGCATCCATCAGCATATTCAATCCGCGGACCCCAAGGTCGCCCCACTTATCGATCCGCACTACTTTGAAGAGAGTGTGGACTTGGATATCATAGTCGAAGCAACGAAATTCGCGCGCAAGGTTGCACAGACAGAGCCTTTCAAGAGCATAACCGTACAGGAAGTTGTCCCGGGGCCTAGCGTAATCACCGACGAGCAGTTACGTGGTGGGCATAGCTTAACTGTCGAAGGCTCTCAAACGATGCTGACGTCTACTTATTAGATACGGTGAGGAATAATCTGTCTACAATCTGGCGTGAGTCTAAAATCTGTCTGATTCGTCCTTGGATCATTGATTGGAGCGGCGACAGACACTGTGGGTAGCGCGTCCATGCTGCCTGAGGACAAAGGCGGTGCGGTGGATGCTACACTCAAGGTAGGGGAAATGATTTCGCACCTTTTGCTATCTATAACGATCAACAAATATAGGTATATGGCACGAAGAACATACGCATCGTGGACCTTTCCGTGATACCGCTCCCAATTGCTTCTCATACTCAAAGTAAGTCGGAATATCAACGTTCTGTCCAGTGATACTGAACGCATCGCAGCGGTAGCCTACGCGATTGCTGAACAAGGTTGGTACAACTATTTGCGTATGATGGTCGCTCCGCTTACTACGATTTGCATAGCTGCTGATATTATCAAGGCGATCCATAACATCTAGTTCGAGCTTCTACATTGACCTCATGAAATGTACGCAGCTCGCTTCTGCAGCAAGGTCTTGCATGAGGATGCTTCGCATATGTTTGTCTGTTCTCAGACCGTTGCGTGAAGTATTTCTGTGTTTGATTGTGCCAGAACGTGTATGTCAGTGGCTCGTTATGAAGGACCTGACGCATTCGGTCCCGCCCGTGCCACATCGTATGTGAGATTGAGCCGTCCCACAGCGCCGGCGACGAGCTTACTTGTCATTTTGACCGATAATACCCACCGGTCAAACTTACCACCCTTCATGTGACTGAGGGATGAGCGACGCATATGTCAAAACCAGGCTTGTGCATGAGTCTCCATTGCATTTGTTTTTCAGTAAGCTTACCGTACCTTGCACTGTCCTGGTATATGATAACCGCAGTGTACAGCAGACCGTAGATACTAGAATGCATTGTGGTTGCATTACATGCACCCGAAGTAGATTCAGTTCGTTGTAGATGGTTCATAAGGACTAGTATAGCCTAAATAACGACACATAGTTATTGGGAAGTACACAGACTCTGTGTACATACAATCCGATGCAACGTTTTCCAGTGCCACCGGGATCATCATTGTGGCGCATAGGATTCGGACTGGGGGCAGCTCTGACTCTTACTCTTTATATCCGTGCAATGCTATAGCTATGGCTTTGCGCCATTATGAAGGGGTCGACGTAGTACGAGCGAGCGTCCTGTCCTACAGATATCCACGCTTCCAGACCGGATAATCATCCGGACGAGGCAACAGGACAGATCATATAAACGTGTTATGGACGGACGATATTAACAGGCTATATTATACTACGACATTATGCGATACAAGATGCAGCTAGAGAGGAGAAACGAGACCTTAGACATGAAAGGAAGGAGAAATAGATCATGATGAACTTGAGGAGACGTAAAAGGGTATCACTGAGGTATTAGGGTATTTTCGACGATGCAGACCGAAAAAAGAGATAGACAAGAAGATTAGAGAGGACAAGAACTCCAGACATCCGATCTAGAACATAAGGATGAGAAAGTTTGTGGGCATACAAAAACTGAATGACTTACAGCAGCAGAGAAAGACGAATATTAAAATAAACAGAAAGAGGGCACAATATATGAAGATAATCGGGAATAAGACAGCGACAACGCAGGAAAGGGGGACCAGAAATCAGACGATGGACGGACGACAGCAAAACACGAAGGGCAATGACGAACGACAGCCAGACGACGAAGACAAGATGACGAGGAGCCAGAGCAGACAACATGGCAAGACAATGACATGGAGAATGTGCAGAGATCCAAAGAAGGTCACGAGCACTTGAATCCTGACAAGCAACGACTTTCAGTCCAGCGGGCGGGAACATCATGGAAGAGGCCAGTGAGAGGAGCAGTCACGAGCTCAAGCCGGTGGTACCACGTTGACGGAATCACGGCAAGCTGAGACAGAAGGGCACGGAGAACGACGTCCAAAAATGCGAGACCAGAAGCTCGAGAGCACAGGGCTCGAGGATTGAGAAACGAGAGGCAGAGACATCGAGGAAGAGTTGCCAGAGATCATAGAAGACGAATCAGAGGAAGACGAATCATCGACAGTCGACGCGGGAGAGGTCATGATGCAAGAACCAGCAGAGTCAGACAGACTCGAGGCGCGATGAACAGCCACACTAGAGTCGAGAGACTCCTCTTGAGAGGCACTTGCGGATTGACGACCCAACAGACGTTGCCAGAAGGTCGGCTGCGAGAGCATCGATAAAGAGGTCGACGTTGGGTTTCCAGGCACCGGGCCAGATGTTGCAGTCGCTGATGTGTAGACAGAAGCGATGTGTGTCTGACCTGCGGCTGGCGGTGCTGACGGCGTGTTTAACGTAGCGATGGACAAAGACTCTTCAAGCTGGGAGGCCGTTTTCATCTCGCTGTTTGCCTAATGGAAAAATGAACGTCAGACAGCAACTGGTAGACAAAGACCAGAGAAGCTCACCGTGAGGCTCGCCAGCCCACTCTCATCCCGGGCAGGGGACAGCCTTGCGCGCGATGCAAGCGGAGCAAACTCCGCTTGAGCGCACACGCAAGGGCGAGGCGGGCTGTGATAGCCAGTGGTGGAAACCATCGTGAATCCTGTGGAATCGCCTTCAAGAAACTCAGACGCATTATCCTATGGTCAGAAATATCAGGGAGAACGAAATAAGCTCATAGCTGCCGTCTGACGTACCGGATCATAGGCAAAGAAAACTTCGTCCTCGACGATCTTCTCCTCAACAGTCTCACATGACGAGATGGGCTCTGGAGCAGGCTCAGGTTCCGGTTGCTTCTCGTCGTCCTTCTCAATCAAACGACCTTTCCCCTTCTCTGCGGCAGTGATCCGTGCGATCTCTTCATCCTCCTCCAGGATATAGCTATCTTGAACAATGCCGATCGGGAGCTCGGAAGTAGCCGCAGGGAAGATCGCCGTGGTCATGTCTTTACTCGGTCTCTCAGAGCCAGAGCCGTGAACGAAATCCTCCCCTGCAGAGGAACGCGGAGAGGAACGCCTGAAAAGCCTTGACCAAAAGCCACCTCGCCTAGGAGCCGATGCTTCTTTTGGTCGCTCAGGTGCAGCAGCCGTCAGAGAACCCGCAGTTGATGGCGTTATCACATCAATCTATGCAGTCACGATGTTAGAAACATACAGTGCATTATGAGAAACTTTACACTCACCGTCGAACTCTCATGTCTCATTCTATCTCCAGCAAAAAGTGCCCCAATTTGCGCGCCGGATGTGGACTGCACGACAACGGATGGCGGGCTGTCAAGGTCAACAACGGCAACTGTCAAGCCGTCCGAAGAGCCACTTGCGATGAACTCTGAGTCAGTCTATACGAGGAGGATTGTCAGTGTTGCTGCGTAAACAAGGACGGTAACAAAGTACCTGTTCATACGCAGCAATGATCTCCTCCTCCCAGTCATAGTCGTCCTCCACACTGCCGGAGCAGCAAACCCTGCAAGCATCGGCATTCAAGTCGCCACCGTCACCGTCGTCATATTTGTCCTTCCCGTCGTCCTTCTTGCCATTGTCGATCTTGTCTCTTGGTAGTCCAACCCGAGGATGTTCGTCGGCATCCGCGCCGTCTATGTCACCTTCGAGTCCTGTCCGAGTCCCTATCAATATACCCCTTTCAAGCCACCCGTACGGTGCGCCAGGGTAGCCCGCCACACATAGAGGCCATGAGACAAAGCCATCCATGGAGTTGCCGTCCGCCGGAACATTTGCGAATTCGACCTTGCACACCTGAGGCAAAGGAACTGCCACCTCGCGGATGTCACTGGCTTGAAGAGTATGCATCACGCGGGATGCAGGCTGCATGTCGCGCCCGAAGACTTGGACTGTGACAGGGCGGCCGATGGTGTCATCGCGACCGTCGTGCATGAAGAGCTCCTTAGGGACGCCGCAGGTTGAACAATCGAAGATCCACTCCTTGCCTTTGTCGTGCCACTGTCCCGGATAAGGCCAGAGAGCCTGGAACCCATGCCACTGCACGAAGTCCAAGCCGTACACGTGCTGCGCCTCGATGACGGTGCCGACGGCAGCGGCGTGCTCCGCTGATTCCGGTTCCATCTCGCCGTCATCTTCGTCCCGACCAAAGGCCGCACCGATACGTCTGTAATTATAGAGTGAGATGAGTGTGTTTGCAATCACAATGAAAACATGAAGCATACCCAAGGATGTGGAGATCATCGTGTTCAGAATGGTCGCCTTGAAGCTGCTCGGTCGCGATGTCGCCAAGCTCACAAGCTTGAATCACGTCAAGATCTTGCGAGCTTTGTTCCTCTTCTTCCTCCTTGTCCTCGTCATCGTCATACTCATCCTCGTCATCGTCATACTCATCCTCATAGCGTTTGGCGGTGAACAGGCGCCTAATTATTTTCAGCAATGAGTTCAGCAAATAAAATTGTATACGTACTGGAAGGCCACCATGTCGTCTTCTGAAGGTTGAGTAGTGCCCTCGGTGATGATCTGCACCGAGCATTCTCCCCGAATATCGAAGTCCTCCGGCTTGTTGACTGACTGGTCCTGATCCTCAGCATCCTCATCCGCCTCGGTCAGTGTCCCTAAGGCGGATTCGCGAGCTGCCGAAGGCTTCGGACCGGCCTGCTTATCCTTGGATGTCCAGGTGGAACTGTGATACACCGGCCGGACCGCCTTCGCCTCCGCGCGACGACGCGCCTGCACTCTCCCAGCAGTCGTGATGTCGCACGAGTCGGTTCGCATGGAAAGACCGCCATGCTGCCAGCCAGGAGTAGGCACCGTGAGGAAGCCAGCTTTGTCGGCCCCATCACGCTCGGTAGCCTCAAGCCTAGGTAACAATGATGGTCAATATGTGTCGAATATCGAAGAAAGAAGCGGCTTACGACTGCTCCTCCTCCTTGGCATCCTCGTCCGTCTCAGATAGGATCTCCAAGACGGGTTCGCGTGCCACGGAACGCCTCGCGCCGATGGGCTTGCTCCTAGGTGTCCAGGTCGAGCCGAGGTACACCGGTCTGACCGCTTTCTCCTCCACGTGACGACGCGCCTGCAGGGCCCTGGCGGTCGTGACGTTGCGCGGGATGTTCTGTCTGGAGAGCCCGCCGTACTGCCGGTTAGGAGTCGGGACAGTCAGAAAGCCAGTCGGACGCCAAGCCGGCCTCGTGGATGCAGGCGCCGTCTTGTCAGCCTCGTCGCGACGTTCATCCTTGCTCCTGAGCAGGGAGGGTCATAAGAACATGCGAGATGGTAGAGAACGCAACGACTCACGACTGCCGCTCGGAAATAATGCGGACATCCGCCATCTCCAGAGGAACCAGGTCCTTCACCTCTGGAAAAGCTGCGGATGGTACATCGTCGGCATCGATAATGTTGATGATGGCGATGACTCCCTTCTCCACATTAGAGAGTTCGTTGGTGGTCTCAACAGAGCGTTTGGAGTCCTCGAAATGATTCTTCCCGCTTGTTGTAGATCCCACCGTGTGTTCGTCAACTGCGACGACTGCATTCTTCACATGCAAAAATACGTTGGTGGCCTCGACAGAGCGCTTGGAGTCCTCGAGATGATTCTTCCCACTCATTGCCGATCCTACCTTGTACTCTTCACCTGTGGTGACTGTGTTCTTCACAGTGGATAATCTTCCGGTGGTTTCGACGGAGTGAATGGAGTCCTCGAAATGATTTTTCCCACTCGTCGTCGGCTCCACCTTGGGTTCTCCGTATCCTGGTGTGCCACTTGCATCGACCTGCACAAGCGGATCCGTGAGGTGCTCCTTGTCGAGCCTAAATAATCACGCATGAACGTTCATATACGTGAGCAAGACGCAATTGGGGACACTCACAACTCCTCGGGGACTGCAAGGGCGACATCGAGCGTGTTGACCTCAGCGTCGTTCTTGAGCTCGGCCAGAACGCCCGACACAGGCTCGACCACGTCTTCCTTGTCCATGTCCTGTCTGTCCACCTTCGCATTGACCTTGGGAGCGACGGTCCACCACGCCTCCACATCCTGCTTCCCACCCTTCTCAAGACTAGACGAGCTCTTGAGCGGTTCACGGCGAGGACTCGTCTTGAGAGAGCTGAGCCGCGGAACCTGGGAAACCGTAGGACGGCGAGCGGCTGGACGGGGAGGAGCCGGGACCGAGGTAACCTTGCGAGGCACAGTCTTGCCATGTACCTCGGGTCGGCGTACCAGACCTGGAGTGGCTGCGATGGGACGGCGGGCAGAAGACGGCGCGTCCGCTCGGGGCTTGGGCGGAGACCTCTGCACAGCTGCAACGAGAGCGCGTGCAGCTGTGGCCTTGGTCGGCCGAGCGAAGGACGGGACATTCTCCTTCGCGAGTGCGCTGGCCGTTCGAGAGAGACGAGGAGGAGGCTGAGCTTGACTGACGGGTCCATCCTACATAATAAGTCAGGATGAGTCTCTGCGTCGGATAGCGAATAGAAGTGCATGCATGTACCTTGCGCGCGATGGCGACGGGGGTCGACAGCCTCCGGGCGGAAGCTGGGGTGGCTGAGCCTCCAGCGATGGGTGCCTTCTTGACCGAGGCTCCGATGCGGGGCTCAGAGGAGGAGCGAGAGTGCTGCTTGAGGGCGGCGGTTTGCATGTTGGGCTTGTTTAAGGGTTGTCTTGCGAGGTGAACTTGCAGGGCGACGGGCGAAAATAAGATCAACGACAAAGAGAAAGGAACGGCAGCCGCAGTCCCTCTATATATCTTGCATGGCTGACACGGATTGCCATCGGGCCTGCCTATGCTGGTGTAGACGGAAGGTCTCAGTTGCAATGTCGACTAGTGATGCTAACCTGACGATGGTCTCCCTTGACTAAGAGGACATTTACCGAGTTTTATCTCTGCCTGTCAATGCCTATAAGCGGAGGACAGAAACACCGCAATCTGCAAGCAGCAATCCAAGAGATACAGTTCAAGAGTATCGCCTTCTAAGTTCTTCGACAGGACGTGCGCAGACACTGCGGGCCAAGAGCGAGAACCATTTTGAGAGGCTTTTCCAGAGTACATAGAGTCTACTTTCGACCAAATGATATCCTGAGGGGAGTTTGCCAACGGCGACAATGTTGATGACATTGCGAGCTTGTAATGTCAGGGTGAGCACTGAGAGCGTTAAAGAGCCGCCGACCGCTGCGGTTTAGCGCTCATGCGCGTGCCGTGGAAGGCCGTCCAGCACGAGAGTGATCTCTTACCGCGGAAAGTTTCTCACCGTCATCGTGGTTGGTAACGAGGCAAATCATTGCTCTCAACTGTATTGGCTCCAACGCAGTCAAAGAAGGGCTGGTGTTCCATGGTACAATGTTGCGAATATCGTGAAGACTTGACGGAGCTGAGAGCCTGAGGCCTGAGTACTGAGTACTCAACCCAAGCTCGATCGCTGTCAAGATGTGCACTGTTTTTTGCAGATGTCTAATAATATGTAGACCATGAGCTGTTCTTAACGCAGCAGAGACATATACATACACAAAAAAGATCAGCGTCGCGGTATTACACCGCAGACATGAAGCGATTTGCGCATGTGGCAAATGCTTAGCAAATGTCGACAGGTTTTTTGCCTTTGTGATCTCAATTTGCTACGGTTCCTCCCCACATTCCATATTAAGTATTTGCATATAATATGTTGGAGGCAGAAATTTAATATCATATGTTTAAGAAATGACACCATTTCAAACTCAAATACATTTAGAATTTGAGTGCTGTTGAATGTAATCATACATTTTGGAATTTCAAACTATGACATGTATAAAATATCCAGTAGCAGATGAAGGTGTAATTATGCCTACATTCTACTTCCCTACTGAAGTCATTCTAACCAAGATTACTAGAATGAAAGTCATTCACCGTAATTACACCTTCATCTGCTACTGGATATTTTATACATGTGATGGTTTGGAGTTCAAAAATGTACAATTACATTCAACAGCGCTCAAATTCTGAATGTATTTGGTGAGTTTGAAAATGGTGTCATTTCTTAAAATATATGATTTTAAATTTCTGCCTCTAACATATTATATGCAAATACTTAATATGGAATGTGGGAAGCAACCATAGCAAATTGAGATCACAAAGGCAAAAAACCTGTCGACATTTGCTAAGCATTTGCCACATGCGCAAATTGCTTCATGTCTGCGGTGTTAGGGCGCGTCGCGTATGCTGCCACGCTCACATTTCGTGGTCTCGTGACCGCGTTGAGAGCCCTTGTCGTTTGCTCAAGAAATTCCATAAACTGGCGACGTTCTTCCAAATTGTTTTGTAACGGAAAACATAGCGAACGCGATCAACAGCTCAACTATAGCCTCGGAAGATGCTTGCAAACCTCCAAACAATCCACGGTCCAATCCGCAATGCGCGCTCCTCCCACATGGCAATGTGACGGTGAGTCTCCCGCCCTCTCAATCGGGTCGTTCCTTGCCATCAGCCCTGTTAGCCTCGCCCTCGCTCACATATAAAACGCTTGCTTTCCGACCGCCATGGCTCCCGCACCGCAGCGTGGTCGCTCCCCACCTTCGCGTCCCGTTCGCCATGATCATCCCCTTGCCCGCCGAAGATGCGTCTGTGGCTGACCATCACGCCCATGTCTCAGAGTCAGACTCTAGCCCGAATACCCCCGTTCACATGCCATCCACCCTCTGCGACACCTTCTGCGAGGGGTCGTCTTCGTCATACTCGGCCTCTGTGTCTGATAACGATCCCTCGGCCTATCACCATGAGCATCGTGCGAACCAGTTACCGAGCGAGGTCAATGAACGCTGGGGCTTTCCGTCCCAGGCATTGAACCCCGTCACGCGTAATACCTTGGGACTATATCTCCCGTACGTCCTGTCAATTGCTATTCGACCCACCGACTCATGTAAATCCTTCTGTTGCTCCTCCTCCCGTGGATCCTTGTTCGGCCACATTGCATTGTAGACAAGGCAGGAACCAGTCAATGCTGGGGTCGCTTCAGGTTTCCGGTCTATCTTCCTGGGACTCTTCTCCGATTAATGCTGTGCAGCCGACCACGGACGTGTCGTCTCATGCGTCGCCAGCAAGGACGTCTTCAGTAACTTTCATATCTGTAGTCGATCGTCGCTGAACGTTGAACTGTGAGCACGCAACCTCCTTCCCTCTATATTTTGTGACTTAAACTTGGGATCACACGCTAAAGCCCGATAATCTCTTGTGCACCCTTGTGTCAGCCGATCATATCGCCGATCATATGCACGATCTTCCAACGTATCTACATTCTCTATCATAATGAACACAATATCTGCTCATTTTCTCCTCCCGATTTGTATTGTACGAACTGCCATCCTCTCAAGAATATGCTCGTGTACAGAGTCATGCCGCCGTTCGCAATCCTCGGACAATGTGGTTTCCGAGCAAGGCAGCGCGACGCTGGAGAACGATTCCTGTCATCATGATTCATGATCTTCTTGTGTATCGACAAGACCTAATGGAATTTGGCCTTGGACCGAAAGAAGAAGTAGGAAAGAGCACCCCTGCGTCAAGGACGTTCCATGACAGCTGCATCGATGCACCATCTTAGCGTTCCAAATATCGCGGTGGCAGGTTCTTCGAGATCAATATTCTTTCTGTCGTCGATGTGCTCGCAAGCTGTGAGTCTCAGATCATGATGCTCATGGACACAATTCCAATGCTAGTTCTTGTACGTGTTCTTCATGGCTTCTATCGTTGCTGAGCTACCTCAGTGTAGTCGTGCAAATAATGTTAAGGCTACTATGACAGAAGAGAGCTTAGCGAAGGCCCGATGAGACCTCCAGCTACTTCAACTGGAGCGGCGAGCCTGTAAGCGCGTCTCTTGGATGACTTCTGCTGAAGATGTCTAATGTTACAAGCTTCAGAATCCAAGAGACGGTAATAATCCCGCTGCAGTCGCAATCTCGACTTCGATTTTACACAAATCAACATGACGAATTTGGCTTCCATTTTCAGTACGCGCTGTACTCATAATTGTCGAGGCGCTGTTATGATGTATTTTCCAGTTGCTTTCCTTCCATGGAACAACAAGAAGGTGCCTGTTGAGTTCCTAGTAGCTGTCTTTGTGCACTGGTGGGCACTGTTTCTGCTTCGCAGATGCTAATATGTGAGAGGACCCTGAGTATGATGGTATGAGTCGATTGTCTTGGGAAACCTTATACGTCACTCATCAATCAATCAGCAAGTCTAGTACAAGCTATGTAATGATTGTGCAGGTCAGACTCTGGCGCCGGTAGGTGAGCCGTGTCCCCCCATCGCAATCTCTGCCATTTTTACAGATTTCTAGAGGAATAATCACAGACAATGATGGCCCTACTGCCTGCCAAGAAGTACTTTTGTACCGTACATGGCTCGACAGTATGGTATTCCTGTGACATGTAGGATAATATTGTTGAGTCAGTGTCGTCAGTGAATTCAATTTTCTTGGATTACTGCCCGCTGAGTGTTCGTTATGTGTGCAGATGTCATACGTCATATTCATCTACACGGCAAGGCCTCCAATACTCAATCGAGCAAACTCGACCTTGGCTTTGTAATCCGTGACAGTACAGTTGAACATGCGCAGCCTTTTAGGCACCTTACGGCACCATGAAAATCAAGCGTTGCTACATGGCTCACCTAGAGTTGAGCGCTCGGTCGTGCACGGGCATCTGTCTACCTTCCCTTGCACTCTGCCCTCGGCCGTCAATGCATCCCGATACTACTGTCCCACAGTCACGTATACGCATCATTTAGCTGTTGTCCTCGGCATACGACCAAATCGCACACACTACCCCTCTCGGAAAGCCGCCTTTCAGAGCATATAATGCCGCAGGGAGTCTCATGAATCTTATAGAACCCCGTACAACCCATCTAAGCTTGTTCTGACTCCTCCTGCCTCTCCCCGCATGCTCTTCCGACCCCCACGTGGAAGAACTTCAAAGCTCCCCTCGCTGGCGTACATGATGGATAGTGATGCGATCCAATCCAAGCCCATCATGATGGATGGCGAGCTATCTATGCCATCTGATCGCGATGTGGCCGGCGTGCATCGTTGGCTGCGAAGCGGGCATTGCCGCCAGCCGCTGAAGGCACTAACATCAATATTCCTCATCCTCACATCGTCTATCCGTCATGTGCTTCTGCCAGTGCGGAAGAGCATAGGCCCACCGACAGTCTCGGGCTCTATTTGGATACCTTATATCCTGCAGCACCTGCTGTGTCTCCGTACGTCTGTATCCTTACGCTCAAGAATCTCAAATTGCTCATATGCGCGGTGCGAGACTAGTCGCTGGCCAGCCTATTCATGCTCCTCAATGTCTTCGGGTGTTCCCGACCCATGCTCATACGGTTCACATGGAGCGCATGATGCTGCGACTCACCTCCCCGTGCTCTCATCCACGCATTCGTGTACAAATGCTCGTTTTGCTGGAATGCTGCATCGTCCACTCCCATTCCCACTCCCGACGCCACCACCACTCGGCCGCGGCCAGCGGAAGACGAGGTAGCCGGGAAGAAGCGAAGAGACAGAATAATAGGTATGTGATGATAATCGCACAAGGCGATACACGATAGCTCAATAAAAATGTAGCACGATAGCTTTCTCGCACTTGACTGGTGCTGATTAATGTACTTTTATGATACGAGTGCCCCAAACATCAGTAACTTTCTCTCTCAGTATCCTGTGATGATCGATGGCAATGCACAACACAGCAACTTGCATGCAGAATATGAATTTAGCGCAAGGCCTACCACTCGTCGTTCCACGGCATTGTGTCTTAATCTTTGACTCTGAGGCTCTGAGCTCGCGACACGGCGGTGGCTGTACATAGCAGCGGTACACTGTCGGACACGGTCTCGTGACCCACATCACGTCTTGACACTGCCACGGACGTCGAACCTCTCCTGCTCTTACCTCTATGCTTCCGGTCCTTCACGACCCATCTGGTTAGACGGATATCCTCTTCTGTTGATAAACGGTGTTCCATTCCCTTTTGCTGTTGCAGCGGATCTTTAAGCGGGACGCTCAGGTTCGCTGGCGAATAAACCGCAGTGCGTTGGCGAATGCCATTGTCCGAAGGCATGCTGCTCTTGATGCTTGGAGGCCAGCACTCATATGCCAGTGTCCTGCTGCACATGCTGTGACGTGTGAGGAACCGGTCAAGTGCGGCTTCCGTATATCCAGTCCGTGTATAAATGCTCGTTCGGTCGTCCCTCGAACGCACGTCTTGCATTATCTCAACTCTTTAGCGCGTCCGCTCCTCAGCACTATGTCAACCTGCTGTTTCAATGATAACTCCGTACCTGCTTATGCGTTAGTTTGCATGAGACGTCTCAATCTCTTATCTGCGTCCGGATATGCCGGCACCGTCCTCGTTGCCCCACGCACGGAGTGTCACAGCTGTTGCTGCTCCCCGGCTCTTTCGGATACCTGTGCAAACTCCCATTGCATGGCATGCACGAAAGTCGACAGTCTCGGATTATACACTGATACGTTACGACGACCGTGTTCCGATCATTGGTATGTCGTCTGCACAAGTACATCCCGCTAGTTACTTACTGTCTCGTTGCCCATGGTTCCAAGTCCGTGGCTCGTCCTTCCACAGCCTCCAGCAGCAGAGGGTCCCGCGTTGCAGAACGCATGGTATCCAGTGGAGGACATGTACAGCCCTCTGACCGATTGCTGCTGCCTGTCTCCGCTTGCGCTCGACGACACAGCGCTGACAAAAGACGATCTCGCTACGATAGGATCTCCGTTTGTGATCCCCGGCGCGATTACGGGATCGCAAATCGATGCGTACGCCTCAAATGAGATCCATGATTGCCGACGCGCCAACGAACCGTGTGCTGATCCTACATTACCAAGGTGATTGGTATCACTTCTGCCTCCAGCTATGTGCTGATCCCAATGAAGTGCATCCGAGTTTGCACAATTGACTGCTAGATTTGCGGCAATTTCGCTAGATGATCAGCCGCCCGTGTACAAATATCACATGAAGGACGCATCCGCAAGCTCACCTGCGTTATTTTATTGAGGACAGCTCGAGCCTGACCTTTCAGAGAGGCTGCAAATGTATGCAGTCAATATATGATCACTCGTATGAATATCCAGTTGCTTCGTCCCCTGCTCTCCGTGAAGTCCGAGAATCGACGATCTCGGCACTCCTCAGGCCTCAATCTTTGTTCATGCGGCAGATAAGTGACAACCCACTGCATCCTACTATCGCAGTAGCGCGAACCACGTATTTACGGGCGCGCACCGACCAGCGGGCACCAAATAATGCACATCGTTAAGGATCACATGAGTGCCGCCAGGTCGTGGGTTTATCGTGTGGAACGACAGCGCAATTTCTGAAAATTATTGATCTATCGCTTGTACTGTTTGTGCGGAGGTCCAATATCGAGGGTGAACATGGTCTCGTTAAGAGCCCGGTAGACATGCTTGTACGAACACATAAGCGGACATAGCTTCCAGGCACCGAGGAAGCCGAAGAATCATTGTCATCTTCCGAGGCAGCGAGAGAAGGTGGCTCGTTGAACGTGGCCGAGATCCCCAAGAGCTCCTCGATAACACTTCCTCGTCCCTCGCGCAGGCGTTCCCACCGATCGCGACCGTGTATCCATATGGCGCTCCCGTGCTTCCGAGCCATCAGAAGCTCGTGATCACCTCAATGGCCGACTTCCCACCGATATCCTTCGCCCTCGCTGGTGCAGGCGAGCACCCCTTGTCTCGTGCTCGACACAACAGCCGATCTGTCATCATCTCCCGCTCCAATAGATCTGCCACCCCTCATATACCCACCGCCATCCTCCTCCTCCTCCTGCTTCCCCTCTGAACGACCCACCTAGCATGCAGCAGAAGGCTCCGCTCACGCTGCACGTCCTCATCGTCGGCTGCGGCCTCGGCGGACTCGCCGCTGCTCACTGCTTAGCGGCGGCCGGACACCGCATCACGCTCTTCGAGTCAGCGTCTGCGCTCGGCGAAGTCGGCGCGGGCATCCAGGTGTCCCCAAACGTGACGCGCCTCTTCCAACGCTGGGGCCTCGGAGATGCGCTCGCGCGTCTCGCGGTCGAGCCCGAGGCGATCGTCCTCCGCCGGTACAGTACCGGCCAGCGCATCGGGTACGCGCCGCTCGGGAGGTTTGCGGACGCGTCGAGCGAGGCGTACTACAACGTCCATAGGGCAGACCTCCACCGGCTGTTGTTCAAGCTCGCGGAGCCGAGGATGACGCTGAGGCTTGCATCGACAGTCGTGCATATCGATCCGGAGAAGCCGTCGGTGATGCTGGCATCGGGAGAGATGGTGGAGGGCGACGTGATTATTGGTGCTGACGGGATTAAGAGCTACGTGCAGCAGGTGGTACTGGGGCAGTCGAACCCTGCGCAGGCGACGGGTGACGCGGTGTATCGCGCGATCATCCCGGCCGAGCTCATGCTAAAGGACCCGGACTTGCGGTCGTTTGTGGAGAAGCCCGAGATGACGGTCTGGATGGCACCGCGGCGGCACCTGGTGGGATACAACATCGTGCGTTTGCCCTTTTCTGAACGCAGATTGCACTCTGATCAGGATGTGCGCCAGCGCGCGAAGGAGTTCTACAACTTCGTGATGGCGCACCCGGACAACGGATCGGTAGAGTCTTGGACAGCGCAGGGGAATATCGCGCGGATGCGGGAGGAGTATGCTGATCTGGAGCCGCGGTAAGCGCGAGCGTCTCCTATGCATAGGCACGCTGATGCGCCTGCAGCGTGCAGAAGATGCTCAACTTTGTCACGTCGACGCTCGAGTGGCGTCTCATGGACCGCAAGCCGCTTCCGACGTGGGTACACCCGTCCGGACGCGTGACGTTGCTTGGAGATGCGTGCCATCCTATGCTTGTACGTTCTGCTGGGTTTCGCTCGCGCTGATGCTTAAACGGTCATTACAGCCGTATCGCGCACAAGGCGCTGCTATGGCCATCGAGGACGCAGCCGTCCTCGGTCGGCTTCTCTCACACATTACCTCCCTCTCCCAGCTTCCCGCCTTCCTACGCGCATACGAACACCTGCGCCTCCCGCGCACCGCCGATACACAAGCCTCTTCTCGGCTGAACCAACACATCTTCCACCTGCCTGATGGCCCGGAGCAGGAGGCGCGCGATTCAGGAATGCGCAGTGCAATGGAAGCAGTGCTGGCCGCAGGCGCGGGCGTGACGGAGGCGGGCAAGGAGGAAGGCACAGAGGGGAACCCGAACCAGTGGGCGGACAAACGGAAGACGCGCGCGCAGTTTGAGTATGATGCGGACGAGGAGGCGGAGCGGTGGTGGCGGGAGGTGGGCGAGCGGGAGATTGGAAGCAGAGAGGGGGCGAGGTTGTAGCGATCTGATGGGTCGATGTTGAGCAGTAGCAGATGATGCCATTAGATGTATCACAAGTGACCAAAGTATCTTCAAATCACTGATTAGGACCACCCGGCGACGTCTTCATCCCTGGTAAGGGCTTGTCTGCCGCCCATTCTGGTCTTCCCTAAGGATCAATGTCAACCGTGTAATCTACATGTGCCCTGGTCGAGATTACAGTTGATTTTGATGCAAAGTTCAACACAGCTCTTGAGCAACCAGCTGGAAGGCTAATCATGCGTTTAATCAATAAGATACTGAAACTTATATAACTCACCCTACCGGCCCAACCGAACTGCTTCGAGACCGAATCCGTAACGCGAGGCTCTCACCTGAGAACGTCGGCAGACGAGTCGCTATTGGGAGCTCCCAGTCACGAGCAAAGGGGAGAGAAAAGGCAACGCTCGCGGACGCGATTCTCGGCATTATATTCGCGCTCGACCGCGACTACCGACCAGGATGCTGCCCCGCCGCCTCGTCCACACACTCGCCTCTCCGTCTCTACCAGCCCACGCGCACAGATTCTCCACCTCCTCCATGCGCTACGCCCACCGTGCCATCGTGTTCTCGCACCCAGGCGAACCCGCCGACGTCCTCTCTGCCCTCACCTACCCATCCCTCCCACCGCCGCCCCCGCGCGCCCTCACCATCCGCTTCCGCCTCTCTCCCGTCAACCCATCCGATGTCAACGTCGTTGAGGGCGTCTACCCTAACAAGCCCGCCCCGACCACCTCCCTCGGCCCCGGCCAGCAGCTCCAAGAGCCCGTATATGTGCCAGGAAATGAGGGCCTCGCGGAGGTGGTTAGCGTGGGAGACGGCGTGGATGGGCTGGCGGAGGGGGACTGGGTTGTGATGGCTAAGCAGCAGGCGGGGACGTGGAGCTCGGCGAGGACCGTCGGTGTCGAGGACGTCATTAGGCTGCCCAAAGACGAGGTCAGCGAGGTGAACGCTGCTACGATATCGGTGAGTGCGCATGTATCCATAGGGCTTTCGGCCGCCTCATACTTAAGCAGGTCAACCCACCCACGGCGTACAACATGCTCCGCGACTTTGTCGACCTCACCGAGGGTGACTGGGTCATTCAGAACGGTGCGCATGGCTGGCTTACACCGGCTTCGTCTCGTTCATTCATGAGCTCTCATAGGCGCGAATAGTGCAGTCAGTCTCCCGGCCTCAGCGTGTCCAGGAATTCCCTTCTGAGCACACCTCCCCAGGTTGGCCAAGCCGTCATCCAAATCGCTGCCCGACGCGGCCTCAAGACGCTCAATTTCGTCCGCGACCGGTGCGCATCCCCCTCTCTCGCTCGTTGCTCCTCACTACATATAGCTACAGACCAGATCTCGATGCGCTCAAGAAGGAACTCACCGAAATCGGGGCGACAGGCGTGCACACTTACGACGAGCTCAACGACAAGTCCCTCGTCAAGCAGCTCAAACTGCTCATGGCCGACCGCGTACGTCCCCTTCCCTCCCTCACCACTCATACATTGACTTGCGCAGCCGCCACGCCTGCTATTGAACTGCGTCTCTGGGCCAACAACGCTCGCGCTCGCGCGCCTACTCGGGCCGGGCGCGCACGTAGTCTCGTACGGCGCGATGAGCAAACAGCCGCTGATGCTCCCCACTGGCGCGCTCATCTGGAAGGGGCTCAAGGCCGAGGGATACTTCATGAGCCAGTGGTACAAGGACCATGGGCGGGAAGCGCGGGAGAGTCTATTTAAGGAGCTGATAGCGCTGAAGGTGAGTCTGCTGGTCTGTTACTTGAGTTGGTAGGACGGTGGGTGGGGACTGACACGGGTGTGTAGCTGAAGGAACCTGCGCATGAGATGGTGGTGATACCGGGGACGATGAGCGACGAGGAGGCGGGTGAGAGGGTGAGGGAAGTTATGAGGCGGATTGCGGAGGGGAGGTATGGAAGGAAGGTGCTATTGCGTGTAGAGGATCCGGTGCAGTGAGCGTGTTGGAATTGCAGGCTCAAGTGTGGGCGAGTTGGATGAAGGGAATGCGACCATGTCGGGGAAAGGAGTGGCGCTGCTTTCGATCTACGATCTATGCATAGATGTATGTAAGTACAGTACAACAGGTGTATCGAGATTGAAACATTGTTCATGGGAGTGTAATCATCGAAGAGCTGTAAATTGTGTCTGTACGTTTTCCATCGTGTAGTGGCATGTATCACGGAAGGATGTCGACAATTTCGTTGCGACAGTAGTACCTCTCGACGCGGTCTCGTGACCGCGTCGTCGGACTGCGCGTGAGCGTGTCTGCATGATTAAGACGCGCGGAAGTTATGCTTTACGCCTGGAGCTTTGACTGTGCTTCCTAAGCGGATGTAAGCTTCAGTTCGAGTTGAAAATTAACAACATATCATTTATAACATATGCTCACAAGCCCGGCGCACGCTGGACGGCGGCGGCGAGTCCGGCAAGCGCATGAGCGCTAAATGTACATGCAACCCCGTATTATGAGTCACGTTCAACAAGGACGATTTACTACTACTACTAGTAGTATCAGCCTCTCGTGTTATATACTGTTGTCGCATGTACAGCACTTTCATTTGTGCGGTATGCTTTGATTTATTTTATTGGCCGGTACAAAGCCCATGATGTCATAAAATAGTTCGGCTAGATGTGAGGCGGTCAGCAGCCTGTTCATAGGTCAAGCATCGAAATTCGCGCGAAACAGAAGAATGGTGGCATCGTGCATAGTAGTAAAATTGCGTGGTCAAGCATCCGACACGAAGGTGGAAGATTCATGAGAGAACGACTTGATGGGAGCATTATCAAAGTCGTGATCTCTGTGCACAGTGGACGTGACAGTGACCGCCAGAGGCCTCATCGCGAACGGTTGATTGCCACTGGCTGACGTGCCGAAAGTGACTCCAAATGTCGAAGTTGTGGTCGTGCCGTTCTGCGCCCATCCCATGCCAACGCGCACGTTGATGAGCATGAAGGATATGCCGGCGACGAAGGCCCACGTTTCGTTGGTCACGAACTGCAAGTTGGATCGAGCCAGGTAGGTGACCATGAAGAAGATGGTCCATATTCTATGCATATATTCAGATTATAGAGCACCGCAGAAACGTTGACCTTACGTGTAGAGTGCGGCGCTTTCGACAATTATAGCCATGAGAGACTATATGCGCAGAATCGTCAGGAGGATATCACAACGTTTAATGATGGCGCACCGTCAGACTGCCACGTCTGTTGCCTGAGACGGCCGAGTTGATTCTCCAAATACGCCATGCGATCATAGCTGAAAGCATTCAGTTCTTAGCCAAATATCATCGGTTCGTAGTTGGAAACGCACTTGTGCAATATACGTTCGTGCTGTCCCGTTTCAGAACCTCTTCAGTGTGACAAGTTTAAAGGAGCCGCCGACACTCGTACCAGAGTGTTAATACCGAACTACTAGTCAGCCAGCGGCCCACAGCAGTGATGAAGATGTCTTCGCCAAGACGGGTCTTCGTCATCTGGTAAATAGATCCAAAACCGCATACTATATTATGCAGTCAGCTCGCGCTCATTAACTGGTGAGTGGCTCCGCTCACAAGTTAAGCCGACAAGTGTGCAGAGGGGAAATATGACTATCCCCTTGTTGAACGCCCACACGTACCAAAGGCGGTATATCTACGACCACAGCCTGTCAGTCAAATTAAACGCATTAAATGATACGAACCCACAATCATAGCGTCGTTGGTCATGACTGTAAAGACAAGTGCGGCACTTTGAACGACTTCTGTTGGTTGCGACACATCGGCGTAAAAGTCCGATGGTGCACTGCCGCCTTTGTAGTATACAAAGGCTTTAAACAGCCGTGTGATGGCCATAATCCAATGCTATCGGTGATTTCTGATTAAAAAATAGCCACATAATGATATGATAGAACTGACCACAGTGTTGGAGAGGAATATAATTACGGTGGCGGCCAAAAAGATCCGGATTGACCTCTTCGATGTGGAATGCGGCTGTTTTTGGCCTCCATATGCTCCCAGATCTTTCTGGCGTCGAAACAAGAGATAGAAGGAAACTGCAGAGAGAGTGAAGAAGATGCCATAGAAAAAACTTTCTATGCAAATGGTCGCAAGATCTACAGATATGAGACGGACATTTCCCATAGCAAAGCAGTCGGCTCTCGACGGGCGCTAGCTTTGGGGAGGGGAGTTAGAAACCGCACTCTATAACTGTCCTTCCCTCCACTGAAATATGTTCAGGCGTGAGACTCTTGAGGCAGACGCTGGAAAGAGGCTGTGTATCTGTGTCAATGTCATGATGAAGTACGGCAACACTTAACTGGCTTGGTACATCAGCTGACAACTTGCATGATAGCAATCATGCCCGAGTAGTGTTTTGCTGCGGTGCCTATCCGCTAATGGCCTTCATTGATGCTCTGAGTCGTGACGACAAACGTTCGGGGCGGCTGCTCCACCAAATCAGAGCCAACGAATGACGCATTAGCTATGATACCCACTTTTTATGATAACGTGAGCTATCTCGGGCAGTGCGACACATTGGTAGATTGCGATGAGTAACGGTGTTACTATCAGAAGGTCACGCAGCCTTCTATGCGTTTGTTTATTTGACGCTAGCAATGTCAGACGGTTGGATGTCTCACGATTGTAAGCGGCCTTTTCGTGGGGCTCGAATAGTGTGAGTCTGGCTTTGAGCGGCACAAAAGCGTATTCCATGAGTTGATTAACAGTTCTGCGAGAGCCTTCAAGTTGTCCCGAACAGGGCCAGCCATAACACACTGTCTGAGCATTGCATCAAGGCAGACGGTAAGAGCAGGCGGTTAACTCCACGACCCTGTGCGCCACTGCGATGGGCCCATCATTGCACCTTGAGTCTGTCATGCTCTGCTAATTTTTGCGTCGCGAACCTTGAACCGTCCGGCTCGACTGTCGATGATCCATCTTCCTTTGATTCGTCTTCTATGATCTCTAGTTCTAGGAAACTCTGGTGCGGCTCCGGAGTTACCCAGCCTGCACCTTCCCGTCTCATGGGCGCAAAGGAGTGAGAGGCTGGTGAGGCCACAAATGACTGGAGAGTACAGTACTACAGGTATGTATGTATATGATTTCCACCCTTCTGTACTCGCCCGCTCTGTTTCTAGGTACCACCTGCGACGCGTTTCAGCCGTCGCTTGGCGCTTGTCCCTCCCGACGCGTTGAGCGCGTTCCACCAGAAGTGCCGTCGGTCGGCCACACTAGCAACTCTTCCTCGATATCTCTGCCTCCGAGTTTCGCATTCCTCAAGCCACGTGCTCTCGAGCTTCTGGTCTCGCATTTTTAGACGTCGTTTTTCGTGCCCTTCCATCTCAGCCGGCCCCGGTTCCGTCAACGTGGCTTGAGTTCGTGACAGCTCCTTTCTCTGGCTTCTATGGTGTTCCCGCCCGCTGGATTGGAGGTCCTTGTTCGTCATGGCCTCAAGCACTCATGCTAACCTTCTTTGGATCTCTGCGCATTCTCCATGCTATTCGTCGTTGTCTTGCTACGTTCGCCTGTTCTAACTTCTCGCTCCTCGCCATCTTGTCCTGGTCGTCTTCCTGTCGTTCGTTGTTGCTGTTTGTGTTCTGCTGTCGTCCGTCCATTGCCTGATCTCCGGTCACCCTTTTATGCCTTTGTCACTGCCTTGTTCCCGATTGTTTTCATATGATGTGCCGTCCTTCTGTTCATCATAATATTCTCCTTTCTCTGCTGCTGTAAGTCATTTGTCCCTTGTATGCCCACATACGTTCTCATCATTATGTTCTGGATCAGACGTCCGGAGTTATCTTTATGTCATTCTTGTCTACCTCATTTTCAGTCTTCAAAGCTTCATCATCAAAAATACTCTGATACCTCAGTGATACCCTTTTACGTCTTTTGCTTATAATGGGCTATACACTTGTCCCATTTCTCATTTGATTTTTGGTTTTTCTCCCTAGCTGTCTCTCGTATCGTATAACATCCTAGTATCATATAGCCTGTTAATAACTCTCGTTCATAACACGTTCATGTATTTTGCAACCCTTTGACTCGTCCAAATTCATGTTCGATATAATCAGGCGAGGTGCAGACATCTGTAGGATCGAGGTACAGAGATGTTCGTGTCACGGCATGTGGACACTGTACCCTCTATCATGGTTGAAGCTCGCATTATATGCTGTTGTCACATGCAAAGTAAATTCATTCGTGGTGCGAGATGCTTTGATTCATTCTATTGGCCTGCTAGTACAATGTCTATGATATTACATATTTTGGCTGGATGTGAAGCAGTCAGAAGCCTGTTCACAGGTCAAGCATCGAAATTCGGATGAAGCATAAGAACGGTGGCATCATGCATAGTGAGACACTGACTAAGGCAACATCCAAAATTGCGTTGTCAAGCGTCCGACACGAAGGTGGAAGATTCATGAGAGAATGACTTGACAGGAGCATCATCAAAGTCGTGATCTCTGTGCACAGTGGACCTGATAGTGGCCGCCAAAGGCCTCATCGCAAACGGTTGATTGCCACTAGCTGACGTGCCGGACGGGACTGCAAATGTCACGGTTGTGATCGTGCCATTCTGGGGCCTGGGCCCATTCCATGCCAACCGTCGCACGTTGATGAGCATGAAGGATATGCCAGCGACGAAGCCCAATGTCTCGTTGGCCACGTATTGCAAATAGATCGAGCCTCATAAGTGACCATGAAGAAGATGGTCCATATTCTACACATATCTTAGATAATGAAATATCGAAGGAGTGTTGAATTTACATGTAGAGCACAGCACTTTCGACTGTTGGAATCTGGGCGTGGAGCACAGATGTGAGAGGCCCCGGTGCGACCTGCGCCACCGGCGTGAGAGAGTAGTAGCGCGCATGTATATAATAGAGTGTGGCTACAATGGGACGGGCCATCAGTTTGGCCCCGTGGAGCCATCTTCTAGAGAGCGGGCAACTCTCGAACTCCTGGCCGCACAACGGGCTGGCTGGGAAAGTCAACATCGACAACTATAGCCATGACAGACTAAATGAACAGATGCATTAGGAGAATTACCTACAATAGCTGATGGCATACGTACCATCAGACTGCCATGTCTATGGCCTACGATAGCTGACTTTATTCTCCAAATATGCCATGCAATCATAGCTGAAGGTGACCATTATACATTGTTTTCAGCAGACATCCTCGGTCCACAGTCAGTAACAGCAACTCACTTGTGCTGTACATGATGGTGCTGTCCATTCATGTGCCTCGTCAGTGTGATAACATTGGAACAATCGTGTATATCATGTACCAAAGCGTGAACACACAACCACTAGTCAGCCAGCAACCCAGAGCAGCGACGAAGACATTTTCACTGAGATGGAATGTCATCATCTGGTAAATGGTACCAACACCGCAGACTATTATGACATTAGTCCTTGCACATTAGCTCACAAATGGCTTTTCTCACCTGTTAAGCCAACAAGTGTGCAGAGCAGAAATATGACTACTTGTTTGTTGAATGCCCACATGATCCAAAGGCGGTATATCTGCACTCACAGGCTGTCAGTCATTTGAAAGACATAAACAGCATCAGCTCACAATCATAGCATCATTGCCTATGGTTGTAAAGATTACTGCAGCACTTTGAACAACTTCTGTTGGCTGCGACATATTGGCGTAAAACTCTGATGGTGCATTGCCGTCTTTGTAGTATATGAAGGCTTCAAATATCCACGCGAGAACTACTATCCAGTGCTATCAGTCATAATCAGTCAGATCATACTAGCAGATCATATCATAAAAAGGAACTGACGACAGCGTTGGAGAGGAAAATAAGTACGATGGCAACCAATAAGTTTTTGATTGACTTCCGAGATGCAGAGTCTGACTGGCTTCGTCCTCCACCCTCCCATGCTCCCAAACCTTTCTGTCGTTGATATAAGAGATAGAAAGAAACTATAGACAGAGTGAAGAAGATGCCATATAAAAAGCTTTCTATGCAGACTGTCGCAATGTCCACGGGTATGCGACCGATCTGTCCCATTGCGAATCGGGATGAGGGATAGGGATGGCGTCCTGTGACTGCCCAACTGATTTTAATGTAATCTGCATTCAGGCATGTGGCACTTTAGAAACAGAGGCTATGCGTCTAGACTCTACAGTCGTGGACAGCCAAAGTCGACAAAAATAAAATACATTTATTCCGTGCAAACGGCTCGTTACTTTTTGATTTTGAGGACAACTTCAGACTGAAAATGTCAAGAAGCATCCAAAACCCTTTCTTTGTATTTTTCGCATGCATTTTTGGCATCCGCCAAATTTTTAGGCCAAAATCAGAATTTTTTTCAGCCAGAAACTGGCAGATCAGGTAGTATTAGTTCAAAACTGCCTCAATACTCATCATCACACTCTGAGAAACCACACGATGACTTTTCTGCTTGCGCACTGCCCACTCAGCACCCTTTCCAGTCAGCCCCTTTCAATATGCATCCATACTTGATGGTGGTCTCCAGTGCGGAATGTTTACTGGAGGTGATTCCGAGTGAAAAAAAGCATAGCTTAAGTTGCTCTTGCTAATTTGGAAGAGCCCGCCATCGCCGTCTTTGATGCTTTCATTCTCACATTTAACACCACACACTTATTGAAATTCGACACTGACTGAGTCACTGCACCTGTAAAAACAGTCTGCTCATGTTTACGAGAGGTGATTCCAAGAAGAAGCAGGTTTCCCTGAGAATTGAGCTCATTTCGGTAGTGGCTCTGACTGCGTTCAGACTTATCAGTGAGGACTGGTGTCATGTTGTAGTGCTTGGGCCGTGCTGTCGGCAGGTATGGTCAGTCAATTGCTCATTGGTATTGTGAGATCATCAGAGCGTACGCTTTTTTCTTGCTGCCCTTTTCTCTTTTTCTGCCTTCTCCTTAAGGGGCAACCACTCGTCATCCTCGAAGTGGTCCCCATGTCTTCTGGCCAAAGCAAACCAATTTCTCATGGCAGCCTCACTCAGCATCTCCTCTGTCACCAGAAACTCGTCCAGTTCATCACTTAAATGATCATCAGGTCCAGAGAAAGCTCGCTTCAAACTAAGTGCTCAGCATGTGGGTACCAGTCAGATCCATAGTCATCGTCAATGTCGAGTGGTTTAGGAGGGTCAGGTTGGAATAGATTCTCCTCTAACTCTAGAGGAGGAGTAGAAGGAGCTCAAGCTGCTGTTTGATTGCGTAGCCCAGACGTGTTTTTAGATGTGCAAGCCTTTTTGCGACCACGCATAGTATACATATGACTTAGCTCAAGTCACAACAGCCGACTTGCGTAATTGTTTTCTCAATTTTCATCATTATTTTTGGTGAACTCTTAATGGAATCATATAAAGGAACTCAAAAGGAGTCGATTGGCGCATTTTACGTGATTTTTGGACCTGTTTTGGGGGGTCCACCAAATTTTGGGAGGTTTTAGATTACAAAATCACCTTTTGTGGGCAAACGGTTTGTAGGATTTGCCTCAAATTTATTTACGGACACCCTCTCATCAATCCGGATCGATTCT